CGCAGTACACATACGCGGAAGACACTGAGCAATAATAGTACTCTTTTATCAATATTTCAATATCACTATCCGAGTTAGCGATCTTCTATCAGAGAGAAGAAGATCCACGCTCGCTCGCTTTCTCTCTCTCTCTCTCTCTCTCTCTCTCTCTCTCTCTCTCTCTCTCTCTCTCTCTCTCTCTCTCTCTCTCTCTCTCTCTCTCTCTCTCTCTCTCTCTCTCTCTCTCTCTCTCTCTCTCTCTTTGATTAACCCAAGACGCGTTTTCTTTATCAACTTGGAACAACAGAAATACCTTCGTTTGAAAAAAGGACGAGAGAAGAGCGTCATGCGGTTTTAAATGAACGGATATCGACGATTTAGTCAGTGATTCATTGCGCATGCCAAATCGATTTCATATCATCGTCGTCGGCCAGTTTGAGACAAAGAACGACAGAGAAACGGCCAGAAGAGCCTGTCTCAAATGAAAAAAGTGGGCGTCACACACCTGAGGGAGAGAGAGAGAGGAAGATGAAGAAAAAAAAGTGAGACATTTAGAGGAGCCGAGAGAAAGAGCGAACAGGTTGCTACTTGCTCAGAAGCGTGACTAGCCGATCAGGCGCCCCGCTGAATATCTCTTTCTCTTTCTCTCTCTTTCGTCCCTTCCCTTTTGTCGTACAACAGCAGTGCGCGCGAATCATGAATTCGGAATCGTTCGAGCGCGTCACGCCGATATATCGATCGTCTATGAAAGTGACAGAGAGAGCGAGACCAAGAGAGAGACGCTTATAGCAACAACACGTTATATATCCCGGCAACGTTTTTATTTTACGTAATTTCGCATATTGCCAATTGTAGCATCGACAGATGCATCGTTACGAATTATTACGTTAACCATGCCGAACAACAAATAGAAGCCTTATCAATGTAATCCGTGCTCTCTCGCGAGTAAAGAGTAAGAGATAACTCTTATCGTTTCCGACTCTAAAGAGAAAAAGAGACAACATTTTCTCATACCTTTATAACCACGCTGAAAATACCTGACTGATACTTTCAATGTTTTCTCTTGGGAGAGAGACAGTGAGAGGGGGGGGGACTCGTCAATGATACGTGAAGCGCCGTCTTACGCTCGAGTTCTTTGTTGTTTCAACAGGTAATTTGGAGTAGGACAATGGAAGGCTTGAATATGTTGATAAATTTTTAGATTAGGGATATACAGTCTGGATTAACTTTTTTTTCTTAATGGATGCTCCTAGGTAAATGAGATGAGGTTTTTATTGTCTAAAGAATGCTGATACTGTATAAGTTATGTGAGACTTGTGTTTCAAAAGTGGATTGAATAAACAAAGTATCTTGGACTATAAATAAAGCATTGCAATCAATAAAGAAATGAGACTACTTTGAATGCATCTATGCTTCGTGTTAGAAAATCATCTTCTGCTACAAATTATCAACTCTTGAGGAGCTGCCTACAGAATACATTAATTTAGTGCTCAGTGAAAGGACTTATCTCGATGCACTTTGTTTGGAAAGTCATAGAATAAAAAACCTTTGGAAAAGTGTGTGGTAACTAAATATACATTGATTGTGTCAATTGAATTCTACCAAAGGTTCAAGTTATATATCCAAATCTTATAACAGTTGAGCATGATTAATCAGCATATGACTTCTCATTGGTAATACAATGAAAAATCAAACAGCATTTAGTCACAATTAACACTGTGCTTGCAACGCAAACTCACCAAGTCGAAGTTCCCCAAAGTTACCACAGCCAATCTTTTTGCCAACACGAAAGTTGGGCCCAACCATGAGTAAGTTGGAGGTGGAGGTAACACTGTGCCTAGAGGTATGCATATTGGGCCTGTTGACATTGGCGCTGATCCTGGAAGATCTTTTACCAGCTTCTTGATCTCTGTCACCAGCACGTTGAGGCTCCTTGTCACCTCTAGTCTGATCTCTGCTTTCTCTCTTCTGCATGTTGTTCTAACAATTTATCTTTCTTCAACTCTCACACTCATACATCCACTGAATCTCCAGAGTCTATTGGTCAGTAAGGACAAGAGGGTACTGCCAACAACTAGGTAAACCTCATCTGACACCACTCTTCTTCTCTTTGTTGTTGTTGTTGAGCAAGTATTGCACTTGCTTGTCTTCTATCTCAAGTCTTGCTGCTGGTGATAATGATGTTCATGTTGAGATGGGCAGTAGAGTGAGGCGCAGTGCTCTCAGCAGCAGCAGCACTCATGCGGGTTAATGGCTCGGCCGGCCGGGAGGTAACGCAGCGAGCAGGAGGTCATCATTACCGAGAGGCATTCTTGCTCGTTTACTTAGCTGGCTGGCTGGCTAGCTGACTAGCTTAGCTAGTTCACGTACCCCGTTCGTTCGTTCGTTCGGAAACCGAGCAATTGAGGTTAAGTTCTTTAGCTTTGAATCCACTCTGCACACAGCACATAGACAAGACTCGGTGATAAGACGTTGAATATTTTTCGCTGCGTTGATCGCGATGACGAACGTGATTTTTCTTCTCTACCTCTTTCTCTCTCTTTTGATCGTTTCACTTTCGCCCGTCTCTTGTACTGCAGTGCCTCTCTGCGCGCGGGGGCAATTTTTTTTTCGCTCACTTACACGAAGTAACAGCAGCAGCGAACAACTACCGCCGTCACCACGAAAGGTCGCACGAGATAGACGCGACGGTTTTTGAAGAGGATAAAAGAGGCACACGGCAAGGCCCCGCGCGCCGTGATGATGAAGACGACGACGAACGGGGACTTGTACTCGTCGTACTTCGCCCACACAAGCGCCAAAAGCCACTTATATGCACGGACGCACCAACTGACACATACACAGACGCGCGCGCAGGAAGAGTCGTGGGGGCCGGGCGACGACGATGTTAACTCGACTCGAGATTGAGAGAGAAAGAGTGAGAGAGAGAGTGCCTACTTCAGAGGCGACTCTTCTCCTCCAAATGTCCTGGGCGCGGCGCCGCGCGAGAGAACAACTTCTCAGTTGCGATCTCTCGATGCACCACCTCTTCTCCTGCTCTGCCTACTGGTCGTCACCTGCCTGCCTGAATCTCGAGTCAGTCGAGCCTTTTCGTGGAAAAACTCACTCGCGACAGTCGCGACCGCGCGCGCGCACCGCGACCATTGGCTAAGTAAACTACAAGTAGAGAGGGAGCTTTTTCAGTTATAATCGCTCGATAAGGTAGATTTCTTTCCATGCTTAAGAGTTCACAAAGTCGGTAAAGTAAACTTAGTTATTTTTGGACCATCTTGGCTAGTTTTGTAGTTCGAGAAGTAAAAGAAACACGTGAAAAATGCCTTGCTTTCTACTATAAACTAGTTTTAGAATATGTTAGCTTATTTATTTATAATTTTATTGATTGGAGACTATGAGAATTTTTAGATTTTTACGTCTGTTACAGCGCATATAATGTTTTAATCAATCATTTTATAACTAAAGTATTTCTTTCTCTGATAATTGATCAAAACGTTTATTGGCACTATTTTACAGTTTCAACATGAATAAAGATCACAAATTTTTTGTTAAAACTTTAACTATTAAATATTGCGGGAATTGGGAAGGGATTGGAAAAGTTAGCATCAGTGTTCCTAGTGGCTGAAATTGCAAGCCATGAGAGAGGTTTTTAAATGAGCGGTCCGTACTCCGTATATGACCGTGTACATTGATTATAGTGTTTTTTAAAAGTATTTATTTATATAAGTATCATTATAATGTTACTGTTTAATTATTTTAGTAAAAATCTACATTTTTCGTATCATCTTTGTCACAGAATTTATTACCTGCTTCATTTTTTCTAATGACTTTCAATGCGTATCTTTCACAACGTTCTGTGCGCTCTTTTCTCTTTCTATTTGCTGCAATTTAATCGGAATTGTGCTTAGACGGTAAATTTACTGAAGGGATACCGGTTTGTGTTAACCTTTTTATCCTTAAATTAAAAAAAAAAGAATTTAGAAATTATAAGCTATATCTCATATGAAATAAGTTTACGGCAATTGTTTATTTATCACTTGTAAAAGTCATCGGGAATAAAATGCTTTGAAAAGACTCTCTAATATTGGTTTAATTCACTTGTCATACCCAAAGCTTTAATCCATGAACATTGCAAATTAATTGGTTGAATAATTCCAAATATATTTGTACGGTGAATAATTTTTGTATATGAAACGTGGAAACTTAATTTTGTGTTGACGCGTGCTCGCGAACCACAGTTTCTCATATAATAAGAAAGATTGCTTTTTCTTGGTAACGTTTAATTTTAGTTTATAAGACATGTTATCTTAGAACAATAATGGTCAATCTTTTTATGCAAAAAATACGTTATGTAACTACAAATAACTGAGTAATCAACAATTGTCCCCTCACTTTCAAATGTAAACATAAGCAGAAACTTCTCGCGCGAGCCTCTCTCACGGCTTATGATTTCGTCCGCTAATTAGGCCCCGGTCCCATAGGTATGTATGTATGTACATACATACATACGTACGGATGCGGACGGATACGGACGCGAATCGCAACTCTAGTAACATCACTAAACATATCTAGTTCGATTATTTAGTACCAACACTACCGGTAGTGAGCAAAAGTGACTATTGTTTAAAACCGTAGCGTCGAACGTACCACATTTAAATGAACGCCTATCTAACCTTTACATTATTGCAGTCTATAAGATGGCAATTGATAGACTTTCAACTACAATTAGAGGAGTTAGGCTTTAATTTTATGGAAGTACTTGAATATATGAGAAGAAGAAAAAATATATAAATGATATGTATTAATCATGCCAAAAACTTTTTTACATTAGCATACTCATTAATAAGCAATATTCATGAAAATTTGAAAAGTAAATTGTAGACCTGACATTTGATCATTAAATGTGGTACGTTCGGCGCTACAGTTTTAAGCAACAGTCACTTTTACTCACTACCGGTAGTGTTGGTACTAAATAATCGAACTAGATATTTTTAGTGATGTTACTACAGTTGAGATTCGCGTCCGTATCCGTCCGCATCCATACGTACCTATGGGACCGGTGCCTTTAAGCTATTGCCAGATTGCTTTTCACTATTGTTAGTACAAAATTTGAATAGGGCGAAACAGCGGACTGTGGCAAAATACCGCGCGGTTTTCTGACCCTCGGATCTTTGCGGAGAGAACCTAAAACCGGAACGTTACTGATACTGACTGGTCATATTGCGGATTGTTCTTGTTTTCTAGTGAGCACTGATAAGTTCTGCCACCTATAGGCCCAATTTTAATCATTTACGCATGCGCACACTTCAAGAGAACATGTTATGCAAAGCTAAGGCCATGTAGTCTCCATGGCTAAGGCAGACTGTCAAGGCAGCATACTATGTGCTGCTAACCTCTTCGGGAGTACATACCGAGATTTCTCGAGCATAGCTACCTTTCTTCCTATAATCCTCCTTTAATCATCATCATGGAAAGTGATCTCCAGGTTTCTGTTCCTAAAGTACCTATAAATGAATCAGAAAAGAAAAGGTTAATGTCATTGAAAGTGAAGAAAAAAGCATTTAAAGCTCAAGGAAAAGTTATAAGTAATGCTTTAAAATTAGTTGTAAGTATAACACATTAATTGTGAATTGTACGAAACTTATGAATTTAAAGAAACTATTTTTATTTTAGGATGACACAAAACTAAATAAAAAGATTATATTTAATTATGATATGGATAATGAGGTCTTGCAAGAAAATTCAAAACAGAAAAATACTCTATTTGAAAGTGATAATGAAGAACAAAACGAATTTGAATGGAATGAAGATGAACTTGAATCAAAAGCAAACACTAAGAGAAAAGTAAGGATTTCACTTAATTAATACAATGTACCAAAATGTATACATTTCAACTTATATTTTTTCTCTTAGCTTCTTAAAATGCAGACCAATATTGGCAATGATAAACGATTTATTCTTGATGAACGCTTTTTGGATGATGATGAAGAAATTACTAAAGAATCCAACAGTATAAAACCAAATGATGATGCTGTATTCGATGAAAAAAAATGGCAACTTGATATTTTAGGACAAGTTTTAGGAATGCCAGTAACAATATCAACTGCAATAAGTAATAATGCTGTACAAAAGTAAAATCAAATATCTTACTTGTCAAGCAATACTTCAGTTTTCACAAATATTTATATAAATATTATTTTAGGAAGAAAAAAATGATCAGATATGATCCTACTGTTAATGATCATAAAAAATATGAAGTAACAATTAAACAGCCAAAAGAAGAAAAATCAAAAAAGAAAAAGAAGAAAAATATTCCTCATAGTGTTCAAAAAGAAGATCCACTACCAAATTCTAACGAAATTTATTATGATGTATCAGAAAATTTAGCAGATAGTTTCAAACCTGATGAAGGTTTTAGTTTATTAAAAGTTCTAGGACGCAACGACGTAGTTAGTATGTTATTTCAAAATAGTGTGCTATAAAATAATTTCATGTAATTCCCCTATTAATATAATATTTTTCTTTTGAAGTAAGTAAAAAAGAAACTGAACATGTAAAACAAGTTAAGGAAAACGAAGGTAGATTTGAATTTAATTTCTGTTCAAAAAATCCTTTCAAATATGATTCTTCAGATGATGAAGGTAGGAATGAAAAAGGCTGTGATGATTATAGTTTCAAATTGAATACAAATAATACTTCTAAAGAAGATGAGAGACTTTTCACTCCACTCAGCGAATCACGAATTGAAGGTAAGTGAAGCATAATTTTATGAAGTAGCTAGAATCATATTTAATAAAATATATAACTTTAATTTCAGAATTGAATAAATTCTTTAATACTCCACTAGTAGTTGATGAAGAAGCTTTCAAACGTCGACGACGGGAATTGAAGAAAATCGTCCGTACGAAAATTCGTAATAATATCAAAAAAGCTACACCTTGGAAAAAGAAAAAAGTATGGAAGCAAAAGAAAAAACAGTGATAGCAATAATGCATAGTATAATAGTAATAACTTTTATACAGTTTCAGTGATTGTATTACAACTATGTATATAAGTACAGTATATAAAGTTTCTATTTTCCCATACCAAAAATTTGTCTAAAAATATTTTCTTCATCTTTAAAAAAAATTCGCTTTATCAAGCGAAAAAATGCAATGTGGAAAAAATCAATCTCATTGAATTGATTTATAGTTACAAAATTTCATAATTTAAGCAAATAAGCTACTGCAATAAAAAAACGTGATTACACATCTTACATAAAATAATAGTTTATCACGACTCAAGATATATACTGTATAAATCGACGTAGAAAATTTATAAATAAATTATTCTAGTGGAAATATTTTGGCACCGAACTATGAGTCTCTTCTGTAAATTTTTTCAAGGAATTTGAAGAACAAATCGTGAGGAAGGCCACGAGATATTTGTTGAATATGAGTGTTCATGAGATTGTAAGTCTCCTCCTCATAAATTGAGTAGGTCATTTGAAGTCCCAAGTCATCGTATAACTGCTTCACTTTAGCAACTTTGTCTGGATCTTCATAACCGTAACATTCCTGAAAATGAAAATATTTTACAAGTGAAAACTTTCTGGTTCTATAAATTTTTTTATGTTATTTAACGAACCTCCAAAATCTTCTTTTGCGTCGGTGAAGCACGTTGCAAAGCAACAACGCAAAGCCATGAGCATTTACCTTCTTGAATATCTCGTCCTTGTTTTCCAGTAACCTGAGAGTTACCGTAACAATCGAGATAATCATCTTGAACTTGATACATGTGACCCATTTCCATCAAAATCGTTTTCGCCTGTCTGTGCAGTTCTGGATCCTTAACTCCAGCCTGTACAAAGCAAACAATTTTAATAATATTTATTCACGTCAACAATTGAATATCGTTCTTCTTTGCTACTTTAGTACTTACGAAATACATGGCAAGTTGGACGGGCATCACAAATGAATAGTAAGCTGTTTTGTACTTAGCAATGGAATTATACCGATCCATCGTAAACATATTAAAGTTAGGCCTTTTGCCGAAATTTGTCGCTAACAAATCTAATGTTTGACCCATCGTTGTTTTTAGCGTATACTATAAAGAAAAATCGATCGAAATGTGTATGACGATGTCGAAGACGAAAAATTCGCAATAGAATTGAGGCTTTGTACCTGTTGGATAGACTCGATGAGATCGAGATAACATGGCTTTCCTCTGAAATGCATTCTTAACAAGGCATACGCCGCTTGTTCCATAAGAATACAATCGTTGATCGCCGCTAGACCAATGTCGTTCTGTAGGTACCAGCACTTTTGGCCTCTCCTGTATTGTGAGCTGTCCATGATGTCGTCTGCAATCAAGATGAATCCTTGCAACTGTAACATTATTTGGGTCGATCATGATTTTGTCGCGTAAAAAATACTGCTAGTTAAATTGAAATAAATTCTTGCGTACCGCTTCAATACACCAACCGAGTATTCTAGCTAGCCTTAAGTTGTCCTCTGTGAGCTCATTTTCGGGAACGAGTTTTCTATAAGAGTAGACTAGTGCGTGGGCACGATTTTTCTTCCCGTTCGGAACATTGTACTGCAATACCTGTACATACAAACCATTCGTTGATTATCTTTATCGTCATAAATTACATTTGATTCAACTACAATTTTTTTTTGAGAGAAGGGAGGACTACGTGATGTTTTTAATAAATTATTTTCTTTTGAAAGTGATTAAGCACTGTGTATTTTTCAAATGATTACGTTGTTATCAGTGACGCGGCATCACGTCTTGTCCTCCAAATATTAAACAATTTTTGTAAAATCAGCTTCTAAAGGATAGCTTTTGTCAAATTAAAATCTCTGAAAATAGGCATACTTTAGCAAGCCACTTGTTAGCATCAAGCGCATCCAAATGTCTGCCGGCTTCTGTCAGGTCGCGCACGACATCCGGCCAGAGTGCCATCAACTCACGACTTTCGTCCTTGGCGGTGACCCAACTTGTCTGGGCTTTCGAGTGTACACCTCGGCTATTGCTCATCCTGTCGGTTGAGTATTACGATATCAGTGCGCGCATCAAATGTGAAAGTGTCCGAGCAATTCCGACTTATGTACGGAAATTAGAAAGCTATATGAGCGTAAATTTCAGACATTTCCTGTGCTGTTTGGCTTTCTATACATTAGAAGGTTAAATTTTCGAAACGAAACGTTGTTAATAAGAAAATATTGAAAATATTAGAACAACGTGTAAAATTGGAAACAACTGGCAGAGGAAAAGAGGGAGCAGACGGCTGATTTCGGGAATTTGAAAAAAAGGCAATTGGCAAACAAACCGTTACTGAAGATTGCCAAGCGATAGATTAAGATAAATACGAATACAAGGAAAAAAAACACACGGCCACGCAGATTTTGGACACTCATATTTTTTACTTATCGCCGACGTCCATTGATAAAAGCACTTCACCTTGTCGCGGGCACCGAATTACAAAATTTAACGGCAAGAGAATGATGGATCGAGAGGAAAAAATGTACAAGACTGCGGTTTAGTCCGCGCGCGAGGCTATATGTACCTGGTCAGACATTTTAATGACAATGGAGTAAAGGTTGCACGAAGAGTTTCGGTTATTCAACTTCACAATGAGCATGATTGTCATAGCCATCCTACGTACTTCGCATAATTTGTTTGCGCTCTGTGCGCAGCTATACTTGGAGTGCCACAGCTTTTTACGCTAGATCTAGACTAACGCGCGATTGTATTCAACAATTCTTTTTTCCTTCTCTCATGTATGTTTGATTTTCTTGAATGACTTGTTTTTCTTTGCCTGCGAATACTCAGATGACTATCGACAAAGCATCCTTGCATCATTTAATCGTGGGAAAAGTAATTACGTGCAACTGTGAGAGCTTAATTATCCAGTAGATTAATTAGCCACCACTACATTAGAGACTCGCTTTTACGGTGAAAAGTTAGTGAATAGGCCGTTTAAATGAATTAATCCGCTCATGATTTAATAATAATTGTAATTTAGTAATGTAATATACAGCAGCATATATTACTTTGAAACCGGTTTCTTCCACTGTACGGAATCGTTGAAAGAAAAATTAAACATTTATCGATACGACTCAGAGTATTTGAATATATTTCAAATAAGAAAACCGGTTTGGACAATAATACTAGAGAACATTCCGACGGGCGCCGATTCGTATCACGCACATAACGCGTCAATATATTCAAGTAAAAATACTCTAAAGGATATTCTAAATAAACTATAGGAAACTGGAAGTTTAAAAATAGAATCTATAAGAGCACCGGCTATAAGCAAACTCATGTGCATTTGACGAATGATAAGCGTAAAACCACCATCAATTATAAATATTAATTATTACTTAGCTTATAGAAGATCATGTTAAAATAAAAAAAGTCGGATTTTATTAGCGCTAGCTTTTTCAGTAATTGATAAGAAAAATATTGAACGTTAAGGGAATATGACAAGCCACTTATATAGAGTTTGAACATTTTTTATACACCATTAATCGCTTCAATTGGTAAATTGAACGTTCAATAAGCTCGTACGCCTAAATCGGTCAGTAGGCAATTTATGGCCGTTCCAACCGTCACAGTAGCATCTGCTGCATCATTCGCTTATTGCCGGAAGATAAATAAACTTCGAAAAGGAAACAGTGTGATCTAAAAATAAAACTGTTTAATAACAATGGCGCTAATAATTTTCTGTCAATGAAGGCGTGCGATCTTACGATGTGTTTTATTCATGCTGCAGAAGCATATTTAATATTCATATTTTTTGAAAATTTTAGCCTGTTATACAATGAGCGATCATTCGTGTACTTATTTATGAGCAATGATGATTGTTGTTAAACAGAATTATGTAATAACCTTGTGGATTTGCTTCACACGAAATGCACCTGGTAATGCATCAGGAATGTAAGATAGAGCTTTATTAGTAAAAATTTTAGAGATTACTTATCAGACAGTAGAAAACGTGAATATGAATGAGAAAAGATGATTAGCTATATACACGAACAATCGAGTTTCACTACTGCACTACGGTATAAGTTTACTGCAAATAGAAAGTTAGCGTGTACAGATAATGCATTAATAATCACGCAAAAGTATGTCTATACATATGCCGTGTATATAATATATTGCAAATCAATCAAATTAATAATGGTGAACTTGGGAAATGGTGTGTGCAGAATGCATAGAGGACCGTCAACAACTTTGACTTGAAGTCACATGCAATTGCGATCATGTTTTTAATCGTTATGGTAAGTAATAATAGCCTACGAAAACCGTATAAAAAATTATTTACATTTATAATTATTCTTTCCTCACACATAATCAAACTGAAAAACAATCAAGGAACCGTCGAGCGTCAAGTGCTCCAACATCGAAAACGGAGTGAACCTTTAAAAGATAAGATAAAATAGGATCGCGGAGAATCAAAAAAATGAAAACGAAAACACGCCGGTAACCTCATCCATCAAAAAACAATAAAAGATAAACAAACTTACCAAAATCTTCTGTCGGACGTAACACCGGCTGCGGAATTTTGCTGTTCAAGGACATTTCTAGATGTCTTGAAAAACGAGGAAGTGCACAGCTTACGCACTATCGACAACATGGTATACTTTTAGTATGTGTGACGTGCCGAGATTCCCGTAGCAGTTAAACTTGATAACCTCTTCGTTATTGCGACTCGCGGATCACGACGAGAACTGAACGCGCGTACTCAGCACACTCAGCGTGAACAGTCGCTTCACTCTTTCCAGATGTCGCGACTGGTTTTCCATGCATTGGAAATTGTAAGTGTATATCTCCATGATGTATACTTTGTTTTAGGCCGAGAGTATTTTGTAGAAACTATATAAAGTCTTTCTATATATTTTCTGTTTTAAGCAGACGACATTCGTCTGTGATATTTACTATAGATATGCACGGTCCAAACATAAAGTTAAAATTTTGTACGAAATTTAATTATATTTTCAAATGAATGACAGCTTTAATTACCAAAAAAACAATTATTTAGAAAAAATTCGCAGGATTTCTGTTAACGGTTGACATGTTTATTTTTGTAGAATTATATGTATATCCTATGTAATAATTTACCTAAACATATTATCTTCCTACAATGAGTATTCAATTGTGAAATTCAAATAAGAATATATAACAATTGCAATAATTTAACTATCTATTTATATAGTTACAGAGTAAATTCATTGTTTCAACACAATATAATTGGTTATTTCAAAATTTACATAATTTGAATAATCTATGACATACAAGTCAAAAAAATTTAATTCTTGAAAGGTTTTCTGTTATCTGGAACAGGCAGCCTGTACTTTTCCATTTCGACAAATGAATCAGCAAAAGAATCTATGTGATAGCAAAAATATTCTGGATTCTTGTATTCTTTATTTTTTGCTGCTCCAGCAAATCCTACAGCTATGAAAAATCATTTAAAGAACTTAATCTTTGCATGAAAAACGTTTTATATAGAGCTATATAATTTTATAAGTATTCATTTAAATTGACCAAAATGTAAGTAATAATTATACTAGTTTCATAAAATAGTTCATCTGTTTACACACTTAACCAAATTATTATAAAAGTAATATGTATAAATCAGTATATATGAGGATTCGTGTATTGAATATATTTACTTACGTTCATTGGGAACACATAGGACTTTATCACTGAGTCCTGGTACATTCGGAATACTTGAAGCTTGAGACTTAGTGGGTTTACTAGCTCCAGAATAAGCAAAGTTTTGGCTTAATATGACTGTGAATCTCTACAAGAAATTTTGAAGGATTAGTTAGTATTCAAATACTCATAAAGTTATTTTGACGCATTCTTTAAAATATTGCTGGAAGATTGTGAAATTACAAAGGTTAAGATAATTAATCAATGTTTGTACTAGTTTTTACTTGTGAAATCATAAAATACATTGTTTCGTTTTAAAGTAAAATCATGTAGATAAAAAATTATACCTTTACAATAAATTGCCTGCAGCCTAAAACATGTAACATTTTGTTTTTTTAATTCTGAAAATAATCCCTCTGCCAAAATTATCGACACAAAAGAGCAGACAGCTCAAACTACTGTTGTATGAATATCATTCAATTCCCGTGAAACTTAAGCTGAGATTGGTAGATCGAGTAGAACTTGACACCAAAATAATTGATTTTCATAAAAAATGATAAATAATTAACTTTGATTTAATTTGTACCATCTAAAAACAATAATTTTATAATTTGTATCTTTCAGAAAATCGATAAAAAACCAAAAGAATGAGATATCAGAAAATCTATACTCCTGGCATGAAAATGCGAATTTTCGAAAAAAAAAAAATGTTAACAGATTCCTTTTGATTTGTACCCACTAACAATATGAAAATTATAATTTGTATCTTATAAAAAGAAAACTTTTAACCGTATACCTTTATATTTACTGGATGACAGTGGTTCTCCGACTAAGGCGATATATTATATATTTTATTTCACTAGATAACGGTGGGTCTCTGTTGGAGAGCCACTGCCATTCAGTAAAGACAAAGATATAAAATCAATAACTGCTCTAAAAAACTTGATCTAGCTATTTTTACAGAAGGATACAAATTATAATTTTCGTAAGTTTAGATGATAGTTGATACAAATCAAAAGAAATCTGTTAGTATTGTTTTTTTTTGAAAATTAAACATTTTGATGCCCGGAGTATAGATTTTCCGAGATCTCGTGTTTTCGTCTTTTTCAATTAACCGAGGGACACAAATTATAAGATTATTATTTTTAGATGGTACAAAGTAAATCGATTATCATTATGTCATTTTTATAAAAATCAATTATTTTTCATGCCGGAATCTATCCAATGATTGGTAGGTAATTGCAAAAGAAGCAGCTGATTCGTTCAGGTTACATAACAGTCTCTGCTGATTGTATGGAGGATCGTTGATAAGATTTTGTGTTGCCGTCCGAAATCCACAAGTAAATAATTTTTATTACTTAACGACATCATTTTTATTGTGTTATTACTTTACTGATTAATTGACGCTATATTTTACTAATCTCCGGTAGCATCGGACAGTCTTCCGTTTATTTCTTGCTATTTAGATCACTTTCTCACTTGCATATGTCGTCTGGTTATTTTTTTATAGTTTCAATATGAATCGCCAACTGAGCCAACAACAAAAATTTTTAATAATCATTGAGATTCATATTCAATTTCAAATTGAAAATGATCAAAATTTTTGTATTTCATTCATAAATAAATCTAAAATGTGTAATAACCTAAAAACTAAAAGTTTTCATTCTTTTCATGTTTCAGGAATCAATATGGGTTGTGGTTTTTTCGATTACCTTAATAAAAACTATTCGTATTATAATGCACCTGAAGGCCAAGACCCTGTTGGAAAACTTGTCGGCCTTGGAAAATATGGTTTTATTAGTGGAACTATGATATCCTTATATGATGCTTGTTTGTGGTCTCATTGTGTTAATGCAGCACAATTTTTTAATACGTTTGGTTATTGGGTAGCACCCATGACTGGGATGTGTTTAGCTTTTTCTACAGTTACATATTCATTATGTCGTTTCAGGAACAAGGATGATAAGCTAAATTACATTGGTGGAGGTATGTCTATCTATATTCAGTATCATAATGTAATCCAAAATTATTTATTATTCAAATTTTTAATTAAATCAAATATACCAAAGGATGATAAATTGTTTGAAAAATAAAAAATATTTTTCAAACAATTAATTTTCTAAGTCACTCAAGATATAACAAGGTATATCTTTTAGTAAAAAATTAAAATTACTTGAATCTATCAGATAATCTAAATAGAAATATAAAAATTGAATATTTAAATTATTTGAAAAGGGTTTAATTTTAGAATTTAAATAAATTTGTTATTAAAAGTTTGTTATAAGCCAAAGAACAAATATTTCCTTAATGATATTCAATTGTCAATATCAAACAGCATTATTAAAATAAAATTTGTCCTTACTTTCATTTATACAGCTTTGGCATCGGGTAGTGTTGTACATTGTTGGAAAAAATCTCCTAGATTGAGCGGATGGGTAACAATCGGCATGGTTCTCTATGCTGTATTGAAAAAGCAAGCTATACTAGATGGTCATGACCGTAATATTCTGATGTCAGAATTAGATGAAGAGACACAACATAAATCATATTTCCCGTGGAGAACTTTACCATACAGAAATTACAGCAGCAAACCAAGATTTCCACATAATAAAGAAGATTATTATATAAATCATTATTAATAGTGATATCAATGTTATTGAATTGAATAATTATTTAACTACCTAATATTGAATAATCAGATATGCTCTAGTACATTGAAAAATCTGAATAAATAATTAGACACTACATTGTCAAACTTGTAATTTATTTAAAGTAATTATATTTAGAACCATGTATTATGTACAATAAAGAAAATAAAAATGACATCAGTGTTATTCAGTATTTATGTTAAAGTTTCTCCTTTTGTGACCTAAAAATAAAAAAATTGGTTACTATTTAAAATTGAAAGATTAAATCAAAAAGGAATTATGATCTAAAATTGTCTTACACAAGCTTCTAAATATTCAATTCTGCGCTCCAAAGTTGTTAGTTTTTCATTCAGCACTGCCAGTCGAGACCTACACGACATGTCTGTTTAAAAAATTACATACATATTAATATTTAATTTGATCAAAATGTTGATCCCATTTACCATTTATTTTGACTTACCAAATGAATTAAGGAAATCAGTAATCTTTTTTATGCTACCTGTTATAACTTCTATGTATTCTCTATTTGCCCAATCCTGTTGAATTTGTTTCTGAATAGCTTCTCTGTGTGAAGACATTTTTAGTGCAATTCACAATTTGAATTACTTTTTTAGATTCTTTAACAATAATTACGTTAAAAAATAAAACGTCTCTGAACAATTCTTATTTGGAAAGCTCACTCATCAGTTACATACAGTGAGTATTCAGTATTGTGACATGTCGTCTCGTACCTCATACAACTTGATCGAGGAGAAATCGATGCTAACTCCACCTATAATTTAACAGCTAAATGATCACTATACCTTGATAACAAAAGAATAATAATTATTGTAAATAAAACAAATTTAAATTCAAAATAAAACCATAAAATAAGTAATTAATTAAAATTTTAATTATTAATGTTTTTGAATGAAACGAACAATAAATTATAAAATTTTTAAAACTTAAGGCGCATCTTCATTGAATCTCAAATGACATTAACATTAGGGGTGTCCACATGGGATCTCTCTTCCTTCCCGACCCCGTCCGAGTTTTTTTATACGCACGCCCTCTCTATAATTTTGAATTCATAGATTAAGGATGCGTACCTCAGGTCCAAAAAGTTAGCACCCAGAATCCTTTTTTTTAAGCTAATCGATAAACTAATTATACCTTTAGATATTTCGTCAGGATAGCAACAACTTTTCTCTTTGTCATTTGTTGGTTCGTCCACTGGAAATCCTTAAAATTAATAAAATAAGTCTTGTGTGCTGGCCTTAGCACCCAAACCAAAGTTGCGGTCAAACTTAGAAAATATTAAGTAAAAAAAATTCGTAAGTAAACCGATCGTTAGTTCGTCTTACGAACTAACAGTACCCATAATAAAATCATGACTAATTTGATTATTTAAGCAACTAAAAATAAAAAACTGTTTCGAATATTGGCTCACGTTCAAACGCCAAAGCGCGGTACGCATGCTTCCTGAATTATCCCCGCCGGTACCCGAACCCCCGCTCTTATTTTTTACTACACCTTTTTGATTTTAATACATCAGATCAAATCAAACTTTATTTTTTTTAACCTTCAGTAATATAGCGTTATGATACGTTTGTTCCGGGAGTAAGTGTGTTCGTTTGGGGCATGCGAGGAATAGTAGTAACTTTCTGTTGTTGGCACTATCAAAATTTTTAGCGATTTGTACGCGTTTGTACGCCCTCGTACGCGCACGTATGAGCATACATATATGTGGCGAGGGCCTAAAAAAGAAATATGAGTATGACTGTGATAAAAATATAAGATAAAACGCTGTGAAGAAGAGAGAGAGAGAGTGTGTGAGAGAAAACACAACGAAGGGATGCCCTGAATTCCACCATAGCCGTTAATCAAGTTTTTAAATATATGTATACCTTTTCATATATGCTTTTCAATAAATACACATAAAAGCTTAGATGGATAGGTTAAGTTATTTTTAAACTAAAATAATATTTATTTTATTTATTTTCTTTTATTTATTTTATTTTAACCAATTAATTTATTATTTTACACCATCAGTAGTTAAAATTTGATTTAAAATTCATTTTTAAACAACTTCGAGTCACGCGCCATATTCCTAGGTGGGGATATTTTCTGCGGTCAAAGGGCCACGACCGATGTCCATGTGTCGTTCATCGTGGGGTCTACTTTCATTGTTTGAAGTTTACTACAAAAATGAACCGCCTATAAGCCTGTGAATATTTAATTAGTTTGATGATGTAACACGTAAAGTGCTACAGTGAATAATGATTTAATTTATTACAAAGTCGTGTATAATCATCAGATATTTGAACTACTAAAATCTATCCGACGGATTATTTGCAAGTTAAAAGCGTCATAAGCGAGGTTAAATTTGTTGGGTTTCAAATAGGTTGTTTTAATTAGATTAAAAATGTCAAAAAGAAAGCCAATTAATGTGGTAGCGGGTAGTTCTCCGAAAAATACCTCAGTTGGTTCGAGTTATTATAAAAATGCCAATCTCAATTTTCGGCCAAGCTCGATGCAGGAGAATCGAGGTGGAACACGACCCGTGGCTGAACCAAGTTCTATTAGTTCAGTTATAGTGTCAATGATTCTCCACATTTGCAGAAAATCTTTGCTTTACGACCCAAGATTAAAGGCTGTAATTTATTTTGGTGCAGTATTTTTTGGCTCCATTGTGTGTGATGTTATGCCAATACCTAAGACGTACTTTGCTAGATCAAGCAATATTTTCAACCAGTTTTTCATTAAGTGGGCTTGGGGCTGGTTACTTGCTACAGCTGGACCATGGATTCTTCTCACTGCTTACACTATTGGTTGTGGCAAAAAAGAAATCATATTAAAGCACTTAGCACGCTTAGGACTTGCAACACTTTTCTGGATGTCATGGATATCATTTATGAACTACATTGAAAGCAATTATGGACGTTGTGTAAATGTTAGAGAACGTTCTCTGCAAAATAAAGTTAAATGTCTTGCAGCTGGACACTTTTGGAATGGTCTTGACGTTTCTGGACATGCCTTTATTATTATATATTCTAGTTTAATTTTATCAGAAGAGGGATATTCATTGGTTGGATGGGAAGCTATTAAGAATAATATTATGAACGAAGAGTACAATAGAAAGACGTCAACACAAGTTACCAAAGGGTATTTGAATAAAATTTCTGACGAAGATTTAGATTTCTTGAAGAAAACATACAAAGATCTAACACCCTACCTAAGGGGTTTATTTATCATCATGACCATTCAACAGATAATCTGGGATGTAATGCTGGTTGCAACAATTTTATATTACCATACTATGATTGAGAAGTTTTTTGGAGCAGCTGCTGCTATACTAACATGGTATGCTACTTATTATTGGTTATACAGGTTTCCAAATTTAGGATTTTGTATGCCATCTGAAGGAATTTTCAAGTATAACGAATTAAGAGAAAATACAAAGGAAAATGGAGTAAGATCGAGTTATCGAAGATATTAAGTTGAACCACCTTAGTTAGATTATAAACATTTAATAATGAAGTTCAATTTGAAGGTAGCTTAAATTTTCATTGTCATTTCTATCGACAATATGAATATCATCTGGCCATTTTTAAGGGCTAAAACAATGTCTCGTTAAATGGTGTTTGGTTTGGCTAGTTTTATATACAATCACGCTTATATTAAGATTAAACAAATTCAATAGAACAGTGTATTTTGAAAATTGTATTATTTAGTTATTGTTTCCTTTACTTCTTCATTAAAATTTTCAGAAAATTAATGGGATTACCAGTGTAACCATATTTATATAACTATATCTAAAACATTCTTATGTTAATTTTTTTAATTTTTAATATTATTATTGTACAAATGTTATGAGTTGTTGTGTTGAACTTCTCTGTGATTAGGAGAAAAAAAAATTTGTTAATTTGTAACATGCTGCAAATTGTCTGTGTATTAAGCATGTCATCCTAAACTATCAATGCATTATAATGAAGTCACAAAATATATTTACACAAATCAAAAGTAATTTATAATAAATTTGAAAATATTTTTACAAATTTTCTTGTTTAGTTCATTTGACCCTCTTAAATTTAAAAATTGATAGCATTTCTTTTAATTGATATTTTTTTAAATATTCATGTAACAATTCAAAGACAATTATTACGTTAGAAATGAGCGCGCGTCTAACATTATGTTTTCACCCTGAATTTAAATTTGTGTGACACTGTTAGTTCCAGTGCCAAGAAGTATATTTCTTGAATTAATTAATTTTACTTTTGGTGATCGTAAAAGCAATGAGTTAAAGGCCTGTTAATTAATTCTTTAAAATCATTCTTTCAATAAATATCAACGGCAATTACTTTAAGGCGAAGTAAATGCGTTTTTTCAAAAATTTGAAAACTTCTAAAAATGTGTCAAGTACAAGCAAACAACTTGTGCGTAGCCTCATTTTGATCGATGCAACGATTCGATCCATCATTTCATCGCCCAAGTTTAATGCCTAAAATGAGGGTGGGATCATTATTTTTGAGCATACCGTGATCAAGTCTCATCGAAATAAAATAATCGTTAAAAACTGATATACTAATTTAAAAAAAAGCAGTTGAATTTAGGCAAACTTGTAGAAATCAAAAGTAAAGTTAGTTTCCAAAGCAACAAAGTATCGTATGATCTGTCATTTCTCATGTATTGGAAAGCACAATTTCATAATTCGAAAGTAGACATAGTAAGTATACCAGAGAGAACCCAAAATAAAGCAGTAGTACTATATTTAGCTTGGAATATAAGAGATGCTCATGCCAGGCTCTGCTAATTGTTCCAAAAGTGCATATTTATTTTGATCAAAGGCATGTAATAATTACTGAAAAAAGAATCTCAACAAAATAGAATATTTACATTTGTATGTAGCGAATAGATACATTAAAAAAACGCTACATACAATTTATCGCGTCAACTGTATAGATGGATTAGCGCGTCGCTCCACGTCACGGACACACACAACTGTGACAGCAGTGGTAAACAGCTGCCAGTGCGGTCTCTCGTGTATGGAGGCGCGCTTGATCGGCAGTGTAGCGCCATATTTCCTGGTGAACGCCTCGCGGCGGTGTTCTCGTGATCGTGCGTCGAAGAAAAAACATCAGCCACAAAGAAATGGATTTATTCATAATGTTCAGCGTCTGCGCTCTTCTCGGTGCTAAAATATTACTGCTGGCTAAAATTCTGTGGACCAAAGATTGTACCGGTGAGCAGTAATAATACGCCATACACACGACGATGCCGTTTATTTTCTTTCGTAACAACGATAATTGCTACGGAGCTACAGTTTAAATTAGCGTGGAACGCATACTTTGACGTATGATTCAAGGGAATATATTGGATTTCGCTTCTAGTAAAATTACAGTATACATAGTTGTTTTATTGATGCTTTCATGCTTATTGTCCTATTTCGGGCGATCAAGTGTTTAGAGTGCCCTCGACACCTGGAAAAGTTATTTATTTAGATATTAATGACACATTTGGTGGCTTTGTTCGTGGCCAAATATCGGAAGGCTCGTGGAACAACCGTAGGTCTGGGTTAGTCCAGTACGCTACATATGTTTTAGTGCGCGCGTGCGACACACGCGCTGTCTGTCTCTCCAAATAAAAATAACTGATCAATCGGCTTGACAAATAGCCATGTGAAGTTATAGATCGTTCGTCTGTTTACTCGTGACATTTGATTTTCGCAGCTTACCGTTTCGTTGCTTTACTCTTGCGTGCAAAACATCGACGGAATGTGCGCGCGTCACTTGAATCACGAATGCCGGGCGGCGGATAATGTTGAAATTAGATGGTTTTATCATCGGAATTCGACAAATAATGCATCTATCTAAACAAGAGCAATAAATAATTGTTGCAGGTATCAGCGGGAAAACTCAGCTTCTATACGCGATTATATTCGCTACCCGATATATCGACGTGATGCTGATGTATAGTCCAATAAGCGTTTCCTTAACGAAAATAGGCTTCATGGCACTGACGTATTGTACGGTCTTATCTATATTTTTCTTCTACTTCCAATCGTATCAAATAAAGCACGATAGATTCAGGTGAGTATGCTTATCGTACACCTACATAAAAATACTTTTTTCGTCCGATGGCAAAGTCGTTTTTATATTCATTTTGGCGAGTCTATCTCTGAGCTATGTTTTACGAATGTAATTTTGTTACAAAGAACTTTGATACTGGCTTTCTTCTGTTGAAGACGAATAGACTTTACCGATGATATTGGATTTGTAAATAATTAATTTCGTAATTAAACGGCAAGATAAGATTAACTCTCTGAAAAGTAAGGATTCGAAATATACTCACACTGTTCACTATTTTATTACGTCAGATGATGGCACAATAACGTTTACGTGGTCGATTCCAACAAATGTTTTCATTGCTATTGATTTTTAAAGTCGAACGTTGTAAGTGACAATTGATTTGAATATAGAATTTCATGAATATTATTCATAGCAGGTCGTTATATTTTCATTAGTACTCGTACGTGTTGAACTAAATACATGAAGATATCTGAACAAACAACAAATATTTTTTCCCCGGTTGGTTTTGCTGCGTCACGCATCGCAACTGCTTTCCAATGATTAGCAACCATTCGTACGGAATTGCTGTATCCATTGTCCGTTGCTTTTTGTCTACAAGTATCTAAAATAATTCTTACAGGATCGAATTGCTAACGTTACCGTGCATAGTGCTGTCGCTTCTGGCGAACAATGGCTTCGAAATTGTGGAAGTGTTTTGGGCATTCAGCATTTACCTGGAGTCAGTAGCCATACTTCCACAAGCTTACATGTGCTCGAGGATAAAGCACGTGGAAAATATCGTCTACTACTATATGTCCATACTGTCGGTCTACAAAGTCTTCCATTTGATGGACGGTATCTATCGATTCTACACGAATCAACAGTACGACCGCATTACTTTGGCTGCTGGTGTCGTTCAACTAATGTTCTACTGTGACTTTTTCCTACGGGATTTGCCACTCAAAAGCGAACTACGCTTACTTGAACATGCAAATGACGCGAGTCGGCAGGAAGTACACGTGAGTGTCGTTGACAACAAGTATTTGAAGGAACAAGAGGCTTTGAGAAGTGCGCAGCAGGTGGCAACGATCGCCGATGACGATGCCAAGTTTAACAATCTAAAGGAAGTGGTTCTGACGCCCAACACGCTCGTCAAGGACGACAAGGTGAGCGAACCAGTTCAAGGCTGCAATGAATTTGCGAGTTCAAACTGTTATCTCATCGCGATAGATATTCATTTTCCCTAAGAGTCAACATATGGATTAATTAAAATAATTCTGTTAAATGAGGCCTCGATCAAATTATAATTGATGCGATCAAACCGTGAACAGGAATTGTTCAACCCGGCACTAATAAACGCTTTCCTTTTTTTTCAGGTTGCAATGTCCTTGGAGCAAAGCGGAAAAGAAACCGGTGAGTCAATCGTACGAGTTTGATCATCTGCTGCGTGTGTTACTCTTCAAAAATATCCTATTGTTGTACTTCAATCTTTATTTCCGTAATTGTCACGATAAATTTTATAGTGAAGAATAAATGTACTTTCAACGTATATTTGATTAAACAGTTAAGATTATATCTCACTGTGATACACTTAGGTATTCCGTTATTATTATTAACAGAAATATCCGTGATTCTACGTACGATAAGAGTCTTCAGAAAAAAACAAAATATTAATTCCAATTTTATGATTGTAAATATTTTAGAAATAACAGTGTGTGCAAACGAATGTATGTACATTAATAAAATAACAAATGAAGTTACATACTGTCTGCTTTTCTTTCCGCCATCAGTATACTTCAGCATACTTTGCATTTAATTTTACTTCATTATCAAATCTACGCATTGCAACATCATCAAATCCAATTAGTCATATTCTTGATTTTAGGATATAATTCTTTTTGTCAAAAGAAAATTTACGTTAGTTTACAAAGTAAATTCTTTCTCATCGCACATGTTGTTGAAGTCTCATGAACCATTCCAAAAAGGTGCCTCTCTTTAAATTAAACTGTCTGTAATTTAATTAGTCATCATATACCGGTATTAAGTCGATCGAGTGAAAGTCATTTTAGAATAATAAATATTCATATCCAATATGTAATAACAATTCTTGAGTTCAATTTAATAGGAGTATGGAATTCGTTCATCTTAACAAAACATTCAATTCCAATGGAAGATCTTCACTTTTTATTTTGCAAGTGTGATTGATTAATTTTGATCTTCACTGATGTACATACTATTTATGTTATATATTAGTGTACTTCTGTAGTATTTCACATGAATGTAGTTCTTGAAGTCACTAACAATAACAAGATATGTCATTTGTTACAATAGTAATTCGATAAATCTAATTATAAAAGGGGTGTTAATGAATCTTCTTAATTGTTAGTACAATAAAAATATATATCTTACACTATCGCAATAGTTATGAGAATTGATTGAATCAGTAGTTTCTTTCCAAAAGAACCTTTCAATCTACATCGATTCATAATACTTTTCTGCATTTTAACTGATGAGGGAAAAGTAAGTTCGTTCCCCATGGTTTTTAGTAGCAATCGAATTGACGCCAATTTGCCCGGTAAAAATGAGTTTGTAATCACTTTGATAAAGTAAATTTACATCTCATAAATAGTTGAAAACGCTATAAAACACTTAGTTGTACGAAGCTGCGGGTGTATCAAAATTGACTGCGAAAACTAATAATTATTTTACTGGTAAAGCTTTCTCAGCGAAATATGAACTTTTGTAACTCTATTATCGATCAATACGTTGAAAAGAGACTGGCAGAAATTATTTTAATCGAAATAACATATTCTTTAATCAGTTGTCTATTAACGATAGGCTCGTTAACGAAATCTTATGAAGTGAAATATTATCGTAACTGATAAAAGATATTGCACCGCAGTCGACAAAAAATTCATTTTATGAACGTATCTAGCTAAATTTTTTATTAAAAAATATAATTAATTGCTTAGGTGATTTATTAACAGATTTGGAATCACAAATTCAAAAATACGCTCTTAGAAATGTATACCTGTTACCAGAAATTCAAGCGCACGCGTCCCAATCACAAATTATGTCAAAATCCTCTGATAGAGAAAGTTACTAAGCTCCGAGACGATGGCATTTAAAATTTAAGTAATTTTTTCAAAAATGTATAAAAAATTTAAAAACTTTTCAATGGTTTACATCAAATCCGAAATAATAATAAATAATAATATATGGACAAGATTTTCTTTTTTTTAAAGCTTGCCGATTACAAATAAACTCATTCATTTTTTTCAAATCCCATCACAATTGCTTCAAGAAAACTGAACTATAAGCTGAATATTTTTCAATCGTTAGCTTTTCAGTCATTATTCACAAAATAGCAGATGTTCGAAATCGACGTCGAAAACAATGTGCTCTTTTTCCCTCATTTTCTTCTTTCGAGAGTTACTATAATCGTTCTAATTAATATTTTCAATTTTGCAAAGATCACTCGATAAGCAAAATGGTCAGTTTTCATCATACGCATGTCTCATTTGTTAGCAATTTTTTTGACAAAGTTATCCACTTAAAAAGTCAAAGGACTATTCTTGTGAAACCGATAGTACAATACATGCATTATCAATGATTCTTAAAATTACGATATAACACCTTTTCCACCCAGTATTGATTTACCTCGGTGAACGTTGCTTTGATGAAGAAATGGCTCATCAGATAATTTAAATTTTAAGTCCGTAATACTATCTTGTATTATATTTCTTGCTTTAAAGTTTATAATTTGCTCGTACTAAAAACACTTGGGTTTCCTCAACTGAACCTTCAGTTTTGAAATCAATCAAGATTTAGCCGGAATAAAAAGAAAATAATACGCGACTCCGAGAATAAAGCCGATTATTCACTCGGATCATTATTGCTTTCGCTTCGAAAAAGCTTTACTTGCGCTTCATTCAATTCATTGTAATCCTCTTCCGTTTATTAATTTTCTCATTGCTCTCGCTTATTTTTCGATGAAAATAAAATAAATAAGTCATCCGTCTTAAAATGGAATGATTTTACAAATTCCTATTGATATGTCAGAATTAGAATTTCAAAAAGTTTGCCTCATAGAACCTTTCATGAATCTCCTCGTAATATTTACTTGATGTGTGCGAATAAGGAAAAAAAATTACGTTATTTGTCGTTCGTTCCAAAAAGAATCAGCAAAAAAGTTAGATTTTTGTCGTTGATATACCAAAACATATCTCAGCTGATTAATACCGCACTAAAAAGATGACAAAATACATTCCAAATTCCAATGATCAGAATCAATTTTAAAACAGACTGCACCTGTTGCTATGATAAAGCGTATGAGTTTCTCGAATGAATTGTCAGCAATTTTGAAGTAGCCCGTTGAAGATCAATTGCGATGTATCCATTATCGAGTGCATCTGAGAATCGTTTATTCTGCAGCAACAAGTTGTATCATCATCGCTCAATTTGTTAATTAGTCGGATAAGTATTGATATGAGCGATAGATGCATCCTCTGAAAACATTGACATTTCAATTTGAAGACTCTAAGTTTCATAATATTTCAAAAATTTATAAATATTTATTTCAAAAACGTATTTTTTGATACGACGTGTGGAAAGTGCGATTTTCAGCGCACGTTTTTTGCCGAGCGTACGGGAAAACGCACTTTCCGCACGGAGTGTCGACAAATAAGTTTTCGATACTCCGTGCGCAAAGTGCGTCTTTCCCGCACACTCGATAGAAAAAGTGAGTTGAAAATCACACTTTCCATACGTCGTATCAAAAAATACGGTACGGCACATGTTCGGGAAAGAGTTTCTCGTCTCCACCCTCGCCTCGCTCGGGTGTAAACGCCACACGAGACAAGAATCTACTTTCCCGCACTTGTATCGTAATGTACTATTTTTCTACTATCGTGCGCAAAATCGAACTTTGCACAGCTTAGTAGGAAAAATAGTATACGCAACTTGTGCACAATTAAGGTGATAGCGCACGCGCATTGATAGCTTCGCTCGGGCGGCAAACTCACGCGTGCGGGAATCACCTACTTTGCGCACTCGTTGCATAATGTACTATTCACTTTATATTTCGAGTTGAGGCAAGATTCACTATCAATTGTCTATTTGTCATCCCTAGGCTGATCGGAGGAATGATTGTGAACTTTATACTATTGGCGGAACTCAGGGATTACGACGGCAGTCAATTTACCAGAATAAAATGCACATTTGGTTTGTACCTCGACGTCGTGTCTTGAATTCCACAATTCCAATTGACCTTAAAAAATATGCACATCGATAGATGAGTTTTGCCCTATATTACTGGCTTATTTACGTATGACTTTGTCAGTATGAGAAACATGGGTCACGATTATTATCATTACATCATTAACGGTAACGTAAGATTAATATTTTTCATCTTGAAGTTCATATTTATCTTCTTCTGTAACTATTTTCGAAGAGAATTAGACGCTCAGATTAAATCTATGAATAAAATCATTTACAAAAGTAGAGGTAATGAAGTTATAGTGGTGTCAATAAAAAAAGATTTGAAAAAAGTTTACGATATCAAGTAGTCAGTTGAATTGATATAGCTACAGGACCAAAAACTATTTTTTCCAAAATTCACTGTGAGTCGGTGATGTTTGCTCGTTAAAACGTAGCGCATGCGTCCTACGGGACGTGGATTTTTGGACCGCTCTGGTATTTCTATATAGCTTGCGTTGTCAGTGTCTCCTGAGCATGCAGCTCTTTTTGCCTATCGACGTATAGAATTGTAAGATGAATCGCAAACATCACATGCTAATACCTGCAATTAATGAAAGATAATTCGAACAATCTACCAAATGCAACTCAGAAAATTTTGTTAGATCGTCAATAGTAATAAACTTTGGTAGTCATGTATCAAATGATATGGTTACATGGCATTGTTATATACTTGCTGGCGAATCTTGGGTTACTCTTCCGAATTTGGTGGACTCGAGATTGTTCAGGTAAGCTGATTCATAATACGCAGCGTGCGGATAACTGTGCACGGTTTTATTATACACACAAATTGTTGTGCAGTGTAACATAGCGAAAGAATGGATACTGATTCGTACCATGTTATTGTACACAATAATTTATGTGTATAATAAAACCGTATACAATTGTTCGCACGCATAATACGCATTTCTTTATAAGTACCTCGTATCTGTTATCATAACGAGAGTAATTAGTTTTAATGGTAAAAGAATCAGATTTTTTTATGTTAAAACTGTAGTACATCGAAATTTATTTACTGCCACTGATTCTTGTATCTTGAACAATATTATTTAAACATATTTCATATTATAACATAATTGTAGTTTAGTTGAAATCCGACGGAATTTTTATGCGAATAAAAATATTGAAATGTTATGAGAAACTTCTAATAAATTTTCTATGTATTTAGAATTCATGAATTACATACGTGAATGTAATTGAGTATAAAAATCTATTTCTTTTACAGGACTCAGTGCCAAAAGTCAATATCTCTTTGCTGTGGCTCTTACACTACAATATGCAGATCATGTGTTTCTCGAATCGACCGCTTTGCTGGGATTCGAAATCGTAAAAATAGTCTTCGTGGCGTTATCCTACGCCATTGTAGTGTCAATTCTGTGTTTCTTTAAGGGGACGTACGAAAAAAGATATGACACTACCAGGTAACATTGACAAATGCAATTATTACTTTGAAAAAGACATTGATGTGTTTGTTTATGGCGCAGAATTTCCACGATAGTGTTACCCATGGTAATATGGGCTCTTTGGATCAAGCAGGATAACTATTGTGAAACGATGAAGAACTTGGGAATGATGCTTGGAATAGTGGCTATGGTGCCGCAGTTCCACTTCATCAGTGAATCGATGCGCATTCACACTTATATCATTATTTATATCGTGGCGATGGCCATTTCTTGCTCCCTCTCCCTTGCCCACAGTATTGTAAATTTTGTGGATTACAGGCCGCATTACATGTACGAATACGTTGTTAGGGTGGCTGATGTCGCGTCCTTAATTGTATATTGCGACTTTTTCTTGAGGATTCTACCCTGGTTGATGTATCGCCGCGATAAAGCACGAATGCAGGCCACTTCTAATACCACAACAACTGATAGCAGAACTCCACAGCCAGTCTAGTTTATACGCTCGATCATATGGCTAACTGAATATTTTCATTGAAAATTATGACGACAATAAAATAAAAACACAGGTCTGATTTTGCGTTACCAAGAGAGGCTCAAGACTTATTTGCTCCTAGATTCAAGCTTTCATTTTTAAATTAACGACAATCTAGAAACTCTTGGACACGTTGTACTGAGATATGGAAGCTCTTGAACTCGCTTTTTACATATCATTTTCACGCTTTTAACTACAGGTGAATGAATTAGATTTACCACGTGTGGCCAGAAGTAATCTTGACATTCTTATCGTGAATTAGAAAATAAAATTGAATGGGTATGTAGAAAGTCGTGTAAAATATGCTGACATAAGTTTTATTTTTTTTAATTAGGTAAAACATATTTTTATAAATAATTTACTTAGAATAAATTTGTCACTGACGAAAGTGATTACACATTATTTATATTCATCGAGATCATACGTAAATAAAAAATTATTTTAAACGTTATTTTGGCTTATTGATTGAAACCACCGACACATTGTGTTTTTATTGCATTTTCATATTTCATTTTTTAATAAAATTGATCCAATTATCCAATATAAAGTTTGATGTTTTCAATATGGCTATTCTAACAGTTTAGGTTTCTGTTTGACTAATATTGTTGTAAAATACACACTTAACATGGTTTCTTTTTTTCAGTTCATTTTTGAATAATTTATTTATATCCAAATATTTTGATAAATTATTATGACACATTATTCTCTGAAAAATCATAATTTTTCAACGTTTGTTGAAATCTTGGAGAAAGATCTTTTTATATTGAAACTACGAAAAAACAATCGGTTAAATATTTTTACTATTTTAATTCTTACCATTTTACCATTCAATTTTAGTGTTAAATTGAGATGTTAATTCTCTAAGACAAGCCATTTTGGTTGAAGTCAAAACAAAATTTTTGCTCTTATATGTCATACACATCATGGTTTTTAATTCTAACAAAATGAACATCTGAGACAAACGCTCGTTGTCGGGAATTGGCAAACGTCGTCATATCGGAATGATATAACAGATTCAGATGAAGCCCGTAGTGCAAATTATTTGCAAAGGCGATTAATGCATTCATGTGGCTGATTATTTACACGACCTAACAATTTTTGGATTGAACATTAAAATTTGGATAAACTAAAATGTTTCGATATATTCGATATACAGCTTACAAGTTATGGTTTGCAAAGAAGACTTTTATAATGAATTTTCTAATGAATAGTATACTACCTTGCAATTAATATTACTACTTAATAATAATTTTTATAAGAATAAGAAATCTTCGTTTACTTAAATCGTATGTGACTGTAGCGTGCAGCTTCTCTGATATTATTATGCACATATAAATGTATACTTTATCCCGCACATTAATTCATGATCCGCAAAGTTCAAAATTTAAAAACACCCAGATAGTGTGTAACAATTAGATAGTTTTTAGATAGTTGTGGCTCTCTGACTGAAAGCAATATGCCAATATTTTTGAAAATTTGCGATTGTATTATTATAAAAAAAGTAAAAGAGTTTTATATAGATAAATTTACTACTGATTTTTATAATAATATCTTATAATGACACATTGTTGTATCATATTATTTTTGTATAATCACATAAAGTATGAAATAAATTATTATATAAAATAATAAGAAAACTATATTTATTTCCCGTCTTCTCACTAACGTATCTACTTTACGATAATGACTGTAATTATTTTTGTATAAAACTAAAATGAACTTTTTTTTACAAGAATGTATATACTTGAGTAGTAATAGCTATTTTTAATATTTATTGATAAATGAACAAACAATATTTGTTAGTGAAATATTAAGATAGCATGGAAATTGATTTTAGAATTTTCATTGAAAATACAGAATTGGTTCCTACAAACAGCAATGACCTATATACATCAACTCTTACATAGTATAGTAATGTGCGTATATGAATTGCATTGGGGGCTCTTTGGGCCCATTCTACATATGCATTCGAAACAGTCAATCACGATTTGCTTAGTGCTATATACTCTTATAATGGAGTGAATCAATAAGTTGTACGTTTTGTAAATCTTCGTTCATACATAAATATTATTATAACCATATTTACAAAGATATGTCTCAAGATGTAAAAAATTTTTGTGATAATGTAGATAATACAAAATTACTGAACGGTCTTTAATTTAATATTTTATCTATAAAATACTTAGAGGAAAATAATAATGTATTAATAGCTCTATCAACAAAATTAAATTAGAATAAAAATATAAGTGTACCTATGTTACCGACTGATTTTTCAGGTGCATAGTGAGAAAAAATATTTGTTCTTTGACGGATGGTTATAATAATATTTTGATTGGATAGAAAAACTGCGCGTAATTTTTGTTAACAATTGAGCAAGTTTATGTATGTAAAAATTGTATTTAAAAGCTATGCAGATACAATTATCGACAATCTGTGGGTCAACAACTTTAGCAATCCTTTTATTAATGAAAACGAAATTGCGTAGGATTAATAATCAGTTTTCCTATCCTTACTAATGACGCATAGTTTTGCTATAATATTTTTGGAACAATTACTATCGATTTACAGCTGAGTTCCTTCATCCGAGTTATACGCCCATTGCATTGACTAACGTATGGTACACTTCTCGCAATGTTTATTAAGGACATGAGAACAAATTCATATTCTTAAGAAAAAAATAAAAGTACATTTTCAAAATTTCTTTTTCGTGTAACTTTATCAAAATTGCATCAATTAAACTGAAACTTTTCTCGGGTGATAGGTAATATTCTAGACTATCAATTAAACTTGTAAAATGTATACTTGAAAGGCATAAGCGTGAAAAAAATAATTAATTTTATTCTACGGAGCCCGGAATAACCATCATACCGTATAAAGTGCCGGGGCCTGCTATAACTTCGTGTTTACTCGTATGCGTTCCGCTATCGCATTAATTGATAATAGTTGATAAGCACGTGTCGATGCAAAGTGTAACATATCAATGATTTCAGTGTTTGTCTCGAGTAATATTATAAATGTAAGTATTTTAGTTAAATCTTACAAAGATCTTATAATTGTATTAAAATTTTAAATCGTATTATTTTCACCCCTCAATTTTCAGTGTTGAAATTATTGTTAATTTTCCATAGGAAGTCATTTTGCTTGTATGGTCAAACATGAACTGTGCTCCTCTAACGTGCCTCAGTGATATTGTAATCTATTGTTTAAGAGCGCAACGGCAACTCAAATCCAAATGAGTTTTCCTCAGCTCACCCAGCTCACCAGAGAGAGCGCTGCGCGCACTTTTGCCGGTGACGCGTTTTTTTTTTGACTATAAACTGCTGCGACCAAGCAAGCGTATAGTTGTGTACTACAAGTCCGTCTCGACAGGTCTTAAAATTGTTAAGTTTTTGTTAATCCTCAAGTGTATTAACAATTAAATCTAGCAATCATGCTTGACAAAATATATTGGGTCGGTAGTTACTTACATTTGCTGGCAATGATTGCCTTGCTAGTGAAAATTTGGGCTACTCAAGATTGCACTGGTGAGTTTTCCAGTTAGATATATATTTACCTGTAGGGTCATATGCACGTATATGTACATTAGTACAAATCTCTAAAATATCTAGAATACCAACTATAGAGCAGTGAATGTTTTGAGTATTTATCTTTTAACGTACAAATCGGGGAAGATATGGCGTCCCGGTAGGATCCCACGTGGATATTCCCAACTAGGGCGTGTTTCGGAAAGTTGGCTATATTAGTCAACGTTGCTATGACAACAATGTCTTTTCTGTAGTTGGTATAATCACTTAATTTATTTTTTTGAAAACATTTTCGTATGTTAATGATTTGTACAATATATAAGTGTTCGGGTATATACATATGATAATCTTACAGAAATTATGATGTCTGATGTGTATTCCGAAAAAGTTCATGCTTTGTTTAAATAGCTGTTAATTTATCAAGCGAATTGCACGTCAACAAGTTGCGATCAATGCCCATAATTGTATTTTTGTTTTACAAATTTTCGACATTGAAACAACTAAAACAATACTTATATCCTATTTTATTCATCTTGACATCTTTAAATGACATTTTTCAATAAAAGTGATTTTTTTATTCTATAATAACAGTAATGGTATATTGCTTCTGTTGGTTATAAAAACGTATTGTTCTAACATTGCTAATAATCAAGCGTTTAACGCAAAAGTATGTACATATAGCGGTGTAGACATTTCAATTTCTTTTTTATTTTTAATCGACTCCAAAATAGATGTGCTTTTTATACAACTGCATATAATCAGAACGTGATAATTATACTGAAGGCGAAGCATTTATATTCGTTTCGCATTACTAAAGTGTCTTTCGATTTGCATTACAGGCATAAGCATCAAATCTCAATTCCTGTACGCTGTGGTATTTACGACGAGATATCTGGACGTGTTCACGACTTTCATATCTAGAGAGAATACCTTCTTCAAGATTATTTACATCCTGCTAACTTATGTCACTTTATTCTCGATGACCTTTTTATTCTGGAAAACTTACGAGAAGAAGTATGACATAGCTAGGTCAGTAGCTACTACAAACTAGTTTTTTAACACTATTTGCTTGTGAGATTTTGTCGCTCGTGGAATCTACGTATTCTTCTCAGTAACATTTCTGGCGTAAGAAGCTGAATCATATTTCTTGACAGCTCTCGCGTTTGAATCTTCAAACAAATTTAATCAACAACCCACACAAACTGAAATATGTTAACGCGAGAAAAAAACTTGCAGATTGGAGATACTGATGATCCCGTGCATCGTGATAGCCCTGCTAGTGAATTACGAGTTCAGCTATTTGGAAATATTGTGGACTTTCAGCATATATCTGGAAGCAGTTGCGATGGTGCCGCAATTTCATTTCGTTCACAGGTCCAAGCGCATCCACAAGCACATTATCTGCTACATCGCCGCGATATGTATCTACAAGGCGCTTTATATCGCGCACTGGGCCTATCAGTATTTTTACCAGAGCCACCACTACGACAAGCTCAGTTTAAGCGCTGGCATGGTGCAGTTAGTTTTGTATTGCGACTTTTTTCGGTGCATTTTGCCGTTGCTGTTCAACGGCAAAATGCACGACGTTCAACCGACTGTGGCAACCATCGAGGTCAACGTAGAGAACGGCATCCCAAAGACGGGCCATCTTACCAATAACGTAAGCACAATTGTGCTCACACCAACATTTCTGACTGGAGTCGACAATGACAAGGTAGGTTGCTTTCTTTAACTTTTCATGATGATTATTTCTCGTTGTACCGACCTTACAATGGAGTCAGATGTATATTTTACGTAATACGAAAGTACTCGATCGTATGAATTATTAGGACTCTGCTCTTATCGCGCTTATTTAATATTTTGACAATTTATAAAAGATCACGGAGTTAAATGCACAGTTCACGTTACGATGTAATGAATATCTCCACCATGATCATCATAAAATAATTTAATATATGTTTTGTTGCAGAAAAATCTCCTAACTACAGAAAAGACTGTTGAGAAATATTGATCGTCTAAGTATATGATTCACAATAGTACATTAGTTAACTAATGCAGGAAAGTAGATTTTTGTCTTTTTATCAGAACTTAGTTCTTAAACATGTCATGTACAGTATTTTTTAAAACAACGTGTACAAAGCGCGAATTTAAACGCACGTTTTTCACTGAGCGTGTGGCAAAGTAACGTTTCGTACAATGTGCTGAAAACATATCTTTCGTGATATGGATCTTTATGGCGATTCAGTGTATTACAATTCTAGAATCACAATAATATTCTTTTAGCTTTGCCAAAACTACACGTGTAGTAGTCTTATGTGAGAGCTCATGATAAGGCAGACTAATAATTATAAAGTTTAATTAGATATGAGTTTTCTCTGTAAATAACATCATACTATTTTCGTACTCAATTATTAATTTTTAACGATATTACATGTGCTTTTATATTCTTATATTGTATGCACGTATTTTCTGTACAAGCCGGATTCCATCGATGAAAATGTTTACAACTCTCCATGTATATTTTTGATAAAAATAAATTATTTTCAAAGCAAATCGGTCGATCTTATATTGTTAGTATGACTAATGACATTCATATACGTTATACAACAACAACCGATAGACCACACAATTGAAGCAGAATTTATTACATCTCCGTGTGCGAAGGCTTTCGGTAAACGCGATAATGATTGTGATACGTCAACACAAAGGCGAAACCAATTGGTATCTTACTAGGGCAATAACGATCCATTGCTAAAAAACCATTCAGTGGGAATTACGAAACTGGTGGGATATCACATCTGATCGACAACGCATGCGCGTATTCCGCCACTATAAACGGCATTTTAAAAGACCCGCTGTCGGAGTTTCTGTCATCATCGTTCAGAAGTTGATGTGTTACCATTGGCTTTGATGTATTTCATTGACTTCAAGAGTAAAACAAAGGCTCGTTAAATAGCTTGTTAGAGTTTTGACGATTTGTGCTTGTTGAGAATCATGAAGGACTTTCAAAATATCGGTGTAGTGCTGCAGCTTGCGGCTATGCTCATACTTCTCATCAAGATCGTTTTTACGCGCAACTGCTCTGGTAAGTAAGTATTATACAGTGCGTTGACATGCCAAACTTGATTAAAGACTAGTAACGATGCAGAAAACCTAGGAACGTGGCGTTCAAGTGCATGCAATTCAGTATTTGGACTCAAAAGGCTTTTGTTGTCGAAAACTAACAAATCTTAGATGATAGCATATGAAATTTTGGTAGATCTGTAGTGACAATAAGGTGCACGATCACGATAAGGCATTATTTGCCCTGGAAATACAGATAAGATAGCGCTCGATACTTATCTCGCGCAGAGAATGAATTTCTTGACGAGTTAGAGTCGTAGGCGTAAATTGGCAGACAAGAGCAAGGAAAGGAGCGATTGATCAAAGTAACAGGCTTATCATAATTCTATGAATCGATTGCGCATGTTCTTTGTCCAACAGGTCTAAGCGGTCGAACCCAAATACTTCATGCACTGGCGTTCAGCACGCGGTTTTTGGATCTGCCAGATGAATTGGAGGTGTCGATACTGTTTTTCGCACTGAAGATCGTCTACCTGTTGATTGCTTATATGACAGTGGCCGTGATATTCATCGCCTGCCGGAGAACTTATGAGCAAGAATACGACGCTTTCAGGTGAAAGACTCGCAGCGGCAATCGGCCAAGGCGGATTGTTTACGTAAATGATGTATGTTTAATTAGGATCGATTACCTGGTGGGAGCGTGCCTAACGGCGGCAATAATAACGAGTTACAAGCACCTCGATATCTTGTCGATCTTGTGGTACTTCAGTGTCTATCTGGAGACATTTGCCATCCTGCCGCAAATCTTCTTTACTAGGAACGCCGACTACGCGGGCAGCTCCCTCGTCTTCTACGTTGGTTTGCTCGCTTGTTATCGGCTCTTCGATGTGGTTCACTGGGGATACGGCATTTGGACTGCTTCTCTCGCCGATAGCCTCTTCGTCGTCGTCAATGGCACGCTGCAACTGCTCATTTATTGCGGATACTTTAGTTGGATGGTGCCGTTGTTTCAAACTCGTTACGACCATTTGAGAGACGCCAATGCTATGTCCGAGGTGACAAAAGTCTCGAGTGATGTCACGTCCAATGGCATCAAAAACACCGCTGAGTACTGACACTCTTGACTGATATTTTAGGGTGAGCGTGAGTGCTAATGTGTGATAGTTGTTACGATATATATATAGTGATTTCAAGTGAATCGGCAGCAAAATGAATTGACTCGAACAATTGGCAAGGACTTATAATTAATCGAAAACTGTCTGCAAAAGTCAAGCGATTTAACAAGAAACAGATTTTTATTTACGTTACTAATCAAAATACTATATAAAATATAAGATATATTATAATTACAGTATATCTTATCGCTTCGCGCATATCAACTTTAGAATAAACATGTTTGAAATCGATTCATTTGTAGGATCTTTTGTATCTCAAATAGTTATATTTTACTTAAAATGTATAGTTCAACCGAACGCCGTGGAAGTCAGTCGTAAAAATGAGAAGAAAAAAATGGAATGTCAAAAAGTCCGTGCGAAATGGCGCGAGCTCCGTTTCTTATTATTTATTATTATTATTATTTATGTAATCATTTATTATTTGTTTCTTTGCATAGGAATGAAAATATTTGCAATACTTGATTCCTGAGGGTATACGATAGAGCTCTAAAGATAAAAGTTGTAACGGTTCTTTTTACGAAATAGACAGTGATCGATCAATAGTAAGTTTTTAGCTTGTAAAAACCTTTCGGTACTTACATAGAAATCTATATAAAACTCATAGTTTTTTTATTATATTCGTTAATAAACATTCACTTTGTTTTATTTCATCAAAACAATTTCGTTTCACAGAATCGATGTACTTGTTATATTATTTGAGTGAAAAGGTGAGATATTCGCTTAATTCTACCACATCGTTTTCTTTTTCATAAAAGCTATTCCCATCATCAATTTTTTTTATCGAGCACGTAAGAAAGCAAGCGACAATTATAAAAGTTTTGAAAACACCAACACAATAGACCCAAAAAAAAAAAGACCGATCCTCAGGAGAAACTCATTTTCCAAGTAAGAAAAAAAATATCCACGAAAACCATTGATACTTAAACTTTCCGACCACGTTATCTAGTTACAGAGCCATCACGTACAGTCGTGTTGCTTGAGCCAATGAAAGTTTTGTCGGTAAACGAAACATCCCTCGTGAGGTATTTTTGTTATCCGAGGATTACGTATGTGTGCGAAAGTGGCCACCGAAAACTAGACGCGCTGGGAGACCCCCTGAGTGTTCATTTCTGATGAACGAATTATTTATTTAACTACGTCCGGAGAGAGAGAGGGAGAACGAGAGAGAGAGAGGGAGAGAGAAGCAGTAACGCGATTAAATAGTTGTGGTGAGGCAAGATGACGACAATGGAAGATCTACAACTCTCGTAAATAATACATTCAACTGTTCATACACGAGTATCATATTATGACAATTGAACCGAAGAGAAGCAAGGAAAGTAGGCTATGATGAATTTTGTATTACCTGAACAGAATCGATTTCAAATTAATCATACTCGATGAATTCGATGAGCAGTTACGTTCACAGCAGCACGACGAACAATTTGAATATTAGTTTTTCGATGTACGGAGCACGCTATTGTGTCTCCGATGTTTTTTCTCTTCCAAAAGTTATTAGCGTATATAGATAATAACGGCAAGTGTCTGCGTTTATAAATCCGTTTATGTATGCAAATTTGTAGCGCGTTCGCGTGTGGATGTAATTAGAGCTCGGGTTTCCGTTTCACGTACTCGAAGCGTTATTTTTGAACAATAAATATTGCATGTATAATTGCCGAGATTGGCGATGGCTCCCCGAGCGTTTAATAAAAAATGAACGTGTCGAACGTTACACTGCGAATTTGTGAGGCTCGCACGCGGGGCGGTGTCATACTAAAATCGCACATCGAACAGTTTTTGCAATAGATTTCATTGGCTTGTTATTGATATCCAATATATTTGCGGAATTCGAGCAGTTATTAAGTCATATATGGGGTATTCAATTGGTAAGGTTGTTTATACTCGTTATTTATAACTAATGTCTATGTATTCTAAAAAACATAAGTCGATTGTAGTGAGCAGAAGCATACCGTCATCATTAGGACTGACAAAATCGTGATTAAAAGACTTGTTGCTATACTGTCGGATTAATATGCGAGTAGCACCGAATGCAAGGCAACGTGTGTAATTTATTGCTTCACTGACTACATACCACTCTGTCGTGCGAGACGAAGGAATGGACCGCCGTCAATTGAGATTACGGTGTTGTATACGATAAGAATTATGTGTGCGCGCGCGCACACACACACATGCGCCCACGCGCGCACACATACACTACCAGTCGTTTCTATAAATAGCAGATAACTTGGTAGTCTCATCGTAATTTCTCACTCAAAGAGCGCGTCATACATTTTACTGTCGGACAATATGTCACCAAGTGAAACCATGGGAAAAAAAATGTTTTATCGTCCTTTAAACAACAGCCCATTAATACCCATTAATACTGGACTTGGCGTATTTGCGAAGCTTACAAGGACAGCGTCACGGAAAAGGACAACAGCAGACGCAGGAGCGAGAAGAAAAAAGCTGTTGCCCCACAGATAGGTCATACGTAGAGCTTGCTTTTCTCACGTTGAGAGCTTTCGCGTACGCGATTTCCTCACTCTCTTCCTATTTCCCCCACCCCACAATTTGCGCATAGCCGCCGAATTCAGCTTTATATAGCAGTTGCCAACGAAACGTCGAGGCAATCGAGTCGAGCTTTGTTCCTCTTGCTATAGCGTTATGGCAGATGAACCGGATGAACCTAGTATATCAGTGTTTTTATTGATGGGTGATATTGCAAGATTATTGGCTATGATTTCATTGCCAATTAATATCATTTTTACGAAGAATTGCGCTGGTAAGTGAGAAGCTTTTTCTTCTAATTTTGTGTTTGTCGTCAGATTTTTGCATACGTGTGAATTTGATACATAATTTTCAGCAAAATTCTCATTTACTTGTGATTTGATTCAAATTAAATATACTGTAGTGAATTTTATGTGTTGTTAATGATGTCATTTGTTATTGTTTTATTTTACTTTTATAAATTAATATTTTAACATCCATGAATATAATGCACTAAAATTTTTGAAAAACAGGGCTAATTGTTAAAAACATATGAAAGAGAGTATTTGAAAAGCTTTCGAAAGACTGAATGGAATGAAGTGTTGGAAAGAGATTCTTCAGATAAGTTATTATGAAAACATGTATACATTTTGGACGATTGCCTATTTTTTAATGATACTTTAAAAACCTGACTCTCTTTTCTAATCCAGTATAATACTCAAAACGATAAATTTACCATGATACGATAAATGACAAACAACAAAACATTTGTTATATTATCAATTTTAACCGTAGACTGAATGCCTGCGAAAAAACCAGTAACCAATATCCAATTATTTTACGTTTAGAGCTCTTTTTTTTACATTTCATGCTATTTGATCTTTACAAAGTTCAATCCTCTTGTTGGTGAAATCAATTTGTTCGGACTAGTATATATATATACTTAAATCAGAACTTGTATTTTTCCCAAATTGATATAATTTGATTGATCTTACTTTCTAATAGAGAATTAAAACAAATTATATTTTATTCATATGTTTAAGGTGATTAGTACGTAATTTATATATAAAAGATAGTTGGTTAGCTATTATTAATTAGAGTTAGTAAACAGTTTTATAAATCAATATTGTGATTCGTTTTTTATAGGTATTAGCGGGAAAACCCAACTGCTTTATGCTTTGATATTTACAACGCGATACATAAGTATAACGCTCAAAAATTTAACTCTCCAAATGATGCATGGACTCGTGTTTACTTGTACAACGTACTTGACAGTATTATTAATTTATTTTTTCCAAAAAAAGACTTACGAAAATAAAAATGATTTCTTCAGGTAACTATTGTACTGTAGATCAGTGTCATTTCAAAAGGATTGACGTAAAAACTCATTCTAAAATTTCACTTTCAGAATCGACCTTTTGATACTACCTTCAATCGCTTTAGCTATATACTATCCATACTGCAATTTTAAACAGATCTCTTACATACAATCCTTAGAAACATTCAGTATGATTTTGGAGGCTGTGGCAATAGTCCCACAAACGTTTTTCAATACTAAACAAAAAAAGATTCACAGCGTGGTGGCATACTACATTGCATTCATATCATTATCGGTGATTTTGTATATAGTTTACTACATTTCACCAGCAAGTGACAAAGAAAGTATCTTTCTAGTCAGCAATACCGTTCAGTTCATGTTTTGTTGTGATTATTTTATGAAAAATATGCTATGTTTTCGGTCAATACAAACTTTTGAATTCAACGATCAAGAAACAAGCGATGCCATTGCTATGAACGTGAACCATTCATAAAAAAGTAGGAGATATGTGATTACATATTCAAAAAATATTTCTCATAAAATGCATTTATACATGTAAATTATTATTATTAATTTACGAGTGATGTTTACCGCGCTTCGCGTGCTCATCTTTTTCATTTTTTATTGCGCGAATATAGATTAAAACTTTTATTGGTGAAATTGAAAATTCAACACTTCCATATGCATTACATATTTCCTTGATTTGATATGAGATATAGCCGATAATATTATTTATTGTTAAATAAATGTGCATTACAATTGATAATCATGATTTAAAAATATGTTATCGATGAAGTTTTCAGTATTTTTTATCATCTGTATTGAAAAATTATTGTTCAAAAGTTTGATAAATACGATAAAAAATGTAATATAAGTTCTAAAAACATTATACATACCAAGGACCCTTTCGAGATGTCCGCCTCTAATTTCCATGTAACTGTAATATGCTATAGGACATAAAAAAAAATAAGAGACACGTATTTTTTCTTATTGGCGGAAAAGCCTTTTTAAGGGGTGAAAACAACCTTTAAAAATCACCTCTGAAAATAAACTTCTCTTAATATCTCTAAAAAAATGGAATATTAATATATTTACAACGCTAAATTGTTTGTACCCTATAGGGTTGTAACCCCTGATTTTTTTAAGTAATAGTACATTACGATACAAGTGCGGGAAAATAGATTCTCGTCTCGTGTAGCGTTTACGCCCGAGCGAAGCAAGGGTGGAAAGGTACACGAGACGAGAAACTCTTTCCCGAACATGTGCCGTACCATATTTTTTGATACGACGTGTAAAAAATGCGATTTTTAACGCAAGTTTTTTGCCGAGCGTGCGGAAAAAACGCACTTTCCGCATGGAGTGTTGAAAAAATATAACTTTTTTACAATTTTTCGAGTACCAGCTTTTTGAAAATGCTTAAATTAAATTAAAAAATACATTTTTGTAAAGAAAGTGGAATATTTTAGTAGAGGTAATTCGGGAATTTTATCCAAAAATCGATTTATGGTGATTGCCCACCCCTATATTTACTAAAATTCAATGTTAATAAGAAAAATATTCCTTTGTGGAGTAGCTATAAAATTTAAAGATAAACGAGGTTAATATGTATGTTTTAAAGTGTGGCAACGATAAAATGGCAGTTCTATGGCGATTATTTGTACCCAAAAGTGTTGAAATTTTTACACTTTCAAAGTTTTTCTTTTTGTGTTAAATTCCTGTGATAATTACTCTTACTCATAAGTTAAGTGCAAAGAGATATTCTGAAAAAGAAAAACAAAGTCTATGGTAGGTATTTAGTAATTGTGTTATGTTTATGTTTTCATTGCGTTAATTGTAATATTTGGTAACAATGAGAATCAATCAAATGAATATCATTAATCTTATACTAACAAAATTCCAAGTTATGAATATAAACGAAACTCCTGTTAACCATGTAGAATTAGAATTGAAAGAACACATTGAAAAAATTCTTTTGAATGCTATGGATAACTTTAACGAAGTGAAAACTCTAAAAGATAATCAAATTTGAAGAATTTAAAAATTGTGAAGTGATGGCCGTTAAAGATAATATACGGTACGACCAGCCTACTGATTCTAATGAATGTACCGCGGATGATGAAAAATTAAGTTAAGAATACAAAAAGAAAGCAGTTGAATACTGGAGATCTGCAAAGATGGAAAATTTACGCATTGATACTGTTAGACAGAAATATAAAAAAAATATCATTTGAACGACAATTATGTTGTTGGGCAAATCAGATTAATAAAGACGGTACGTATATGGAAAAACTAAATGTAATTTCTGAATTTGTATTTAAAAAAATTAGAGATTCTACAAAAGTGGGCAATATTATTTACGATACTGATCTTCGCAAATGGGCATGGCAAGCCAAAAATAATATAGGTTTTCACGACGTACGATTTAAAGCTTCATATTTTTGGCTATATAAATTTAAGAAAGAACATAAAATAGTGAACAAGAAAAATAAATAAATTTATTACAAGAAAAACTTTGTGATGAGTCAAGGTTAAAAGATGAAGCGGACAAATTTGTAGATAAAACATGAAATTACATCCGTTAGTATGGAGAAGATAATATCTATAACTCTGATCAAAGTGGATTTGATTTATAAATTTATTCTAAATAAATATTAACATAGAAAGGAACAAAAATAGTTGAGTGTATTGTTCAATAAATTTTTGCAACAACCCACAGCTATACGCTGTAGCTGACAATAATGCTGCAGGAAAATTACTTTTGCCCCGTTTTTTTTTAATTATGAAGGAAACAAAGGATGAATTTAGACCGATAATGCTAAAAAATTTATTTAAACCACCAAATGTTTACATGATTGCAATTGACTAAAGATACGTGTAGTCTACAAATACTGATTTTATAAGTTCTTTTTAAATATGCATTATATTTACAGAATATTTCAAAACGTGGATAAAAGAAGTCATTTATTCTAATGTGGGTAGTGAAAGTGTATTTCTATTCTTGGAGTGGACATTTTCCAGAAGCTGTTCGAGAACCTACTATTATATATATTTTATTTCCAGAAATGTATAACATTAAGTTTTTTACATTACCCCCTCATACAATATCCCCATACATACAAAAACTTACAGAAATTTTTACACAAATTACAAAAATTATAAAATAACAAAAATTACAGAAATTTCAAAAATTCTCACAATCAACTGTCTTTACCTAGATATGTCAATGTTTTTTAAGTACAGTTGGTTTAAAGGTGAATATATAGACAAAAAACCTATCCATTTTGAAAACCCTGTTGAATTTGGATTTACATAAGCAGATCAAGCTTTATGTGAGGCACCTAGATGTACAAATGTTGCTATTATTAAATGTTCATGATGTCGAAAATATTTATGCCTTAAACATAATTTCGAAGAATTTCATTATCGTATAAACTATGTTCCTTAACGAATAATATTACACAACATGCTGAATTGTTTTACAATTAAAGTTGTATAATTAGTATACCTGCTTAAACTTGCATGAGCAAAAGAAGACTATTTTATAAATTACCTTTTAATTATTTTAGTTTGTATTGATAAATAATCATTTTATGAACTAGTAATCGTTGAAATAAATTACGCTTTTTCTTTCTGAAATTGTTACTGTTTTTCATAACTCATTGGGTCACCTTGTATATTTTGTTTTCTTTAGAGTTAATTTTATCATACAGCTTAAACTTTCTGTATTACGTGTGAAAAAAATGCAGATAAAATATTTTTATTTTCAATTGTTTTGGATTGATTTCGCATTAGTATATTGTAATTTTTTTTAAATAATATAAAAATTTCGAAAAAATGTATGACTTGCAATCTCTTAATTCACCAATAATTTTCATGAGACAGTCTGTATGTGAAAAAAAAATTAGTATTACAATTATATGAATATTCAAATTAATTTTTATAATATTCATAAAAACAAATTTCCTGAGTAAAATTGTAAAAGTTGTTTTCATATCCTAAAATAATATAAACCTTGTTTATCTTTAAATCGCATGGCTACTCCACGAGTAAATATATTTTTTTTATTAACATGGAAATTTTGTGAATATAAGGGTAGGGAGCCCCATTAAATCGATTTTTTGATAAATATTCAAAACACCATGACTTAAATATTCCATTTTATTTACAAAAATGTATATTTTAATTTAATTTAAGCTATTTCAAAAATCTGATACTCAAAAAATTGTTATAAAAGTAATATTTTTACTTAAAAAAATTAGAGGTTACAACCCTTTAGGGTACAAAAAATTGTCATACAAGTCCCATTTCATAACAAACAATTTGGCGTTGGAATTATAACAATATTCCATTTGTTTAGAGATATTAAGAAAAGTTTATTTTCAGGGGTGATTTTTAAGGGTTGTTTTAACCCCCTAAAAATGTTTCTCCGTCGATAAAAAATACGTATCTCTTATTTTTTTTATGTTCTACAACATATTACATTAACATACAATCGGAGGTGGACACTTCACAAGGGTTCCTTATAAGTTATAATCATATACATCCTTCACGATGTAAATAACATACTTCGGTATAAATGTTCATGGTTGTAATTGGTGCATTTTTAAATAAATTTTCTAATATTTTACATATTTTAATAAAGCCTTAATAAATAGTCTATCGATGTGTATTTTTTATTATTGCCTACTTTGCTTAATTAAAGCGAAACTTTCACATAAAGCAAAATAGAATTAATTTTTATATCGCGGTATCAAACAATTCTTTTTTAAGGTTATAGTAACGATTAAATCAATCAATTCACATAAAATACACTTTGTCATCACCATATATATAATAAAACTTTTTTTAGCGTAATTATTAATTTTAATTTCTTTATTCTATCGCTAAGTATATAGTTTATACATTTTATATTGAATTAATATTGGTTTTGTAAATGCGATATAGCTAACAGCGAAATTACAAAGTATTAAAGATTAGGTGAAAAAAATATTTTCAAAAATAACTAAAAATTAGATTGTAATAATAACTGAGACGAGGTGTTGAATATAAAGTTTTGATATGTTTACATTTTTATTGAACTCTTGAGAATTTTGAAAAGTCGTAGTTATCATTATCTTATAATGGCTCCCTTTTTAGTTTGGAACTTCCGAAGGAAAATGTTCTCTATCTTTTAATTTACTGATGTATAATACTTGTACCATTGTGTCTTTATTATTAAAATATATTGAGAAGCAAAGAATGGAAGTGTTCAGAAAACAAAATTTTCGATCAAAGGAAACATGTTTTGCAGAATGCAATACAAATATTTGAAATATTATAGAAATAGCTTTATCTCATCATTTTTAATGCTATTATTTGTTGAAAAGAAGGAAATTGATCATTATCCTTTCAGGTTTAAAAATATGGTCAACTATCTTAAAGAATAGAATCAAAATCTATATAACCTCATCATAAGTTTGAATTTTGAAAGTTAGTAAAGTTCTAGAAATGTCAAAAATTTTTTATTTTTTGACTTTTACCAAGACAATTACCAGGAGTTCAAAAGTATTTGACAAATACTCTGAATCTGAATTAAATCTGAATTTTGAATATTTCTTTTGAAATTGTTCTATATTATAATTAATAATTTATTTCTTGCGATTCAAATGATTACAGATTTCAAAATCGAATCAGCATATTCATAATAATACTTAAAAGTATGGAATCCAACATTGTAGATCAAGTTTTCAACAATGAATACTTCAAAATAAATAAAAAAATACTGATTTTATGCGGATTGTGGCCGTATTCATCTAAACTTGGAAACATAGTTAAACGATTGTTTATAGTAATGGTATTAAGCGGTGTTTCATTTCCTCATGTAAGTTGAGCTGCTAATAAAAAAAAAATTGGTGGATTTCCTTAATATATATTTATCTAAACGCTACTAAACCTTCATAGTTGAGAAACCAAGAGCTTCAAACTTAAGAAAAAGATAATTTTGATGTTACAACAGAAAATTAAAGATGTACTTCAATAATAGTTTATATCTCTTTATATCGAAAATAGTTTTATCTAAAATATTAGAAAATTTCACTTTATTTTTAAATAGCTTGCAAACCCCCTAAACACAGTCGACAAACAGTAGTTGTTGAGGCACAATATATAGAGCCTAATACCCTTTTCAGATTAATGCAATAAGAATGTGGTGCGGTAAAGACTTAGGTTTATGTGCTGAAAATATTGCAGCAACCGTATACAGTGCAGGAGTTTTAACTAAGTACTCAGTTGTGATTTTGAAAGAAAAGAAGGTAATAATCTCATTCTATTCATAATTTTTAAATGATTATAGTGATTAATTAAATATATTTGTTCCTCATTAAAGATGGCCAAAGTCTATAATTTACTTACATCAACTTGGTCGTGGATTGTAGATTCGACAGAAAAACAGATCATGTTTGAGAATGCCAAAATAGCAAAGTTAAAGACCATTGGCTATGCCGGTTAGTGTTAGTTCTATGTAAACTTACAACTTCTATAAATTGTTTTCATTTACAAATGCTATATTTACATTGACGTTGCACAAATATTTTTACTATGCATTATAAATAAGCACTCCTTTATTAAATACTTACTCATAAACCTGAACATTAAAATATTTCTATGCATTAAAAAAAATACAATTTTCAGGATACTTAGCTATAGCTGCAATAGCTTTTACTCAGACGGGAATGATTCCTACAATTTTAGATATTACTATACCGCTAAATGAATCTCGACCAAAGATACAAGTTGTGCATGCGGAATACATTGTTGATCAAGACGAATATTTTTTTGAAATCTATTGTATTTATTGTGTTGTGGGAGTAGTTAGTTCTATGGTACTTGTGAGTATCGATACCGTATACACTGTTGTGGTTCATCAAAATCTTGCTGTTTTTGGTATTATTAAGTAAGTATACTTTGTTTCGGGACAAGCATTACTCTGATAAAAGAATATTTAAGATCTTAAGTGTTCATAATCAATCAATTTTGTAGGTATCGATTACACTTAGCAACGGAAAATCCCAAACAGGGACTTCCAAAAGAGCATGATTTTGCATACAATACAATCATTTCAGCGATTCGTTTACATCAAAAAGCAATCGAGTTAAGTACAAAGTTTTATGTTATTATTTTTTGATTCTACTCTCTTACCATGATATAGATTTTTAGGAACCTAACCCACTGTCTGCAGAATGTTATTATTTTCCTCATAATCTAAATAACATGAGTGGTATCATATTTCGAAATATCCGCGTGTTGCTATTTTTGGTGATAATTGTCTAATAAAATTAAAGTTGACACGGAAGATTAATCGCCATGTCTGAATAAATTTGTCGTTGGTAAGAATACGCTGATAGTTCGTTTGTGCAACATTAGATATTTTTATTCACAGAATTCATGCGGCTTTCATGAGATTACAATTTTTGACGGAAACCTTTAACGAAATTATATGCATATTTTTAAACATAAACTGAATTTCAGGTTCAATAATTTAATGGAAAACACGTTTGAAATATTATCTTTGTGCTTGATCATTATTTGCGTGCTATTTTTAAGCTTTGGCGCAATAACAGTGAGCATATTTCTAAACTGAGTTCTAATATTATGTATTATTTAAATTATAAAATACGTAATTCTTGTACATTAAGATTTTGGAAAATTCGGACAACATAATAGACTTGACACGAATGAGCATGCTTGAATTTGGTGTAGTTATTCATCTATTATATTTGAGCTGGCCAGGCCAATTAATTATATCTGAAAGCAGCGATCTTTTTGTGCAGATGTATGTCTATATTATCATTAACTAAGATTTGATATCAATGAAAGATTATCAAAATTTTCAGATATACAAATAAATGGTATAATATATCGCCTAGAGCAAAAGTGTTACTTCAAATTATGATGTTACGTTGCATTAAACCATCTAGCTTGACTGCTGCTGGACTTTACGTCATGAATTTCGAGAATTACGCAGCAGTAATGCATTTGACCATTCATAGTTGATGTTGCAGGTTCTCGTTTTTACTACACCTTTCTTTGCAGATAATCAAGAGTACTATGTCATATATCACAGTTCTGGCTTCATTCAGAGACTAATTTCATGCTTTGACATTTATCGTTAAAGGCCCGTTCACTAAAACATTATCCAATTTTGACATCGAAGGATCAGAAACGTATAGTAATAAAAGTTGAAAAAATATATATTTGTAAACAATGAAATCTCAACTATTCAAATATGTAATATAAAATCACAATTTTGACAATTTTTTTCCATTTCAAATTTTTTACAAAGTTATAATTTATAGAAATACAACAAAATTATATTTATACTTAATAATGTTTGTCTATTAGACGAGTCTAAAACAATTTTTTTTATTTTTCTAGTCATTCAAGTATACTTTTGATGAGTTAATTTACACAGTAATTTGAACAATACACTTATCTTTATTTTAGCAAACGTTCAATACAGACATAACGTAAAATATAAATATTCTACTTGCAGTTGTATTTCTCTTATTTCGGTAAGCAGATAATGTAGAAAAAAATTATTATGAAGTAACAATAATGCAAATCTTACATTCCAAATGAACTCTAATATTTTTAGAGGTAACAAATAAGTATTTAATAATTAACATTGATTCATAGCGCCGATCTATTGACTTTGCAATTTTTTAAATGGTTCTTTTGAGAGCAGTTTTATGGCGATAAGCTGACTAAGAGAACGGTTTCATCGGCGAAGCTAATTATTCGTGTAATTTATCGTTCGTGACAGACGAAGCAGGAAGCCTCAATGCGTAGTACACTTTCAGTGTGCACTTGATTTTCGCGAAGGCACTATGTCTCAAACGATCATCTGTAGTTGATGTTTCGATTATTTTGTACAGCTACTGTAATTTATATATAGTCATATTAGCGACGATATATGATATGCAAATAGGTAATTTGACGTGTCTATATCATACGATTGTCGAAAAAAAATCCCATCAAAATAATGGATTTTGTGATGCGAATGGCATTCAGCACTCAACTCATCGGAGATTACTTTCTTTTGATGGGTGAAATCACACTTCTCTTGAATATACAGAAAAAAAGAAATTGCACAGGTAAAAATGAGCGATAATTTTTCAAAATCCATAATCTTTTATGCTTTGTGATAATAATAGTTTCAGTGATTGACATAATTCATGGCCTTCGGAAACTGCATATATATTTTTGTGAAGTTATTGTTTGTTAATTCGAAAGTTTCTTTTTACCTATATATTTGAATTTGTAGGTATCAGTCTAAAAACCCAAATGATACTCGCGATTATCTTTACCATTAGATACATCGACGTGTGGTTGAAGTATTTGGAAACATATGGAAAGTACACAAATCCAACCCTTACCACTATCATACTCTACAATGTAATCAAAGTGGCTCACATTTTTCTCATTTATTGGACTATCCTAATAGTATTATTGTACTTTAATAACCATGATGATCGAAAATTCGATACGTTCAGGTGAACTGCAAACTACGTACTATATTTTCCATGAAAATAACGGTCAACGATTGTTTTATTTTCAATTGCAGAATCGAGATATTAATAACTGTATGTGTCGTCTTAACGTTCTTGGTGAATCACGATCTCCGACTGATGAAGATAATAAGGACATTTCATTTCTGTCTGGAAGCTGTGGCTACACTTCCACAGACTTATCTCATTTCGAAAGCAAGATACATGGACACGGTGTTAATCTATTACTTTGGTTTTCTGAGCCTGTACAAATTGTCGCATACGATTTACTGGGTATTCTCGTTAGTGTACCTGCGTCATCACATCGAAAATATCGCTCTGTTTGCTGGTATGGTTCAGTTGATCGTTTACTCGAAATTTTTCATAAACAACGTTCTTTCATGCAAGTGTAAATCTAGAAGTATTTATCAGCAGGACGACAAATTGACAAGAGTAAAAGTTGTGCCAACGAAAAATCAACTAGGTCACTATAAAATAAATGCAAGCAACGTTTCAGCTCTTGAGTTTGAGTTTTAGTCAAAACACGGTGGTTTGCTTCAAGCACCACACACAGAAAGCAATCTAGCATGCGTTGCTTTGCAAATCTATGGTTGGCTTGTATTCACCAGCATACAGGCCCCGCAAAAACCTTTAGTCGGCTCAATACCTGTCTGTCAATGTCTATCTTTCGGGCATTCGTCACGGCATTCTTTGAAAAAAGCCACCTTCCGCAAGAAAGCGACGGATGCTCCGCGTCTCAGCACCAAACCTCTTAAAAGTCGAGCTGAGGCAATTGTCTTGGCTTACTTACACACACCCACTTCCTTTCGGCGAGATACCAGCTCATTTATGTTTGCCGATAAAATCCGTGCTAGAGTCGTTACATCGGCGCCATATCGCGCACGTAATGCACTGGCATCTTGCACGAAAAATTGAAGAGATCCAGCCTTGGCAAGCTTTGGCACGCAAATATGACATCGCCGAAACGCGCTAGGCACACGTGCGAATGTAACGGACGCTCGGCGACGACGCAATACGAGCCCACGCGCGACCGGCGATCGCGGCGATCGAGTTGAATCAGATGCGCAACATGCTGTCATAGAGATGTTAGATTATATTTGATTCTTTAAAAAGTATTCAACTTCTACAAAAAATCGATTATTATAGCGATTCTTTTCAAACTCGATTCCCTTTTGTCGGGAATCGATTATCGATGTAATTTGATGACGGTAAATATCAGATTAAGTTCTAATATTAGGGAGTCAATCGATACATATTGCATTAGTTCTTGGACGATGTGAACTATACAATTGTACAATTATAATTATGTAAAATGATTGAATATTAAAAATAAAAATCATATTAATTATATGTAAAATATATTATATATTTTCAATTAAATCAATCTCTTCGTTATTAATGATTTCCAATTTATAATGTTTTTTGTTATGCGCGCCGTGATCATTGTATGTACTTCACAAATTGCGCTTTAACAATAACTACACAGTTCTTTCATAATTGGTAAGAGTTGAATTTTCGGAATTCGTTTCTCAGGCAGCAAACGTGTTTATTGTCCTATCCCTTCTCACCTCGCGGCGACGCATGTGCGCTATGGTAGGGGCAACGAGAGAGAGAGAGAGAGAGAGAGAGAGAGAGAGAGAGAGAGAGAGAGAGAGAGAGAGAGAGAGAGAGAGAGAGAGAGAGAGAGAGAGAGAGAGGGCGACGCTGGCTTGCAATGTAGTTCGCATACGAACTGCTTCGCGCACGTATTACAACGCGGCGGCATTACCACCCAGCTCTTCAAAATGGATTTGGCCCAGGTACTCGGTGATTACATGCATTTAACTGGTCTGCTCTTTATGCTGATCAATCTTGTGCTTACGAAGGAGTGCGCCGGTGAGTTTGCGGCTATCCTTGTTGCTATTATCGAGCTTGTTTTTCGTTTGTTTATTTGAGTGAAATGCACACTTCGCGAGCTATTATCGCGAATCTAGGATTAGATTTTCCTATTCTTTCGACCATTAGGTAAATACGTCGAAACGGTTTCTTCTCTTTGCAAACCGGACATTTCAGTTTACCTTTCCACCTCGTTCTCTTATTATTTGAACTGCGAGCGCGCGATGTTTATAATATTGCTGTGTATTACGTGCGGATCGCTTTTACGTAGCTCATCGCTGTTAGCGACTTGAAGTTTGTTAATTAAATTATTTAACGTTACTGAAATTATCGAGAAAATCAATATTTTCAAAATAAAACCAAGTAATGTTAGATCATACGATAATCGGATTATCCGACCTGATCTTTGGTTTATTGTAAAATCAATTATTCCGGACAGGGGGTGGTAAAACTCGAACGTCGTTTGACGTTTTCATTGAGGTGGATCGTTACTGTAATCAAAGGACGCGGCTATCTGGTAAATTCGCACTTGACAATCGCTTATAATCGTAAACCTACTCAGCTTTTCGCTATTGCGTCAATTGGGTAATGGAAAATCGATAAATTATAGTCGCTGAATGACATGGAAGCGCGAGGTGCGGTATGTTCGTACCGAGAATTTTCAATTTCTCGGCTCAACGTTTATGACGTTCCGTATGATATACGTCGCAGATGGTAATTTTTCACGTAAACTACGGGAAGCGCGAGATTTTTCGAATCGATGCCCTTGGCTACCTATTAAAAAGAAAATATTGAGCGTGAAAGAGCAATTATATAGCGCGTGTGCTCAAAAGCAGGCGCATAATCGTGTAAAAAGAAACAAGAGTGTTGCTGTAATCGCGAGAAGAAAAGAACGGCTCTGAAGCTGACTTGAAGTCGATTAGAAATTGTACAAACGCGCGCGGCCTGCATGCTTGCAGCGGTCGATCAGCGGGAAAAGCAATCTGAAATTACGAGTGCACGCGCTTCTTGATAATGTTGTCTAATTGGCGAATTGAAATCGATGATTCCCAACAAAGAGAAAAAGCCGAAACAATGTGCAGGCAAACATGAAATTCAAACGTTGCATTATCTCGTCAAAGCTTTAATCTTTTTTAATATGTGCTTGCGTAGGTATAAGCGGCAAGGCACAGTTACTTTACGCCTTGTCGTTCACGGTACACTACATCGTTCTGCTGTTTTATAGATATACTTCAGTTTACGATGCCATACTCCAAACGTCGCGCACAAGCTTCACATATCTTATCCTCATGTCAATATTTATTTTATACAAGAACACTTACAACGACAATTATGACGCTTTCAGGTTCAGTATATCTTATATATTTCAGTGTTATTATTTACCTTTGTTACTGTTTGTTACTGAATAGTCTTGTACTTGAGGGTTTTCGCACTTGCTTGTAGCTTCTTTTCGACCGATATCTTTGTACCTTATCTTGGAAAGCTTCTAAAAATAACAATAAGCTTTTTGTTCTATTTTCTATTTTGAAAATATAACACATGGCTTTGCGAAGATTGTATTGATCGTACGTTGAATTTACTAAAATTTATTCGCAGTCGAGATCTCAAGTTAATTTTAAATTTATAGCCACATTCTGTATAGCTTGACCCGCGATCGCGATTTAAAAATAATCTTCAAACGAACTAGAACTAGCTAAATTTCGTTTCTTAGCGACTCCATCATAAATTACGGACGGTCAGCGTCACGCTTAAAACATACAGAATGTTTATTAAATGAATATCGTATCCTCCACAGAATCGAGCTGTTAATTATACCTTGTGCCATGCTTGCTCTTTTTCTGAACGAGGGCTTCACGACCTTCCAAGTGTTCACGGCGTTCGGTGTGTACCTGGAGTCCGTGGCGATCGTGCCCCAGACTTATTTCATTTCGAAAGCCAAGCAAGTCGAACCGATCGTTTTGCAATACGTTGGTTTTTTGACAATCTATCGAGTCTTTTACCTCATTCACTGGATCTACATGTACTCCAAGCTGCATGAATTCGAAGACATCGCCATAGCCACTACCCTCGTACAACTTGTCTTCTACTGTGACTTCTTTGTTAGGAATTTCATGATACCCAACCCCTCAAGTCGTAGACCTTCCAGTGACAATGGAGCAATGCAAAAAATGGAGAGCGATGAAGGCACAGCAATATCCGATGCTTTGTTGATCGCGGATGGCAAGAATAATCATCTGTCGGTTGACATTACGACCACGTCGCCACAGCCTCCGCTACCTAAGGAAGATAGGGTGAGTCATACGTTTGAGAAATCGATCAACTAGCACTTAACAATAACAATATCGTGGCGCTAATGTTTCAATTGCTGATAGTTTTATTTATTGCTTTGTTTCTAACTACTCGATCAGTGATTGTTATTGTATTAGAGTTAAAATTAGTGAAATACAGATATTTAGACTATTTCTTTAATTATTGCTTGATTACTTTGATCGACAGTTCATAACTTGTCTAAGATCTTGTGAAAATTATTTAGGAGTATCGGTTGCTCTAGGAAAAAAATATTTGAGCTGTACCTGCAATGGAAAGTTATCGCCAACATTTAATGATTTTTTCTTCGTGGAGAGTAATTTTTTAAATACAAAAATTATATATATTAAAAATTATATTTCGGTTTCTCAGTGGTCAAAACGTAAGATATTTTTTGCAATAATTTAGTATACGAAAAGATGCTGTTTATTTGGATAAAAGTGATTTTTAATCTTTCCTTCACTACTGATACTGTGAATATATCGATCTCTACCATATTCATTCATTTTCAACAGTACACTTGATTTACATTTTCAGGTCACCTTACTAACGTCTAATGATCATGGAACAAGTAATTAATCAGCTTTGGCGTGAAATATCATCTTAAGCACTTACGTGAAATGGCCATTGAACCGATCGAAAGTGAGCACTTATTGCTCTACTAGATGCAATTACTGATTCAGTCCAAAGCTACTATTACTTAAAGTTATCATAGTTCTTTGATATTCATTTTCTTTCTTAATGCGATCGTCGAACTTTTTTTGCAACATTTTTATTTTTAATTGTATTTCTGTGATTAATTTTTCGTTATTAAGATCCTTGTATAGTTTCTAACTAACACGTTAGACGATAGTTTATATATGTAATACTGGAAAAAAGCCAAGACTATTAATGTCGTACTTTTCTAGTTGATTCTTTACAGATAAAGTACATTAAGATATTTTAAGAGAAAATTACATTTTATACGAAACATGAATTATTTATAAATGGTATACAACTAGCAGCCAAAAATGACTTTTAATAGGTAATGTAAGTTATATAGTATATTTTAATATTGTAAAATAATTTATAATTGTATTTTTATGAGAAATAATATGATTGATAATTTTTATAAATATTTACACATAGATATTAAATTTTAGACTGACTCATGTAGTATTCTTACAGAACAAATGAATAAATTTCAAACTTTTGAGTGAAAAATGTTTGTCTAGTCATATCTACTTTTCTAAGTTCCTTCTACACTATACACTTATAAAACTAAATAGCAAAGGATTAGCGAGGAAATGTTTAGGTTGGTATAGTGAAAACTAATAAGCTTTTGTATATAAGAATATATTAATTGTTCTCTATTCAAATAGTATACTATAGATTGTAATGACGATGAATAATGATTGCAGTGAGTACTGTAGATAGTTAGATTGTAATAATGTTGAAGATACAATCGTTTTCGAGTTTTTAATCATTAACACGGTAACTTTTGTGTTCTTTGAAATATCGATGATGATTTGCTTTCGTTACAATTTTCGAAGTCTTTTTTTCGCAACAAAATTCATCATATCTAGTTTCGCTTCCTTTAAGTAGGCCCATGAATAGAATTATAATTACGTAAATACAAGAAGATCATAATAGATTTTTCAAACATTGCGTTTTTCGCAAATATTGCGAAGCTAGAAAACATCGGTGGACCCTTTATCCGTCTTTATAAATATACATAAAATATTTAAAAATCAGGAGTTTCCCGGTGGTTTGTTATGGGAACGCATGCTATGCACAGCTCAATAAAAACCTACAATCGAGTGCCTACTATAATATATGTATATGAACAAGATTTACGATGAGTGTACGACAAAGAATTAAGGACTGCAACGTAAAAGAAGTGACACATTGGGCTGTACAATTTGTGTCTACATCTTCCCTGTCCCGGTAATACTCGTACATTATAGAGAGCTAATAGAACGCGATTACTCAAACCATAAAAATAAAATAAAATAATTAGAAGGGAAAATCTATCAATGAACTAAGTATGTATATAAAGATTGCTCGTTGAGCACGAACAGTATACATGTAACAACGGGCGATATATATTAATGAAAAAACAGAGTGACTTCGATCATGCCACGTACTAATTAATTATCCTCCTTTTATTCTCCGTGCGAATAATGAACCGTGACTGTGATCAAAAGTAAATATACTATATGTACAAATTCTATATACTATATGCAAATTATTCAGTGCGAGATGAACCTACGAACGTTTTTATTTATTATTTTTTTATGTTTGACTCATTATCACCTTCGTGGACGTATAAAATCCGATTTTGGCTGTTTATTGTTTCGATTGAGTCGCGCACCCTCATCCCCCTTCACCTTAAACCATTCCTATTTTATGTACAAAAGAAACTGCTGCAAAGAGATTCTTTCGGACGGACTTTGGCCAATCTAAAAAATTTACTCTCTTTCATATGGTCTAACGCGCAAAAATGGGAAAACGAATACTGTAATTTTTCTACCCGTTCAAACACTGAAAACATCAGGTATCGAAGTCGTTTGCTAATATAAAAACACTCTAATAGCCATCGGCCGAAGAGAGATTTGTCTCTTTGATTTATTTGCGTCAATCGTATAAAATGTATAAAGACATCCTACACTTCTTTTTTTTATCTTTGAGCTCTACAATTAAAAACCACGTCGAATTCTGCAAAAATCTGCATTACAACATTCAAAAGCGAAATGACAAAATTTCATCGTATACTTTCTATTTGATTAGCGTTAACTACCTAAATACGGTATGCGCTTGTTTTGCCTACATCTCGTGTATTTTAGAATGATACTAATAAGTGTCGAGCACTTTGAGCTAACTACGTATGTATATATAGATATATACACACACACACTTGTGGTATGTAGAATATGTCAGAAGAATTTTCAATGTCTCACGTTTTCGCGCTAAAAAAGACAATAAAAGAAAACAAAAAGATACAAAAAATCACATTAAACGCTTCCATCCGGCTTAAGCTAAATCGGCATCGAGATCATTGCTCTTGGGCTCGGAAGTGCATTGCTCCTCGGACGGTGAGGTTTTGACTAAGGGCTTGTTGCTGCACTCGTCGTCGACTTTCGTATCCTCGGGTTTAAGATTGTTCTCCTCGTCGCGCGCTTCATTTTCATTAGCTTCGTCGTCATCGAGGATACCCTGCTTCACCGGATTGCACAGTTGAGCGACTCGATTGTTGCTTCCATTCGACGATAACGTGGCAGGCGACGAAGATGTAAGGTTCAATTTAAGACGGTCACGTGTGTGTCTCAACTCGCCAAGGACTGGTGGTGGTTGAGGTAAGGACGTTTCTTCATTCTTTTGCTGCTGTGATGGGGCCTCGGGTAAGGCTGTAGAGGAGCCGCTTCCACTGGCCCCCGGGAAGAATTGACTAACAAATTTTCCATTTCCCGACTGGAACTGGAACGGACGGTTTGAACTACTAACGTAGAACTCTTCGTCACCTCCTGTAAAAATTTGCAATCATCAGTGCGGCTGATGGATTGTTCATAAGGCATTTCAAAGCGTGTGAAGTTTGTTGCCATAACCACCATAAACTATAATTACTAATTAGAAAAAAAAAGTTGGTTTATGGTAAATACGGCTTACTTTTAATCTGCAACTCTCATGGAAAGATGTTGATGAATAATGATCTAATTTGATATGTAGCAGAAGCTTCCGAATAATATAATTAAAAGATAATCAGCTATTCTAAGCAACTATTTTTTTCAGAACGAAATTATTTTTAAATGGCCATTAGATTAGCGCTTTGATGCAATATGTAAGTATTTGTCATTATACGTTTCGTGCACATAACTATTAATGATTTGCTCGCAAGAATAGAAATAAAAGAATAGACAAAACGACTTTTGCCTATAGAAATTTCGTAAGCATTCAACAGTTCAATGTTAAAAGTCACTTTTCAAATATACAATACTTTGTAAAATAAATTAAAATTATAACCACATAATACGTACTAAAAAGATTCGTTTTTTCCATGAGAATTACTTGTGCTTCAATATCATTTTCAAAACTTACGGGTATTATTAGTTTCGAAATAATCCATTGGTTGAAAATTCAACCTATCGATGTTATCAATCATTTCTTCCCAGTCTGAGTGAGAAAATAATAAAATAATTATAAACTAATTCGGAACTCATAAAAACATAATCATTTTAACTTTACTTTCGTTAAACTCGAAAACATAAAAATAATAATAATAAACAGAACTTGAAGTAATTCTTTTAATCTTATAAATATAAGTGACATAAATTCTCTAGAATTTATAAATATTACAAACCTGTATACGAAGTTGGCTCCCAACCTGCTATTGTGGGACTTTGGTTTTCAGTTGGCGGCGTTTCTTTCGGATACTCGTAAACGCAATGGTAACGTTGTTTCTTAAACCAAACACTTTTCTTTTGATCCTAAATAAATCATGAAATTTCACAAACATAAACTTTCATATCCAAGGATTATTAAATAAGTTATATGTAATTATTTGTGCATTATGAGAAAAGAAAAAAGTGCATCGCCGATATAATTCTGCATAGAAGCGATAAAGCAGCAAATTGCTAATAAGGTAAACGTGCAAATAGAGAGATGCATCGTTATGTATGTATATAGTATACAGAAGTAAAAGTTTTTTGCAGTGTGTGCTGACTAATCGGGTAAAAGTAGCACAACCTACCGCTTCATCCTACAGCAGCGAGTGAGCACACAATAAACACGGAGAAAATATTGATCATTTATAAGAGATCAAGATTAATCATGAAAAAGAAAGGGATAGATTGGAAAGGTGAGGGAGACGCGTAAGCTTCAACTATAACTTACTCCACTTTTCGTCGTTTTATCGGGAGACCTAAGAGCCGATCGATGGGGCGCCAATGTTGCGTCCCATGCTGACGGTGTGAATTCTTCCTCTTCTTCGTCATCGTCCTCCTCGTCGTCACTGCCAAGATCCTCATCATTTTCTCTTCTTTCTTCTACCTCGAATGTCGTCTCTGATTTTTTTGTTTCAGCCTTCATCGGACTTTCAGTCTCAAGACTCTTTAGATGCGCTGTTGCGCCGTATTGCTAAATAGTAAATATATAGAATTAACGATAATTATTTAAAAAATTTGGCTGATATTCTATATGTTTGTCTCTGTCAATAAGCTAATATTTTTTGTTAACAAATAGTGCTACTTTCGTTTTCGACTATTTATACTACTTTTTAATAATAACTCTGGAAATGTTACCATTTCTGACGTATTGTGGTGAAAACAATAATGGTACTTATACCTAGCAAAACTATAAAAATATGGTTAGACAATGTATTAGCACGTCATATTGCTTACCTGCCAAACAAACTCTCCCGAGCTCGAGCTCGTATCTTCCTCGTCATCGTCATCCATAACACCATCTTCACCCTCGTCTTCATCATCATCGTCGTCGTCATCAACTTCGTTTATTGCATTTTCACTAGGAAGCTCTTCCTCGCTGTCCCAGTCCTGTTCACTCGTAAAACTCGTAGACATGAGGTTTTCTTGAAGTTGAGGCGGTAGCGTTGGGAAGGATGACATCTGTTGCCACTTGCACGCTTCGTCCTCAGGACTAGGAAGCGGCGCACCACTACCACTTGATGACCTCCTGTCCATTAGGTACGACGGGTTATGGTGCTGATTCTGATGATTGCTAGGATTCATTTCTGCGAGGTTGTTGTCGTCGGATAATTCGCGGTTGGATAATTCCTGAATTTGAAATAATATGCAATTATTATTAATGAACTGGTTAGTGCGACAATTAATTGTAATGTATGTGTAAATGCTCGTAAAATTATCTTAAACGGTTTTCAATTCAGCTGTGATTTAACAGTTAACTTCACTTAATTATGAGCAAGTGGCACGAAAATATTAGGATACAATAAAACTCAAATAAAATATCCCTGTGTAACAAAACGAACCTGAGATTCTTGAGAATGTGTAGATCCTGCCTCGACGAGAGTTGCTCTATTAGTTTGCACGTCAATAAGTAGCACGTCGTCCTCGGAAATGGTATTGCTATCGCCCTTTGAGGCTATCGACACATCGTCTCGAGTAAGATTGATTGATTCCGAGTTACTTGCGCTCTCTCGTTCCTCTAATATTGGACTAAGTGGGGTACCAAAAGTATTATATCTGCGAGGAATGAAAACACAAAATGAACTACACATTATTGATCAACACAAAATAATTTTCTAAATGTCGGTCACACACTAATTTAATCATAATGTTGGATTTGAGTTTTTGCTGTTCACTCGACTAATCGTATATTCAGTTCATTTAAAATTGGTAGATTTTGATAAGCGCGAATTATCGTAATATATTGATTAATTGGCACACACCTAATAGCTATATCAATGATTCCGGTACGATCGGTAAGCTCATCCTCGAGATCATCCTCCCAATTTTTGCTATCTACGTCACTAACGAGCGAAGGCTCATCGTCATCGCGCAGTTCTGGAGCTTCGACCACTGACATCTGTGCATGAGGAAGCTTCTCCCTTAGTTCATTCCTGATAGCAGCAACAAACTCGTCGTCCATATTGAATGGTATATACGAATTATCACTACGTAGCGACATAGTCGAGCTATCCTCGTCTTCGTTGTTATCTAAGGACACTAGACAAGGCCAACTGCTGCTCTCGCTTATCACTTGAGCTGAACTATTGAGGTCTTCATTGAGTAAGGCTGCACGATGGGCGGAATCAACGGGTCCGTAATCGGAATCTATGTGTTGCGAGTCGAGAATCGCATCACAACTTATATTTATGTCATCGCTACTGGACTTTTCTAGATGGATTATTTCTTTTTCCGTCTCACCAGTCGCTTCGCTAGATGACTGTTTTGTTTCGGATATTTCATTCTCCTGATCGACTTCTTTGTGCGCAACGATTGTAGTAGAAATGCCAGGCGGCTCCTGTTGATAATAAAAAAAATTAATAAAGTTGATAATCTCAATCTAATTTTTGTTTAAAGTATTTTATAAATTACAAAGAGTTAAAATAATAAAATAACTTGGAGAACTTTTAGACTAATCTAATACATGTTAAAAAAAATTTTAATTGAAAAAATGTCATAATTATTACGTTGCTATATATTACCAATAAGTTGTGACATTATTTTCAAATAAAATCTAACGCACATAAATCATGACATAAAACTTGATTGCATCATACTCGACAAACGATCCGTCATCAATTAAAAAAAAAAGTAAATCTTGCAACAATGATGTAATCCTACTTGAAGAACAATCCTGCCAATACTGGGTTCGAGTGAGTCACCAAGCGTGCCATAGCACTCGGCATCGAGGATAGTGTCGAGTTCGAATAGTATGCGCATCTGTTCTTCCTCGGCGCTATCATGTGCGACATTAACTATTGATCTTGGCGTGTTAGGTTGTGACGATGCAATGACGAGGTTGGGCGGTAGTCCAGGCAAGGGACTTTCCTCCTCCTCGCAGGACTCTTTATCACGGAAGCCTGAGTCAGAACTACGCTCGTCATCAGGTGTTGACATTCGCTTTCTATCATCCTCGTCATCCATGGGCAAATGCCTCTTCGACAAACCTACAGTGCAAATAAGTGAAAAATCTGCCGATTAGATTAATATAGATACAAATAAAATGTTATTCATCTTTCACAAGAGAAATCACACGTATCATAAGTTACTTTCATAATCGACTTGGTAAAAATGTATCATAATTCGTAGATCAATTAAGTGAATAACTAATGCTTACCAGGAAGATCTTCGGCGTTCGAGTATTCATCCTCAGCATCCTCGGCAGAATATTCAGCTCGCGACTGCGGCGATGGTGTAATTATATCATCGTTAGTCGCTTCGAGTTTGCTGATCGGTGACGTTGTTGAAGTAAAAATGGTATTTGTCTTTTTTTCGAGGGTAATTTCCAATGCGTTACTCCACGAATTCATGTCAACCAAATTATTTTCAACATCGGCACGTTTATTGATTTCATTCGTTTGCCTTGTGTCGTTGATGTCCTCATCCAAATCGGTCACTTGAACACCAACAGGTACTTCTAGTTCTTCTTCGCTCACAGCCATCTGAGATTCTTTCATTATAATTTCAGTCTCATAATGCAGAAGCGATTGATTATCCTTTACTAGATGGAACAAGTTTTCTCTTGGTAGTTTGTCTATTAAAGTCACCAAACAATTAAAAAAACTGTGTAAAATTCAAAACAAATATTATTCAAAATAATTGCTTACGTATAGAAGTTTCTTGGGTTATATGTTTTGCAACTGTTTTCTGTAATGTCTCCTCTTTGACGTGCTCAGCCTTAACTTCACTAGCAAGTCTCACAATAGGATACTGACCCTGGTCCATCATCAAGGTTAGAAGCTTTGGCCTTTCGGCACCGGTAGACTTTAACCCTCGTACACTGTTATTCGGAATTAAAGGATCTCGAAGTTTTCGCAACGCATGATTGAATTGATGGTCGAATACAGCACTCGGTAAATCACCATCGCTACCCGTCATCGATATCCTTTTCTTCATCTTATCACCTAGTGGTACCTGTATGATACTCTGGTAAACAGAAAATAATCGATTAAACACAAAAAGTTCTAGTGTTTCGATAATATTACAGAGTTAGTGATAAAATACTTCGTATAGCGTGAAAAAATAATGCAGCGTAAGGTGAAATGGCAAACATTTTCTTAAATGTAAACGAAACTATATAAAGTATAGTATTTGAAATTGTTCAAATAAAAATAAAAATATTCAACATTACATTGAAATCTTACCGGAGGCCCCAACGACATGTCTGCATCAGAATCCGGTTCAATATGTACTAAAACCATAAGATCAGCCACCGATTTCGATTTCTGTTTAACTTTCTCAGTGTAAGCACCACGCTCGACTCTTCCTCTCCAACTTTCTTCTTCCGTTTCAGAGTCTGAGTCTCTGAATGGCCACCTTGGACGTAAAAGATTACCAGGTACATTTTTGACTGGTTCTTCAGGTCCAAGACGGAAAGATGTTTGTGTAAGACTCGGCCACTGTTCCGAATCGAGGCTACCTCGCAAGTCTTGTAAACTTGCACTTCTTGTTTGAGTATTTGAAACATTAGGTCGCAAAATTTCCCAGCGTTGCTCAAAGTCAGATGTTTCAGATTCTAGTTGGTCTTTCAAGAGAATGTGTCTTACCTAAAAATACCATTATAATTTTTATTTAATAAAAAACTTAATTTGACAATAATATATTTTATTCGCATTAGTTCAAAAGTGTAACTTGCCTTTTCCAAAGCAAGACGTTTTTCCGGCTCAAGAACCAGACAAGTCTTAATCGCTTCTACCAAGTTAGAAGCGCAGTTGTCGCAGTTCTGTAAGAGCAATTGTGATCCTACAGACTTCATTCCTGACTTTGACGAGAGTAGCATTTCGATGACTTTCTCATCTTCCAACTCATTGTACGGCCTCTCACCCCATGTGGCGATCTCCCATAGTAGGACAGCGTAGCTCCACAAATTGGCGCGAGGCGTTATTTCTCGAGTCTCGATCGTCGTGTCTGTGCACTCTACAGATTCAGGAGCTGACCATCTTATAGGTAACGCTCTGTTACCTAAAATAAAAAATTTGTTTTCACTCAAATCTTTACATTGGCACGTTCTTACTCTTAAAACGTAATCATACCTAAAATATAATAATCGCCTGGATACTTCTCCACTCCCATGCCATAATCACCAAGTTTGATAGACAGATCAGATGCCATCAAGCAATTCCTTGCTGACAGATCTGTGTGCGCGAGGCCATGTTCGTGCATATGCCTTAAACCAGCACCAACTTCGATAGCAATACGCGTAGGCAAATTTTCCTTAATAAGAGTTTTTTCTGACTCTCGGTTGGATTTGAGAAAACTCTTGAGGTCACCTAATGGACACGACTCAAAGAGTAACAAGTAGGGATCAGTTTCCAAGCAGGAGCCAAACAATGATAAAATGTTACGGTGACGAAGCTTGAAATAAGGAGTCGCTTCACCGAGGAACCAAGCTTTCTCCTTAGCTGTTGCTTCCTCAGTGAGAATTCGGACGATTACGTTGCTGGTTTTTGCGCTGCCTTTGATCTACAAAAACGTCATGTGGTTTGAGCGTAATAGTATAAACATTATAAAAATCTATTCAACGATTATCCGCCGCGAGCTATTGTTTACGATATTCATTCAAATTTAGCCAGACACGTAACGCCCACTCTGGAAAAGCTAAGCCGCTGCTAGCTCCTTTTTTTCAAATACGTTTACCTAATCAATTAAACCAAAAAGACGTTGATATATATATATCAACGAAAAGCTCGCCAATCAATAATCTACGCCCGCGTGACTGTCACTCACTCCACTCACCAAACGAGAATCCTGTAGGTCAGCACAGCCTTCAACGACCTTACCGAACCATCCGTGGCCGATTTCACGTAGGTACTTGAGTTTGTCACGGGATACATGTAGGTCAGTCTTTTGGAACCATTCCTGGCAGGAGTCTTGAAGTGTCGAGTGTTCGGATTCGCTTTCGTCGCCGAGTCCAGCTACTGCAGCTGGAATTTTTGGTCTTGGTGTTACGCAAATTTCCGGTACGAAACGTTCTATCGGCAGCGGTTCGAACTGCACACGTTCACTCGCTATCACTGCTGGGACTTGCAACTCCAAACCTTGTAGTTGCGGCAAGGATGCGTCGTTGTCGATCGAATTGCCATCCTTAAATTCCTGCAAAAGCGTTATATTGTTATTTAGAAATGAGTGAAATGACAAAGCAAAGATTGTGTCTTGGTGCTGAGACGTGAAAAACAAAAATAAAACAACAAAAATTGTATGCGTTACTAAACAGTTAAAGAGGCAGTAATTTGGTTTTAGGCTTAAGCTATAGAGAACATCGACACAGTGCATTAGCTTTTTCAACACTTAGATTTACCTTATTTACACTTCCAGTACAGTCCTATAATTGAAAAAAAAAGTCGTATGCATATTTATCGTTTTGTTTCAACAATTTTACAATTAGCTTGCTTCAACACTTGCTACGCTTGTGTACATTTGTGTAGCATATATAGCTTGGCTATTATTAATTTTTAGCTGTTAGGCTTTGATTCTTTTTTTAAGTTTAGCTACTATTTAGCTTGGACTCTCTCTCTGAGTGGTCTGTCATATAGCAGGGTTGAGATTTCGGAATTAGTTCAGGAAAATGTAAAAATGTCATCAGATGATTCACAAGATACTAATTATAGTATATAGGCATGTTAAAACAACTTAGTCTCTCTTTCTGTTCTAATTTCAAATTTGAAGTACTGTTGACTTATCAATTATTTGGATGAACAATGGAGATAACATTTCCATACAATGTGAAAGAGATAGACTCATTGATAAAATGACTTTTATAAGTTCAGTTTACTTTTTCCAAAAAAACAAAAATAAACTCACCTCGAATCCTTTGGGCCTGCGATTTCTGTGACAGCATAGACAACCAATCAAAGTGAAAGCTGTGATGGTGGTGCTTAGTAAACCAAGGCTAATTTTCAGCCAGTTTGCTTCCGAATGTTGAAATGAATCATTGGTACCTAAAATAATAATAAACTGATATTATTGTATCAACAGCAGTATTATAAACCAAATAATTTTATTTAGTTTCACTAAAATCAAAATTAAGCAATCTCATCTGCTTGTTAAGTATAAAGACTATTAAAATTTGATCTTTCAAATAAAAATCAACAATCTCACATTAATATTAAGACTAAATTGATTAAACAGCCTATCGATTAGAAAAGAGATATTTTTACCAGTAAGCTATATAATTATCTAACAATCTCTCAGAGTACATCAGAGAACAAAATTTACGTTAAAAGAAGACGGACAGAAAAAAAGGAAAGCGCAGATGCCCGTGACAAGGTACTTGAAAAAAAGAAAGAAAGAGATACTGACCTCGAGAATGTGCAGGAGACGAGAGTGGAAGAGCAAAACTGCTTGTTGGTACGTTGAGCAGCAACAGCAGAAAGCAGCAGCAGCCGCAGAGGAGGCTGCGCATGGCTGGGCAGCGGGACGTCATCGCTGCGTCATCGTCTTCCGGGACTTAGTCCGCATGGAGCCAAGGTGAAGTTCTATTCTTTTTTTCTTTAAGAGTACTCCTTCCGTGGGCGTCTCTCGTTCTCTGAATATCTCTTTCTCTCTTGTTTTACGCTCACTCACACGCACTCTCCACTGCACTTTACCTACCTATCTTGTACTTGTACCCGTAATCGTCGTCGTCTCCATAGTGTATACCCGTGCCTACTTGCAGCCTATCCTCTCTTCACGCTCCTTTTCGCTCGCGGCTTTCCTCTCTCACCCGACTACTCCCACTTTTTCACTTCTATCGCTCACTCACTCGCGCCAGCGCTTGCATCAAAGACTGTATGAGTCATGGAACGCTTTGCATGTGATGCGATACGGGCTCTCCCCGTTTTCACTTGTACATGTACTTATTTGTCTATGTGTGTGAGTGCCTTCTTGGTGTTGATGTTTTTCTGAGAGTCGGTAAGATAGGCAGCTGTAAATTATATTTATATATAGAAGTAGTCGCACTTGCGATCTACGGTGAACGAGCGTGATGTCCTCGCGATATACTTAAATAAAACAAGCTTTGAAAAAATTCATATTCAACTGACCATAGCCGTGGGCACCAGCTGGGCACCAGTGGGTGAGTGGGATGTTGCCTACTATTGTTTTTGCGGTAATCTCTTGTTTGTGATTATTTACTACTAAATTTTTTTATGAAGGAAGTTGTTACTAGTCAGTTAGTTATATATTTCATAAAATAACAACTAATAAGGAAAATGAATTCGCGTGCGTTTTTGTTCTTCGCAAGTTTTCTTTGGCAGGTGAGTTGTTTTCAATCCATAACCTCCTATATATATATACACATGATTCATAAATGATTTATCGATAGTCATTAGATGATCTTTTCGTCTCTGAAATTTAATTTTTCTCTATATTTTTCTAGTGGGCTTTATTGGATAAAAGAAAAAGTTATGTCCAATCCTATTTATTATTCAAGAAGCGTTATTTTCTTGGAAGAATGGCTAAAACATTTTAACAGAGATGGATGCTACAATGTCCAATAAAGTTCTTTGTGTGGACGTTAAAGAAGACTATGACGTAAATTACACATTTGCCTTCAGATTTTTAATTTGTTATTTTAATTAGTAAGTACGATCATTAACTTTTACATTTGTCTTGTATTTCTATTGATTTGATAATTAATTAGTATTTTTTGCTATTAACTAGGTGTATTAATCTACCACCAGGAAAGCTACTAATTGTTAAGAATGTGTGTACTAGTTCGCAAGTAAATTAGCAGTTGATCATACTGTTTTCTGAAAATTTTGTTCTTGTAAATTGTAAATCATCTGTTGAAAACTTTTAATGATTTGTTTAATAGGTTTGTATTATTTTTCCTATTATAACTAATGAGATGAAACTATATTTAATTACATGTTTTGAAATCAAGTTAAATATACTATCGAATGTAATAACCTAGATACACAAATTTACTAATGTTAAACAGATGGTTCTGAATGTTTCATTACCAATCAGAAATTGAATACAAGCAATATCCAATGTCTAATAGTGAAACTTATATTGCCAAAAGATATTACTCTAACCTAGGTTGTTACCAAAGAGCCATATATATGTTTGTCAGGAACAGAGAACTACTATAGTGATGGATGATGGCCAGATTGACTTGATAGATTGTAAGATTATAAATGTATTTTATTTTATCAAAATAATTAACACTTCTAATATATGTTATTAAATTCATTTTCGATACTCCGTGCGTAAAATGCATCTTTCCCGCACGCTCGGCAAAAAACGTGCGTTGAAAATCGCACTTTCCATACGTCGTATCAAAAAATACAGTACGGCACATGTTCGGAAAAGAGTTTCTCGTCTCGTGTACCTTTCCACCCTCGCTTCGCTCCAGCGTAAATGCCACACGAGACAAGAATCTACTTTCCCGCACTTGTATCGTAATATACTATTTTTAATTCATAGTTAAAAGGATAGCATTTTCTTCGATTTCATACCTGAACATCATAATATTATTAGTTATTGGATAGAATTAGTTGTTATTCAATTCAAATTTCATAGAGTATGATCCTAGGTGTAGTTCTAAAATGAAGTAGACCGGAAATATGATCTGTTTTTAGTTTAGGAAATTATTTTTAGTTTATTTTTAAATTCAATTAAAAATAATGCTTATAATTAATGTCTAAAACTTTTCTATTTCAGTTAAAAATATTTCTGACTTCTTAGAATGTGATACCGATAAAAAAAATCGCTATTGATGAAATTATTGTCTACCTGTTGATCATTTTGGACGTCGAGTATATATTTATCGTGAGTACATGTTGACATAGTTCATACAATTAATGTTTATAAATGATCTGTTTTATTGTCTTGAATAAAAAATAAAGTGATTACATTAGATATTGCAGAAAGAATCCGAAACCATACTTAATAACTTTTGATGAGTTGGATCCCTACTTTTAAATACGATTATTAGATGTATTAATGAGCTGGCACTTATATAGTTTGAATATCACAAGTTATTTATTCATATTGTGAGATGAAGCAAGATGTAACAAATGGAAATTATACTAAGAGTATTGCAGTCGCTCTCGACTTAGTGGTAAGTTTTGTGAAAGTTTAGCATAAATAAATATTGATTTCTAATAAAATGAAATTAATTAAGACAATGTATATTTTAGGAATACGAGAGAGAACACTGTTTATGATAAAATTTTTTTCGCGAAAATTGAAGAGTATATTCACAAATCCATAAATCTATGAGTAAAATAATCTTTAAATATTAAACAAACAAACAAAATATACGCTAAAGCCTTGAAGTTACGTGCAAAAATTATGAGTGCACTACTGTGACTTACAGTATATTATTTGTGATTTACGATCGATTCCGTCCAATATGAAATTCATATTTTACTATTGCATTTACGAATATTTCAGACTAGCTCTGTAATCGAATGCCTATGAGAATGGATCTCATTAAAAACTTATAGTTTTATATATTACGTTTATTTCTATTGAAACTTATATTTCGCTCTTTTACTACATTACTTCTAAAATGAAATGAAGTTTTATATAGAAAAATGTAACTACTCCAAATTATAATTTTAAATGTAATCGATACAAATTGAAGTCATTTCGAATACTTAGTTATGCATAATATTTTCAGTTATACGATACGGTTATCGAATAATCATTCTATAAAAATGAAGTAATGAAATTTAGAGTTATACGTAAAGTTAAAAAAGGATAAGTCGAACTTGCGGGTTGCGCATAGATTTTACTGATGTACAAGCGTGTACTCGGTCATTTGTGCGCATATACACAAGGAGGTTTCGACGGCGCGACGTGGAGCCTCTTCGCGTCACGTATACACACGTAGGCATAACACACACATATGCTCATAGATGCGAATGGGGAAGGCGCCACGCGCTACTGCTCTTTCTCACTCGCACACTGTTGTTCGTTCGTTTCCTCTTGCGTTCTATGTTGGCGGCCATCTGCCGATGTTGTTCCAGCCACGTCACATTACTTGTGTGGTGCACCGCTGCTGCTCGTCGTCGCCGTCGCTCAATCACCAACTCCTACTGTTGTAGCTTTGACATTTGTCCAGACAGCTGGGCTGTCAAAGCCTTTCATACTTGTCTCCACCCCCTTATACTTATCTAGGGTCTCAACGACGACGACGGCACACACGTAGCTTATACCGGCTGCAACATGAACGTTTTCCGACTGCTCGGCGACTTGTCGCATCTCCTCGCGATAATCATCCTCTTGCTCAAGATATGGAAGACTAGGACTTGTGCTGGTATGTTTTTATTAATAATCTAATAATTTTATTCGAACGTTCAACTTGTAGTTTTTACAGTTGCGATTGACACGTTCGATATTTCGGTCTTCCCCTGAATGTTACGTGGAACCTTGGTTATTGGTAGTTTTCCATGTTTTGGACGATTTAAAAAAAATAGTGACTGGTTACGCTATTTCAATTAATATTATTGTCCATATCGCTGATATAAGAGGTTGTTAATTGGATTGATCGTTACCCTAACCTTCATTGATGGTTAGGATTGCAAGGGTTATTATAAGTTCAAAAATTGTCTACATGAATGTTATTTGTTGTATCATACGGAATGGAGTTAAACATACTATTCTGTTTGCAGGTATTAGTGGCAAGTCCCAGATTCTTTTTGCCATAGTTTACACGTCGCGGTACTTGGACCTGGTGACAACTTACATTTCAGCATACAACACTGTCATGAAAGTAGTTTTCATTGCAGCTTCGTATGCTACATTATTTTTGATGTACATGAAATTCAAGGCTACCTATGATCACAATCATGATACATTTAGGTACATAATTATTACTTTATTTACTTACGTATACTAATACACTCATGGCAATTGCGTGTTGTGATTTCCAAAATATAGTAATATTTAAAGGACATTAGAGTAGATGCCTTAGAATATTAATATATTCCATGGTTTATTTTTGTGCAAAAGTTGCTCTGTAAAAATTTGTATATCTTAATATAGACATATGAGATAAAATAACCAACTAATAATTAAAAACAAACTAATACACATTAAACAATTTTACTTGAACTTTATCTTAGAAAGTAAATTTTTAGTTTTTATTTTCATTTTAAATTAACAGTTAATTTTCTTGTAGAATTGAGTTCCTGATCTTGCCTGCTGTGGTTCTATCCTTTGTCATAAACCATGAATTTACATTTTTGGAAATTTTGTGGACATTCAGTATCTATTTGGAATCTGTAGCTATTCTACCTCAGCTATTTTTGGTATCTAAGACAGGAGAAGCAGAGAGTATTACCAGTCATTACTTATTTGCCTTGGGATCTTATAGAGGATTGTACATACTAAATTGGATTTATCGATATTACTCAGAGAATCACTATGATCTTATAGCTATTGTGGCTGGTCTTGTACAGACGGTTTTGTATTGTGATTTCTTTTACTTGTACATCACCAAAGTACTGAAAGGCAAGAAATTATCGTTACCAGCTTAAGCATGAGCTAGTATTATAGGAAATACCATCTTTCAATTATGTCTCATTCAAAAGAAGTTGCAGTTGCTGCATTATTGTGACACGAAACGTGCCGAGAATTGCGACCGAGATAAAGAGCGCACAAATCGTAAATATATCGAATCGAAAGCGCCTTATACCCGGCTCATTAGAGTCTTTTCAATGATTCTACTTTTGTAAGAGGATACCGAAGTTCTGTTTTACTTTCTGTTCATTTTTGATACTTGGATAATTATTGTTTTGTCATTCAGTTTTAAAACAAAAATTGTAAACCAGTTGATCATTTTACATATTGTACATTAAATACAAGTTGTGATGAGAATTTAGAAGTTTAATTATTACTTATTTGCCAAAAATAGAGGTTCTTATGTACTTTCTGAAGCAAATAATGAACATTAATAAAATATCAGTTCCATAAGTCTAATAATTATTCTAGTGAAAACTTGAAAATGAGTAGGTAGTAATTAGGTAGCAGATAAATCTTCAAAAACTTCTTAAAAAAATTTTATAAAATACATTAAAGCATTGCATACTTTTTGGATGACTCAGGAGTATATAGAACGTGTTTTATTATCAATACACAAGTATTGTGTTCATAGCACAATGTATTGCTCCACTTTTCTAAGATAAACAAATGTATGTTAAAGACTAAAAAAAGTTTCTAGACAGAACTTATATAATAAAATGAAAGAAGTTGGGGTTAAATTTAATGAATTATTGCTCTGCTCTGTAATAGTAATGTAAGTAGTTACATATGATTTTTATAAATTACTATTATGACTAACATAAAACAATAAACCCAAAGCAAGATTTACGAATTGTACAATTTATTTTTGGTTTTATTTTTGTAAAATACATATCACATTTTATTTACAAAATTTACACTCCTGTTTACATTTTTGATTAAAAAATAAATGAAATTGTACAAATAATTAAAAAAGAAAGTTATTTTTCAGACACATAACTCATTCATGCGCTTTGCTAAATGGGTAATATGAACGATTTCTCCACACCAAGTTCTTTGACTTACCATTTTTAACAGACCTGTTTTCAAAGTTTCTTTATCAACAGTTATAATATATGGAACTTGAAAAATTTCAGGCTTTTCAATATTATTCATTATCACTGATTCAACACCCTCTTCTCGAAGCTTGTGAATAACAAATAAAGTTAAATCATTTAAGTCATTCTTAGTTCTTTCATCATCATCAGGTGAAATAATTGCTTTACAGTATGCTTTATAAGGTGATAACCTTGGATGAACCTGGAGTTCTTTGTTACCTTTATATTCTGTGTATCCATCTATCAAAAGTGTCAAACAACCCCAATCCAATGACATAGTATGCTCTACTATCATCAGATCAGACTTAAATTCAGCCTAAAAATAAAATAACATTTATAAATTTCATTTTTACTGTATAAAAATATCATTTAGAATGCATTAATAAAATATTATCTTTTAATAAACAAGATATATACTTACATCACCTGTATTAGGTAAAAAATTTTTGGCATTTTTTTTGTAATTGACTGTTTCAATAACAATAACTGTATCTTCGAATCGAGCTTGAATTTCAGAGTATTCTCTGCGTTTTTCTTTTTTCACTTCAGTCATGTAATAGATTGATGGATTTTGTGAAATTCTACGCCACCATGACTTACGTTCTCTTTGCTTCTTATAAAATAAATCTTTGACACTCCCTATAGTATCATCACTTTCATACACAGTTGTTACTTTAGCTATTCTGTGTGTTATAGGTTTTGACTTAGGTGGTAACAATGATTCATTCCAAGTATTCTTTACTTCATCTATTTCGCAAATTCCAAAGGGTAAATTACTTGTTAAACCAATATCTTTTAGATCTTTGAGACTGGCTATGAGAGTATTAGATGGTGTATGAAAAACATTATACTTAGACATTGTAACACAATCTATAAACCAGAATTTTTCTAAATTTCTACGAAGGAGTATTCCTTGAACACCATAAGCAAAGCCAAATTCTTTCAAACTTAAAAATGTAGGGCCAAGAAATTTGAGAATTGATTCCATTTTCATTATTAGCTTTTTGGAATATTACCAGGAGGTGCAACAAAATATTCATCCTCTAAAACTTTGGCATTTTTCAAAATTTCACGACGACAATTTTCTTCAGCAATTTTATCTTCTCTCAATTCTAGTTTTTCATTCTCTAAAACACTGTACATAGGGCTTACAGATGAATCCAATGTAACTTCTTTGAGCTTTTGTGCAAATTGAATTGCAGCTTCTAATCTTTCAATTCCTCCTTCATTAGCAAAGTCAACTAAAGAAATTCTTTCTAATTTGATTATAGTGTTTTTATCGATTTTTACGTCACTAAAATTATTTTCTGTTTTAGAATTTACTGTGATAACTGACCCTTTAGAGTGGGCAAGAGAAGTAGATCTTTTAATTTGATTTGCGAAATAAAAACTTGAATTATATTTAAAACCGCATCTTGCTAACAAACCCATTTAAAATTATCTCGTTGTTTATTGGTTTAAGATAATTATTGATTCAACGATAACAAAAGCTTTGCATTGTCACAACATGTACAAAACTTGTATAAAATTGAGGTTAGAAGTTTGTCAAATATCACGTGGGGTTAGGTAATAATACAAACCATTATTTTCGTTTCTCTTTCTAAACTTTGATGGGGCTATACAAATATATAAGCGGGATACAGGCGTTGAACTTTTATAAAATGTTATTGCTTGGAAGTTTCTTAATTTTAACTTATACAAATTTTTACATTTTTTAATCGAAAAAGCTAAATTTGAATGTACAATTCTGATAATTTTCTATAATATGATACAAAATTATTTTATACTGGCATTTTCATATTTTTTTCTGAATTATATAAAATAATTTTTTTAATAATAATCGTGTTCAATTAATGCTAGCTTCAGGAGCTTACCCATCCACCCATGCAAATCTTTTTTCGACACTCCGTGCGCAAAGTGCGTCTTTCCCGCACGCTCGGCAGAAAACGTGCGTTGAAAATCGCACTTTCCACACGTCGTATCAAAAAATACGGTACGGCACATGTTCTGGAAAGAGTTTCTCGTCTCGTGTCCCCTTCCACCCTCGCTTCGCTCGGGTATAAACGCCACACGAGACCAGAATCTACTTTCCCGCACTTGTATCGTAATGTACTATTTTTAATTCATAGTTAAAAGGATAACATTTTCTTCGATTTCATACCTGAACATCATAATATTATTAGTTATTGGATAGAATTAGTTGTTATTGCATTCAAATTTCATAGAGTATGATCCTAGGTGTAGTTCCAAAATGAAGTAGACCGAAAATATAATCTGTTTTTAGCTTAAGAAATCATTTTTTGTTATTAAATTCAATTAAAAGTAATGCTTGTAATTAATGTCTCGCTTCGCTCGGGCGTAAACGCCACACGAGACAAGAATCTCTTTCCCGAACATATGCTACTGTACTGTAGTTTTCGATACGACGTGTGGAAAGTGTGATTTTCAACGCACATTTTTTGCTGAGCGTACGGGAAAGATACACTTTGCGCACGGAGTATCGAAAAGATTATATAATAATTAATAAAGATTATAAAGAATTACATTACTTAGTTTATTGGTACTTTTGCATTGTTTTATCTGATTTTATATCTTCTAGTAAGCTTCCACATTTCACAATATGAAATGGCTTTATGATATTTAGTCTGATTATATAGTCTCCATGTTTATACGTCAACAGTATAATGAGCCCATTACACCGGAGGATGAAATATATATTTTCAGCGCGGGTAGTATAAGAGCCTAGACAGCGAGCGTAGCGCTGAAAACATTTCCTACTCCGGTGTAACGGCACCCTTGCGCTGCTGGCACGCTGACGCACAATAGTATATTGTAATATACTATTATACAACGAGTGCGGAATGGCTTGTTTCTCGAAACGAGAAGTTTACGGCACGACCTGAAGGCGAGTGCTGTAATTCGTTTCGTAAAAAAGCCTTTCTGCACTAGTTACATAAGATATTTTATGCTACGAGAAGCCAAAAATAAGCAACGAAGTTGAAATTTTTAGGTTAGAGTGTCATCAATAACTATTGTTTGTCCGTGCTGTGCTCATTTATGTACTAGGCATTCGATCAAGCCTACATTCGATGTAATTGTGGACACAATAACACAAATGGACAATACAATTGGTTTGTTCGCTAAAAAGAATGCACGCGTTCCAACATCAAATTCGGTTGAATATGGATGTCGAAAAGATATTTCGTTTTGTAGAAGTTGGCTTTCAGAATTGCTTACTTATCAGACTTAACGGTCAGAATTTAGCCATTTAGATTTGAAAAAATGTAAATAATAAACATTGTTCATAAAATATATATTTTATGCAGTATCTGATACATTTAAATGCCTCGAATGTTTACGTATAGAGAATGTCTTATCCAACGAATATCATTGTGACTCATGATTCGTGATCGGATCGTGTGTTTGTGCAACGGCGCCATCGGCTGTATTTTCTTTGTAATTACGAAAATTTAAGTTGAACCAAAATTGATTTTGTCTGTTCAAAGGCTGGATGAGATCTCAGCCAGTCTCGTGTAAAAGAAGTGGTTATTACGTTGCTACGCGGACTTAAATATGCAGTGAGCTATTTTCTGTCACTAGTGGATGGTTTACCCCATCTGGTGAAGATGGGTGAACCACGAAATAGCCACATGCTTCAATAGGCATTCGGTGTTTTCAAACTTTTGCCGTTGATCAAACAAGGTAACTGTCAAAATGTACAGTAAACAACATATTTGTATGTTATGAGTTAATCCAAAACGAACCAAATTTTTTCAAACGTTTATGAATGTAAAGCTTAATAGTATTATGTGAATTAAGCTTCTTATCTTAATTTATTAACCTAAATTATTTGTGATTTAATATATTGAAATAATTTCTCTAAATATTTATTTTAATAATGTTTCAGATTCTACTAGTGTAATTATTAGTACCTAAAAAACATAAATGGAAAACTACAACTTTTTGAAACTCAATTGAAGTAAAATTGTAAATGTACTATATTTTTATAAAAAGTAAAAGAAAGATATATCATGGCTCGTAAACCTCCAAAGCTGAAACCAATTCTAATCCCGACAGAAAATCCTGTCCCAGTGTAAGCATTAGGTTTTTATGACTCAAATTTTATAAAATTGTATAAAACTTTATGCAATAGTAATTGAATCTCTTTTTAGAACTCCCCCAAGGAACCTAGACAAAAGAACAACAATAACTATAGGAGACAAGACTTTCGAAGTTGATGCAGATGAGTTGGAATTCATTTGTACCCTTGGACGAGGTGCTTATGGAGTTGTTGACAAAATGAAACACAAACAAAGCGATACCATCATGGCAGTCAAAGTGAGTATCCAAGGTTTTCCTTTATGCTATTATTATTTTGATTATTTTAATTGCAAAACAGATGGTTTATATTGTATACAATATTTTTATAAAATTGTTTGAAGAGTTTATTCCGTGAATAATTAATTTTTCAGAGAATTACAGCAACTGTCAATACTCAAGAACAGAAACGGTTACTGATGGACCTAGATATATCTATGAGAAGTTCAGACTGTCCTTATACTGTACAATTCTATGGGGCCCTTTTTAGAGAAGGTGATGTATGGATTTGTATGGAGGTTATGGATATGAGTCTTGACAAGTTCTATACAAAAGTGTACAAAAATAAGCGTTCAATTCCTGAAGATATATTAGGAAAAATATCTTTTTCAGTAAGTCTTAAGCTTTGATGAATTATATAAAATAACATGTAGTCACTGTATTCCAAGTGTGGAATTGATTTTATAGGTAGTTAGTGCATTGCATTATCTATATTCTCAGTTACGAGTTATTCATAGAGATGTTAAACCTAGTAATATTTTAATTAATCGGAAAGGCCAAGTCAAAATTTGTGATTTTGGAATATCAGGTTATTTAGTTGATTCAGTTGCCAAAACTATTGATGCTGGTTGTAAACCATACATGGCAGTAAGCTTTGATTTAATCACTACTTTAATTCTACTTTGAAAAGAAAATACAAATGAATTATTTTTATTCCAGCCTGAAAGGATAGATCCTACAGGAAATCCTTCACAGTACGATATAAGATCAGATGTTTGGTCATTAGGAATTTCATTAGTGGAGCTCGCAACAGGAAAGTTCCCTTATACAGCTTGGGGTACTCCATTTGAACAATTAAAACAAGTAGTGCAAGATGCTCCTCCAAAATTACCACCTAACACGTTTTCTTCTAGCTTTGAAGAATTTATAACTAAATGGTAAGATGTCTAATTTGAATTTCTGCAATTATTATTCAGTTATTATTCATTATTCAGTTTCTATTTACAAATAAGAAAATGTTATTTTAGCTTAATGAAGAAGTACACTGAACGGCCTAATTACAATCAGTTGCTAAAACTTGATTTTATAACTGAACATGCTGAAAAAGATATAAATGTTGCTGCATTCGTCGAGGAGATCTTAAATTTACCTGATGCAGGACAGTCTGCTTAGTAAAATAACTACATAGTTCCTTTCACGGAATATTCTTAATATACACTATTTTTTAATCTTATACATCAAACAAAATTTGTTAGATTCACTACTGCCAAATCATTTATCGACATAAATGTGTAATCAGATATGTGAATATTTTTAGAGAAACATATAGTTTCATGTAATAATATGTGATTGAAAGAGATTTATTGAGTCAATCAAAGTTTTTATTGTAAGTAATCAAGTCATTTTTAGAGTAGAAAAGAGTAATAAAGTAATCTAATTAAGATCATTGTAACTTTTTATACATATATTCAAGAAAAGTTATGTAACATTAATCGATTACGAACAAATAAATAATTTAATACATAACTTTATTAATTAGTATTTGTATTTTTTTTTCATATAAATACATTGATAATGTGTTAGAGCATTCTTCTATGAGGATCTTGAGAATTACTGACAAATAATAATTGCACTTTAGATTTATCTGGAGTCAAGTATTCAAAGCTTATACCTCGAGGCAGCCTATTTTCTAAAATTATTTGATACATTTTGCTCATTTCCGGTAATATTGAGTTCTTGTGATTTGCTTTCTTATAAAAATCAAGTGGATTGCGATCATCATTGCGATTTCTCGTTTTTACTTCTTTCAATTTAGTATCTACTGTATGTTGAGTGTTTACTTTTTTTTCTGCACCAATGAATTTTTTCTTTTTTGACATGATTGCAGTCTCTGGTCTAGTTTTTTGTTGACAAGATTTAATAACGTCTTCAAGTGATTTTAAAGATTTTTTAAAATCACGGTGACCATTGAATAGTGTTGTTAGACTAGAATTTTTTTCAACAAAATTATTTTCAAAAGTTTCATACGTAGGCTCTACAAAAATGTCATTGTCAATTTGACATTCTCGATCTACTGATTTAATATAATTATCTCCAATCCCGATAGAGATAGTTTCTGTTATTGAAAATGATTCGTTAGAAATTCGTTTTCTCGGTTTTTTCTTATTTGATGTACCATTAATGACTTTTTTATGAGTATGTTTCAAGCTGTAGAAAACTTTTGTTTTTTGGAAGTGTTTCTTTGGATACTTTTTAGTCCTTTCATTCGCAACTTCCTCCGTCATTTCATTTAATGTGAAACTACTTTGGTTTGTACTTTTACTTAAAAACAAGCATGGGTTGCAATTTTTTAACTGAAAAAACATGGTATTATTTGTTTTGGAAGTTGTATCGCTTCCGCAAGTTTTCGCGGCAAATAAAAAAGCTTTGACAAGTTCGTAAACTTGGTTGAAAATTACGAACTCTTGAATAGTTTTCATTAATAGAAAACTTTTCCAAATGGAGGAATTTAGACTGCGGAGTCTTATAGCATTTTGAATGTCTTTGTCAATTCTATAACTACACTTATTTGATTTTAAATCTTTCAAGTCAGATTTTTCGTTATGATCTTCAGTATTCCACGTGAGTAGAAGGTATTTAATTCCACGATCGACGTACATGCACTCGAAACTAAAGTTCGAAATACTTTCAGAAATTAAGCGAATTCTTAAATTATTCACAACAACATCCAAGTTATCATCGAATAAAAGTTCTTGATGTACATTATTAATAATTTTTAAAAGTGTGTTTGTATTAACTGGCGGCCTATAGGCTCCACTGTTTGTTACATTAAATGCCAACTTCAGGCTTTGTGAGTTATCTTCACCATTGTCGTGCATCAGAACACATTTGTAGCCAGAATCATCTTGATAATCTTAAAGGAAAGAATAACAACAAATTAAAATTACAAATAAAAATGGTAGAAAATGCTGATTGAGTGTTTATGAAAATTAACCATTGTTAAAACTTGCTAGGAAACTCTTGGAAACCCTATTCAATTGGTGTAAAAAAGATCCAAGTCGCTTTTTCAACCGAACTTCTATTTCTTTCCAACTTTCATTTTCTTTTTTCGCGTATTTTCCTTTTTGTTTTTGTCTTTTTGCAAAGACATTGGACTCGTTCAGTAATATTTGCAACTCTTTATTTTCTTGAAGTAATTGCTGCATAATTTTGAATGACCGCAAATTTACCATGAGTAACTTTTTTATAACCAACAATTCACTACTCATAAGTCCTTTAATTTTGTCTTTTTGTAATTGTTTGGATTTATTATTTTTAGTGATAAAGGATAGCTTTGAAGTTTTTAATTTTTGAAAGTCATTTTTAAATAAACTCAAGTTTAGTACTCGTCGAGTAAGCAACTCCAAGATTGCACTATGATCCTGTAATCTAATCTTATAATTTTCATAATCATGGATCAAAATGCAAGTGTTTTGATCCTAAAAATGCGATGTTGAAATATTTTATTAAATTATATTGATTAAATTATTCACTATAACCAGTGTTTATTATATACTCACAAGAATAAGGTTACCTTCGCTATTGTGTACGTCAAAAATTTCTGTAATTTTCATTCTTATATTCTTTTTTTATAATTTGAATTGTTCATTAAAGCAGCAGACTTATTGGTTCAAATTTACTTCATTTTTACACAACAAATTTTGAGTTAAAAGAATTTTCAATGAGCACTAAAATTTACGATCTATCTGTTAAACGTTTGAAACAAGCCACAAGTTGTTTATTTTGGTTTCGTACATTAACAATTTCAGATGACAGTCAGTTTAGCCTTTTCTAAATTTACAGTAGTATTTCTCCCTTGTCTATACAATAGAGAAAGAGCAAACATTGGCTTGTTTCAATAACTAATGTACGGAAAATGGTGAAAGATGAAAAGAAAATGGATAAGCCTGTTATATTTGATCCTCCTATCAGACCACGCTTTTTACCTGGCGAGGTGGGTTTGTTACGCGAGCGAAACTGCAAACGTTCATTCAATAATATGCGCGCGTAAATGAATTTGCCAGGTCGACTCGGTGGTAAATAGAATAGATTTCAAGTGCTACCAAGCGCATCGTTTGAGTTGCGCCAATGCTAAGCCAAAAGTGGACAACAAGCCACCGAAATTCGACACGAGCATTTACTACGACACCGAGAATTTGAAGGACGATGCACGATTGACGAAGGCTGTTCATTTGCAAAACTTGCAGCTTGCGAAAGCGCTCAATAAAGTCTACAGACTAGGGGTGATTATCGTACAATCATGTAAAAATTAAGATAGTTTTGCAAGATTGCAAACGTGCTTGATACGATTAGGGAAAGGTTGACTGTTGGAATTTGCGAGATAAGAAGTATCAGATAGATCAAACCGAAGAGATAAAAATGTGCAAGCGCATCATGAAAGACAATAAAAAGTTATACCGCACGGTCAATTGTCTTCTTGTGGGTGAATATGCGCCAAAGGTACACGCAAAGGCGTGGCAAGCATTGAAAGAACAAATCGAAGAAAAACAAAGGTACGCTGAGTGCGAACAACTGATTATGTCTCCGGGAAACTGATGAAAATCTTTTGTAGATTTCCATGGCTGAAAGAGCCCTTCAGATATCCATCGATCACAATAAATGCTGTTCCACCGGAACACAACGATGGCCCTCAACGATCGGTGTGTTTCTTCGATTTGGCATTGGGTAACCTGCCCTTAGGTAGAGTTGTGTTCGAGCTGTATAACGATTACGTTCCGTCGATCTGCGCCAATTTCGAGGCTTTCTGCAAAGGATACGAGAGGATGTCTTACAAGTAGGAGTCGCTCTATCTGTCGTTAAAAGAGAACGTGAATCTAACGAAACGAAAATATGAAAATTGCCAACAGAGGTACTCCATTCCATCGCATAGTATCCGATTATTGGTGTCAGGGCGGAGACGTTACGAAATTCAACGGTCTCGGTGGTGCTTCTATCCACGATGGGGCTCCCAACGAGGACAATTACACTCTAGAACATTCGTGCCCCGGGGTGCTGTCGACTTACAACGATCGACAAGACGGATTCGACTCGAAATTCAACTTGACGTTTCAGCCGTTGAAAACGATGAACGGCCGAAAGGTCGTCTTTGGCAAGGTGGTTAAAGGCATGGACAACGTATTGAAAGTAGGCTGCACCGAGCGGATGACGTATTTATTTGGCGCGTTAACGCCAGCTTCATGGTATAGTTTGGCGCGCGTTTGTCTTTCAGATTAACGCCTACGGGACGAAGTTTGGAAAGCCACTGCGGCAAATAACAGTTTGTAACTGCGGCGTCTTGCAGCCGAAAAAGAAAGTGTGGTTACGATCGAGCGTAGAATGCGAGCCAACGGGTTCGCTTTCGTCGAGATCGGAGAACGCTGGAGATGAATGAAAGGATATTAAGAGAGTCGACGGCTCTGTCAGTATATTTAGATACACTGAAATTTTTATCATTAGCGTAACACATTGGCTTTGTTCGATGTGATACCTACGCTGTATGCTCTTCGGCTTTATCATTGTGCTTTACTTTGTGAACGACACTAAAAGGATTGAAAATGCTCACTACATAATGAAAACGCCCACTGCAGTTCGTTTTTAATTTAAAGTACTTAAAATGTATCCAAATAAATACTGAGTAAATGAAAGGTTTAAACAGTCCCAAGCCTTAATAATTATATTTCAGTTCAGACCGAGTCAATTAGATTTCAAATCATACTGGGCACAGACATTTATTTTGTTACGCATATATGGTAGAGCATTTAAAGCAGTGTCGATGATACATTCATCGAATAAGTTGGCGAAAACCGACGGATATCTGAGTCACTCGTATATTCTAAAATATTCCTTATGATGATATGATCATCGGCAATTAGTTTCCCAATGGTTTTGAAAATAATATCAGTTATTCCGCGTATGAAAATCTTTCGTAGCATAGTCTTGACTATCTTTCTCTTGATCACTTGTGCATAAAATAAATTAAAATCATCTCTCCGTACGTACTGTCGACGTAGAGACAAGGTCATCTCGTAATTCACCCACCGATAGAATACGGAAACCTTATTAGTAAGAATAGTGTACAAGGTGACACGCTCGGAAAGATGGTATGTCTTTAACACTTGGAGTTGGTCAAGACAGGTCTGGAACGTTACTCTATAGTCAATGTTATTGTTAATATGATCCTGAATGGATGGGCTGATCGGTTTACCCTGATCATGTTCAATTGCGAGCTGCGCAATGATCATACTCATCAGAAGAGTTTTATTGTCGTGAGCGAATTGAAAGACCGAGATACCATTATTATCCGTGAGTTGCACGTCTGCGCCGGCTTCTAGTAGCATCAGTAGCCTATTTCGGTAGTTCTCGTATACGCAATGGAACAGAGCTGTTCGTCCCTGATTATTTGTGGCATTAACGTTGGCACCCAACTCTATAAGAAAGTGTGCATTTGCTGATTTATGATGGAACATCGCAAAGTGCAGGGCAGTATAGTGTTTGGTGCCGATGGCGTTTGCATCGAAGTCATTGGCATATTGTAGAAATTCCACCGCGTCAACATTCTTGTTCGAGCAGATGCACGCTCGTAAATCTATTTCTAATCTGTGCTTCACGAGCACGTGTAGCCCGCTATCCAACAGTATTCGCAGATTTTCAGTACTCGACATATTATACATAAAATCTATATTTTCAATTGTTAATTCAGTGAAAATTTCCCATTGGCAAAAGCGTTTGAGATGTTCCTCCCAAACATCTGTTCTCTTTGACAAGGTGAGGAAAAATAGATTCAACTGAAAAGGCCATTGGCTGTAACTATTGCCATAGCGCAGAATCAATTCTATGGTATCAAAGTCACCTTGCTCTATCGCGCAACGCAATCGAATTCGTAACTGGTCCAGGGGTTGCGTTCTAAAAATATTCGGCTGATCTCACGATTCTTCAGAAGCTGCACGTATCTAAAGGCCCGACCGGCTTTAATAAGCAATTCGATCAGCACCTCGTTATCCAAATTCATTCTTATCAAGCTGTTCGTGAACAGCACTATCACAGCATCGACCGCTTCCCTTTTCTTCGTCATCAGCAGTTCTAGAGCAGTTTTGCCGATGTTCGGGTCGACAGCGCAGATGTTAGCACCCGCCGTAACCAGAAGCGCCACTGCGTCAAAATTATCCACTTTCAAAGCTGTTAGCAGCGATGTTTCACCGAAGTTGTTTAACGTATCGATGTCGTAACCATTGATCAACAAATACGTAATAATCTCGAGGTTATTGTACACCACAGCCAAATGGAGAAATGTCGAACCATTATCAAAAGTCCATTTTAATGAGTCCATTTCTCCTAAAATGAATATCAAATCTTCGTTTTGCCATTGTATGATAAGAAATTCGAATAATTTATCTAAATATTCTTTTTGCAATACTGGCCAATTATGCAATAACAATCATGAATTAAACTGTTGGCTTGGTAATGGCCAAGTGTCGTTACAGTTGGACTATGTCACTGTACTCACACCATTCGTTAGATTGCACTCAAATCACTTACCATTGTTAATCTCTAGTCAAATATTAAAAAAAAAGCTTGCTAAATTCTTCGGAGAGGCATGTGGTTTGGTGCTTGACAAATCATCAATGGCTTAAATCCCAAGAACTAAGATGCTGTTGTAAATAGATAGCTTTATTATCTATCAGCTCCACATTCTATTAGCGATTCTGCAATACGTTACGCAATACGTTATTACTGAAAACAACAAGCTCTTATAGGTATTTGAGACTTGCTTGCAAGGAAATTTTATTGAAAAAGTTGACAATAATCGCGGAACCACAATCGGATGATTAAGCCTTTGGCCTACCTTTAAAGAAGAAGTAAACAATAACAATCCGAACCTTCGGATAAACTTCACTAGTCATACCACTCTCGTTTTAGTCTTAAAAAAGTTCGCATGCAGCAAAGCTAGGCAATATAACTAATCAAAAAAGTTAGCTAAACGTTCGAATATTGTTGTACGAATGCTCCGAAAGGCTGACAGTGCATATATAAGTATACGCTTCGCTGGCTCAACAATTTTACCTATCATTTCGCATTAGCTTATTGTTATTGCTTTCAGCGATGTAAATACTTACAAATAGCAAACACGAAGTTGGATTCTACTGATAATAACAGTCAGGGTCGCTCACGACCCGCTCTTATAGCCTTAGGGATACATCCCCTCCCTTGTTCGCTACTTTCCCGCGCTTCGATCTCACTTTTTCCTCTTTCGCTTTTCGCATCAAGTTCTTTAAGTTTCATTTGGACCTATTTTAAATTAATCGGTGTGTGCGCGCGCGTGTGTGTGTGCGATCAACCAATATGTAACTGTTCATTTTAGTACAACTGTTGACTGCGTCGCGCTTCACGAATGTGCCCAGATTACGATATATGATTTTCAATAGTTATCATTAACGTTTTTAAGCTAGATATTCGACGCAGGGGCATTTTTCTTTGATTGAACTTACACGTACTACATTAATTTGTTATAAAAATATTCAGACTATTTATTAAACGGAGTCGCTTTACAGCTGTTACAACGGAAAAGACGTTACGTATTCTCGAAGGTCCTCTCGAGTTGAACAATGAGAAATTCACTTTATGACTTGATGTTTGAATTAAGACAACAAATTCAAAAATTCTCTCGAAATTAATATCAGAGACATTTTGTGCGAACTGATATAAGTTCGAAATATTGATCACTTTTTCTTTCATTGTACGGCGAGGCTTAAGCGAATCTACTAATCGAGCGCATTTAATGAGAAAAGAGTTGAGTCTGTACAGAATCACCTCTGGAAGTTACAGTCACGAGGTCAAGGGTCAAAGACAATTCACGGTGCATAACCAACTCTTGACTCGAGAATACTATATATATATGATCAATCGAATATAATCATTTTTCTAACAATTTGTACATCTGCACTATATTCGAACTGCCTCGACGTTTTTGTTGGTGATTATGAACAGCTCCTCCCCTCCCCCGGCAACTCTCTCATTCCCAGATATACACGCTGGAAATCTATTTTGAATTTATATCTGACTTTGACATGAAATTCGTAATCCAACAATACTGATTGATTACTGCTTAAGTTAGTCTTGATTGAGAGCATCGCAATAGATAAGTCTTCAATAAAAAATTTCCACGATTAAATTATTCTAACGTGTGATAATCGGATAGAAAGACATTCTATTCGGCTTATTTCCATATTCCATATCTAATATTAGGATATTAATTAAATTTCTTCATTTAATATAAGTCAATAATGTTAAAGAAATTTCAAACTCCCGCTAAAACCGAATAACTTCCACTCCTTTAAATTTCATCAAATTTTTTTATATAAATTATAAATAAAAAAAAAGGTATATCAGAAACTGGTTCAAATAGTTGACTCAATTATTTTAAGTTTTAGCAATATATTTCAGTGCGATTGTCGACTTCGTGACATATGTATCGAACATACATTGTAAAATTTCATAACTGAAATATAGATTGAATTAATAATAACTACATCGCCATTTTAATAAAATTTATAAAAATTTATTTTTATTTGTGTATAAATAATATTTATAAGATATTTTATTGAACTTATATTTGCTATGCCAAAAATTGCTTTAAAAGTATCTACAAGAAATCAAATATTGAGCTTATATTCCATAATTGATAGGATTAAAAATTCTTAAAAATCTTCGGCTTACTGAAAATTATCAATATTTACTTTGGAAATTCCACATACTATGTCACCTGAGCGACTTCAATGAAGCTGTGCGAGATTTTCAGGAAGAAATTTGTCAACTTCATCTCTTTTCACCTATTTTGCAATATGCATTATTCATTTATTTATAATTTTTATAAACTTGTACGGGATTGACAGATCACTGTTGTTTCGGAAGGTCTAATTCAAAATTCAAACACTGCCCCACTACAAAACAGCGAGTAATGCGCACGCGTATTAGTCACCTCTTCTTTCTTTCTCCGGCAGCTCTGCTTAGCTTGCTACGAGCCCAGCCCGTCGTCATCGTCCGCAGTCCGCAGTGACTACGCAAAGGCTCTCAATGATGGCGTAGTTGAAGTCAGTCATCGTCTCTCTTCACGGTAAACTAGCAAACAAAAAAAAATACACAGATATATACCTAAGACAACAATGACGTTGCTGCCGTTTACACCCATGATCACTTGCCTCTGACACCTAAAGACACACTCACTCCGTCCAGAATGTCCGGGAGCAGCGATTCCGAGGAGTTCTTTGACGCCGAGGACGATACCAGTAATCGTGCACCGAGGTAAGATCAACTTGTGTTCATCTCTACTCTCTCGCTAAGACTCTATTTTTAGACATTGCATCGCATATTTAAGTACATTCCCTTGCGTCACGAGTGTATCTTGACGGTCGTTGCCGCGAGTTGATTGATATCGAGTATTTTGGAGTAATTTGATTTGATAATCGTCTGTGCCGTTATTCAGTTTAATAATATCATTTTGTAGTATTTTGATACGTGACTTTAAAAAAAAAACTCGGTTTTATAATTCGCTTTGAAGCAAGCTTGTTCATTCTAAATTGTGATTGCTGTTATGAAAGAAGGTGCATTGTTGATGAGTGATATCTATAGGAATGTCATTCCATTTAATTATTAGGAAAAGCAGACATGTGGAATCAAACACTACTATAGAGTCCAATGATGAGAAGTTTTCTACGCCAACTGCAAAATCAGATAGTCATGTCTTTCTTAAGCCAGCTGATCCAAAGCCAGTCAGTGAAAGCGAATCCAAGCTATCGACTGAAGTGTTAGAAAAAATTACTGGCGATGAATTGGACAAGAAACAAAGTGCTGAAAAATCTGTAATTGTAATTACTTAATTTTTTTCATAATTTTCTTGTGATTAGCAATGTCTATAATCAAATCGTCTTTTTTATTTTTATATAAATAACACTGCCTTAGCAATTTTGAATTATAACTTATTAATTGCTTTTTATAGGAGGAAGAGAAAAAAGGGACAGACAAAATAATAGGTAGGAGAAAATTTCGTGAGTTGAGACAGCGTATGCAAACAGAAGACGATGACATTCCTGTTAACAATTCTCCTCCAGACAGCCAAACCTCATCTACTGAAGGAGTCTTTCCCACACCTTCAAAAACTTCCCATCCATTTAGGATAATTGAACATGATACGTTAAGTCTGCAAAGTATGACTTCCCTAGGCCGAGTAGGCCGAATATTAGCTGGTGCACCAGACAGTACTTTACAAGTTTTACCTCCCGGAATCTTACAACAACAAACCCCTACTAGTGTACCAACAAACATTTTGCCAAGAGAAGTTCAAATGACAGCCATACATAGTGTTTCAAATAAGGACGAGGACACTGCTTCTGATAAATTATCCCAGTCATCCAGTGTTATGACCTTATCAGGAGATGCTCTCAGAGAACCATCCTTGAATGGTAAATCTGATCAGTCATCTTCCTCTCAGTGTGATAAAACTACTGTACTTCAAGAACCTGATGTGATTGCAAGCACTAAATTTAATAGTAAACCTACTGATATTCCAGCTATTCCTAATAAAATGCCTGTGGCACCTCCTCGTCGTAAGAAAAAAACAAAAGCTCAAACACCAAACGATTTAATTGTAAGTAATAGTCATATTTTTGAATAACCACTGAGAATATTCATATATCAATTGTTATTATTTCTTTATAGCCAAATAAAGATCTTTTATTGTCAACATCGTCGTTACCTAGTCCAGCTAGTACCATAGAATCAATAACTAGAGAATTTGAACATTCTCTTGATATTAGATCTGCCATAAAAGGACAATATGTTGTTAAGCCACAGGTATGTTATGCTAACTTTTTCTTATTGAATAATATTATTTATTGAAACTAACATCAAGATTTTTGTTCTAGGATGAGGACAAAGCGAAAGCTGAAGGTCCTTCTAGAGAAGAACTTCAGAGAGTAGCAAAAATGAAAGCCGAATTAATGAGTATGAACTCAAGTGATAAATCTAATAGTCCATTAAGTTCAATATCAAGCAATAGTGTTGGTCGACACTCTTTAGGATCTCATAACGTTACAGGTAATGAGACACAAGGTACGAAGGAAAGACGAAAATCGGCTGGTGATCAAGATTTAGTTAAACAATTAAATATGTTTGTGAGAACTAGAACTGATTCTGGTAAACGTCTTACGGACATGGTAAGTGTAATTTTTTTTCTGTTTTAAAATCGGCAATTTCCACAGCAATCTGTTCACCTTTGACTTATAATTGCCATTTTTTCTATTTTTGCGATAAACCTATCGGATTATAGCAGTATTTCTTGGTTAGTTCAGTCACTTAATAATGCTTTTTTTTTCTCAAAAATTCTAACAAACGAGCTCATATGATGAATAATTAACGCCGAGTACATCATGTGTATATACAATTTGAAGTTACACGCTTGTCGATGTAGGCAAAATCGTATTGATTCGTTTTCTTCTTTTGAAAAGCACTATTCGTATTTATTATAATGCAATGATTTATTGGCAATGAAAATTTATTGATGCCTTTTTTTCAATAAAGCCCTTGGTCAATAATGATTGAAAAATTGATAGTAAATCAATCGTTCTTTTTAAATCTGTAAAATCGATTGACCTCGGGCAATGTATATTTGAAATTAGCTATTAACGTTTACTTTAATCCACTTATTACTAATGCACGTAGAAACAGGCAAACACAAGCTCGATTCACAAATCACCAACTTTATTTTTCTTTTTTATCACCGCTAAAAGATACAAAAATTCATTCGCAAATGAAAAGCTCGAAACAATACCAGCGAAACTGTTTTTACATTGCAGGAAATTCTGGAACAAGTGACAGTGTTGAATTTGGATACAGGTGAACGAGTGCCATTGAGCATAGCCGAGGACAAATTGCCACAATGCATAAATCCATTGTCGTTGCACATAATGCGACTGACCTCGGAGTACATAAGCAACTCGAGCCTTGAGAAGGAGAAGGAGAGTGACGAAGAGAGTGTCGACAGTAAGATGTCGAGTATTCCGCCGGACGAAGATGTGACTGTCGGTCGTGTTCGCAAAAGAACGCAAAAACTCCGGAGATTCCTTGGCTCGACTGTTCGTAAAACTATGGACAAAGCTAAATCTATCGCGCAAGAAGTATCGCACGCGAGGCATAAAGAAGACGTCATGGACATCGTCGACGAGGTTGGTGTTGATACTCTTATTGATCGCGTATTTTTTTAATTCGGCTTTTAGAAATGCAAATAACAGCATTTTCATTGAGCACTAGGCTTTTTGTATCGATTGTTTTCTATAGTGAATATAACATACAAAACTGATCTTTCCAAGCTGGATCATATCGATATATTTTTATACTTCATTATAGACTTTTCTTAAAAATTAAAATTGTTTCAAAAAATGTATATATGCAAACAAACATTTCTTTTACTCTTACCAAAAGGATTTTCCACGATAAGAAGGACATGCACGACAACTTTTATTAAAATTGCATGATTATTAACAGGTGTACCCGGGCGAACAGCAATGTATCAAGTTGAAAGCATCGAACAGTCATAAAGGCCCGTACGAGTTCTATGGTCTACAACATGTACAAGATCTGAGTGGTGAACATGTGGGCGCAGTATGGTGTATGAAATTTTCGGCGTGTGGTCGACTATTAGCAACTGCTGGTCAGGATCGAGTTTTGAGGATATGGGTTCTACGAGATGCTTTCCCGTATTTTCTGGACATGAGAACGAAGTACAATGCGGAAAAAGTCAGCCCAACCCCGTCACAGGAGTCACTTGTTTCTCAACAGTCAATGGAAGATCCTCATGCTATGGTGAATATTGCTGGCGAAACAGAAGGTAGTAAATTAGGACCGTTTATGCCTAAGCCTTTCTGCACGTATACTGGTCATACTTCTGATTTGCTTGACATTTCGTGGTCGAAGAATTATTTTGTGCTTTCATCTTCAATGGATAAAACGGTAAGTTTTCTTTATGTTTATATATTTTGATTATTACTTATTTATCGTATTGTATATTAAATGTTCGTTGTTACAAATCTTTAGGTACGACTGTGGCATATCTCACGAAAAGAATGCCTGTGTTGTTTCCAACACATCGATTTCGTAACGGCGATAGCCTTTCATCCAAAAGATGATCGCTACTTTTTATCTGGCTCACTTGATGGTAAATTACGTCTATGGAATATCCCAGATAAAAAGGTCGCAGTGTGGAATGAAGTCGATGGTCAGACAAAACTTATCACCGCGGCAAACTTCTGTCAGGATGGCAAATTTGCTGTGGTTGGCTCGTATGATGGCAGATGTATATTTTATATTACTGATCAGTTAAAGTATCATACGCAGATCCACGTTCGCTCGACGCGCGGGAAAAATTCCACAGGTAGAAAAATCAGCGGTATCGAGCCTATGCCCGGCGAGGAAAAAATTCTTGTCACGTCCAACGACAGTCGCATTAGGTTAGTTAAAAGTTCAAAGAGATTCACTTTGTATTCATTTGAATAAGGCATGATATTGGATGATTGGATGCGAGTACGGGGTTTAGTGAACCTTTATGATTGTGTTATTCAATTTTAAAATATATCGTACGTAGTGTTATGGGACATTTGCGATTAGCGATTTTATATACATTTATATTTCATGAACGGTCTCAAATGCAAAACAAAATTTTCAAGTAAATAACTGTATGATTATGTAATTATTTTTACAGACTATATGATTTACGTGACCTGAACCTCTCATGTAAGTACAAAGGCTACGTGAACGTGAGCAGCCAAATAAAAGCTAACTTCAGCCCAGATGGCCAGTATATTGTGAGTGGATCGGAAAACCAGTGCATCTACATTTGGAAAACCCATCATGATTACTCTAAATTCTCAAGCGTTCGCCGTGATCGTAACGATTTCTGGGAAGGTATCAAGGCTCATAATGCTACAGTCACGTGTGCTGTATTCGCACCGAATCCCGAAAGTATCATAAGACAAATCGAAGCGCGTGAGGCTCAAATTGAAGGTAAAAATTCGAAAAATTCCGACAGTGCGAGTACTGATGCGACGCCGGTTGATCCGGTGGTCGAACAGCGAACAAAAGGCTGCGGTGGTCATGTGCTTGTCAGCGCGGACTTTAATGGTTGTATCAAAGTGTTTTTGAATAAAACGAAACCAAAGCACAGCTCATTGCCTGCGTCGGCATTAGCTTAAAGAGCTTTTTATTTTTTTTATTCGTTATCTCTTTCTCGATGCTCATTAAATTCAATTGGTTATTGTTTTGCGAAGTTTTCCGTTAATTTGAATTGTAGTGTAACTTGCAAAGATTTTGGATTGGGTGCTTTTTTCTAATAAATAAGCAGTCTTATTAGAGAGTAGAATATGGAGATTGCTTATATACTCGTCTAGAAGATTTGTGAAGGTGGAAATTTTGGCAAATATGTAGCGAATTTAAAAAACAACAATCAGCATTAATAAGAGATTTTGATGTCTTTCTTTTAGACAAGGGTACTTTTTCTGGAAGCTGCGGTATCGATTTGATTATTGCAGAGCGTCTTCATTGAAAGTAATCGCTACAAACTGAAGAGAATTGTACGTGTCTTGTTGAGGAAGTAATTGATATGTCAATTAATTTTAGTAATATCATTTGAATATAATAATTGGGTGCCATATGGATATATGAAAATCTTGTGACTTTATTAAACATAGAAAATATTAACTTCTATTTTATTTAAATTTAAATGTATCAAATGAATTTTCAAAGTTACCAGATTTAATTATAGATAAATTAAAAAATTAGTAGAGTATACATAATAAAAGAATACACTACACAATACTTAGATCGATACCCAATTATTATCAAAACGAGTATTAAAAATGTTTTAAAGTGTTCAAACTTTCTTTAATATTTTAAACAGATTTCAATGCAAATTTTAATAACTCATTATTGTGTGAATTAATTTTATTGATACTAAATTATATAAAAATTGCCTTTATCTTAGAATATATTTTTGAATACTTTAAAGCATTTTATAATAAGATTGAGCCTTATACTTCATTGATGTTTTTTTATGAAAGAATCTGGAATAATATAAGTCATCATGCCACCTTAGGAATCGTGATAGAATTTGTCCGAAACTTTTGCTGAAACAAATTAATGTTTGACAAAATCAAGCGTTTTTAAACTTGAAAGAACACTTTATCGTTGCGTGAAATATTTTAATGTTAAACTTAGGGTAATACCGAAATGTTTGATCTTCAAGATTTAAATTTTTTGGTCTTTTAAACTCCATTTTTCGCGATGCCATAATTTTAGATGCTCTTGAAACAAATAAGCTTCCTTATAAAATGCCAAAACGTTATTTTTATATTATACCTTTTTCGTAAACTTTGGAAACATACTGATTTTTTAAAAAATTTTGTTTAAACGTCGCTCTGTTGATGCTTCGTCAGTGCTAATCAGAGACGGAGGCTTACAATGTGTTTGAGAACAAAGCACATAAAACTTTTTTCAGTGGTGCTTATATCAATTAGCAGGGACTGGGAATCGAACCTGGGCCTACCGTGTGCGAGTCTGTAGCCCTATCGACCGAGCTATTGCAGGTCCTAACGTCTTGATTTTATTCCCGATTTCATTGCTCTTCAGCTTTAATATTATTTTAAGCTATTAGATATTTCAAAATCATAAAGTATTCTTTACAAACAAATAAAACGTTATTTTTTCCATTGTATTCCAGAAGTTTCGTAAAAACTTGAAATTGATAAAGGACTGAAAATATTTTGAAAAATCAATTATTCATGTGTGAGGAATGCATGAGTATGCAAAGAATTATGAGGTAAATGATTTGTAATTTAATTATATCAGCATTGAATCACGGTTATGTTATTATAAGTTTATAAACAGTACTATCACTCATTGAATTTTGAGATTGCTTATCCAGTTACTCAATGCTACGCTTTCTGTAAGAACAATTTTCTTAGAACAAATTACTTTCGATAAAATCTTCACCTTTGCAATGTATGATTAGTAGAAGCTTTCATTAATATTTATGCAAAAAGAAAGTTTCTTTTATTAAAGGGCAACGTTGATTTCATATTTAATATCTATTACAATATTGCAAAAATGAAGTGAATAAATTAAATTATATATATAATATTGTAAATATGCAAGGAATAAAACAAAGTATATAAACGCTATCAAAAGATTGAATGAATTGGGCGAAAGAGAGAGAGAGATAGGAACGAAAACAAAACAAAAAAATCGTTGTAGTTTGTAAGATTGTACATATATTGATTAAAATATCGAAGATAAAAAATACAGCGAGGGTGGTTAGAGTATGCTTTAGTGGGTTATGAAAACATTACCATTTTTTTGGATGGTTGTGTTGTGCACAAAAACAAGAAAGAGAAGAAAAACAGAAATTATATTATTTGTAAACTTGTTTGTAGAGAAGTAACGTCTGTTAAAAAACGTGTATTAATTGCTACGCATATAAATTTTTCAGCAGCGCGCTTTTTATTCTTAATAACTTATAAGTTGCCAATATTAATGCGTGTTATATTGTTATAACTCATTGTAAAGAAATCGAATGTTTTCCTAATTAAACATAATGTTATGGGCTTTATTATGTTTGTTGCGCTGTAATTAGAAGCAACGAGTTTTTTTTGACTTATTCGTCTTTTTCATTGATGTATCTAGAGACGGATTTATTCTATAAAAAAAAAAAACAAAAATAAAAATCAATTTTCTCTTGTGAATCCTGTCGAGAAACCGAGTATATAGAATGAAATTCAGCTGGGTAATCACTATGAATAAAAGAACGAAGTATACTTTTACATCAGTTGTACATTCAATTTCTCCAAACATCAGACGAATGTTACACCAGTTTTTAGTCAATGACCAACAGCAAACAGAGAAGTGTCCTTCGAAATTCAGCTTGAAAGGCATTTAAAAGCGATTTACGGGTACTGCATATATACATGTACAGCACTGAAAGCGTTCGATCAACCATGTTAAGCGTCCGATAAGACAATAGCCCGCAAGCAACCAAGTGCAGTGTCAACCATATGCAAATCAGCCAAAACAGTACACGGATACCTGACCAGCAGTAGTAGATAGCAAAATTGAATAGCGGCCACTTGTGCACACGAGGATCGATGATTTGCGTGATCGAACACCTTTACAACGCCTGAGATTCTTATCTGTATTATTAGCGATTGCGCGTGTGCCTTGCCATTTTAATTTCCATAATCTTTCTAGCAGAGCCAGTGCAACGCACGCGAATGCTGTAATATGCCGAGGAGGTGAAGATTGAAATCACAACGCTGCTGCTATTTCATGCTGCTTTTTCTTTTTTTTTTTTGCGAAACTCGTAGACTCGCACGCCGGTGAACGAGCGGGATTAGATGCTTATTGCTGCTCTGCAGTATGTTACCAGCCAATTATGAGGTGCGTAAAACGATATAATTTTTATTTGGCACTTGGATGTATGTTTGCTCGAGGATCGGCGGATGACTGTTCATTTTATAGAATGGATTGTCTTGCAGTATCATTTAGCTATGTTTATTCGATAATGAAAATATTGCAAAAATAGGAGCTGAGTGTGCCCCGACAGTTTTGTAGCAATAAAAAATAGGGAGAAAATGGAAAAAAGAAGCAAACAATCGCTATAATTAACAATGGCGCAATTAGTCAAAAAGCCAACGGATCGGATGAATGAGTAGTAAGCCTTTGTACAGTGGCAGCGGCACTACACTGACAATGCTGAAGTGAGCGCGTGTGTGCAGAGATCGATCACGAGCGCGCGCCTCTTCCGGAGGCTTCCCGCGGTCGCTCGGTCAGTCGGTCGAGCCGGCGGCGTTCCCCATTCGCACGCCGCCGCTGCGATTTTAGCGGGATCCCATGCTGCTCTGCCGCTTGGACTATATATGTGTAACGTTCATTCGCGTATTTGGTAAAAGGTTAACTGCACAATGCCTTTTTTTAGAGAGAGGAGGGGGGAGGGGTGAGATTTGCAGGGTAAGTTATATTGGAAATGAGTTTCGTTGTACTTGGAGGTTTGTTGATTCTTGTTTATGACAAGGTGCGCGTTATTGCTGCAAGGTAATTACACGTGACTTAATGACGACTGTAAACTCACGGTGATTTAGATGGCAGTGTGAAATGCGTGTGCACTTACGTCTGATTACTTACTTGGCAATTCTTACCTGCAATTAGTTCTACTTTTAATACGAATAGATCAACTATGCATAAATTTATATATCATTCTCTTTATTGTTTTATATTAATCTAGGCGAAGTTTATTTAACGCAACTGGTGATCGAAGCTTTCATTGAAAAAACAATTACCATTCTACGCGCGCGTTTCAAACGTGCGACTTGGCGAGAAAATTGGCAGTCTGTAAGCACATGGTCGGCCGTCGCACATAATGTACGGAACAAACATTAGCGTGTAAATGTGTATAAATACTCGGTCAAATTCATCCGGGCGAAAAGTGTGCCATGTGCAAGAATTGTCCGAAAAGACCTTTATCATTCATTACGACACTGTTCTCCGCCGTCAGCCGTCGTACTTTGCGGTAAGAGTAAAAAGTGGCCCAAGGCTTGTTAAACCGAACGATTTTTAAGCCACGGCAAAAACGGTATATAGAACTCGTAAGCGGTCTTTGCTCTCTGCTCCTTTTCTTTTTCGAGAGGAGGATGATTGATTTAATCGACGATGGACTTCTTTTTGCGAGTGAAAACCGGCCAATTCAACGAAGCCTACGTTCCTGTCAAATTGAAAAGTTAAGAGGGCCGAACAAAGACTCTTCTAAACATTAAAATTTACCAACGGCGCATCATTACGCCGAGGATATGCAGGCAAAACCACTTTTGAAGTTCTCTGCACGGGAAGTGAGCTCGTGAGCGCGCGCGTGCACTTGTCGTAAAATTTAACTTTCCTCTGCCACCCGTCCGCGTGCGAAAAGCCTTCTCCTCTTCCACTTCCAGAAGCATGTTTTGAAATGTCATTTGAATCTTAAGCTCGCGCTTGACTCGATTGAATTAAGCGGAGCTTCGAAGCTAATGGAAAAATTCTGGCAAACTGTTCGTCGTGCTGGCGAGAAAAGCGGGTGCATATCCTTCCGGCCGCGCTGAATGCCAAGACAACTTGTAAACAGCCCGTATTGGAATGTGTCTAATCGTGCATTTTCTGCATATATCCGTGGCGAAAGTCTCGACTCGTTGGCCTCGTATACGCGCCAGGCAGGAGACTGAAAAGGACCAGCTGCCGCGTGACGATCGCACATCTCGCTGCAGTTTCACCGCGACTATCTTTGCGCGACAGTGTCTGCATACTTCATTCGAGCGGCTCGCGCGCGCGACCTTTACCTCCGACGGTCTCTCTCTCTCTCTCTCTCTCTCTCTCTCTCTAGGTGTGTGACTCTTTTTGAGATTTTACTGCGAGTACGGATATATTGTATATTGGTGTCGCGTATATTGTTGCCGCGGCTACGAACGTCGCATGCTAAACGTTTTCCATCTGCTGGTTCCTACTTTTTACCATAAAATTTTTCCTCTCTTTTATTTGGTCGATAAAAATGAAATGTTCGAAAAAATATGTTCCTTTGCTTCCGACAATGTAATCAAGTAGTATGTTTGATAACGCAGCAGAAAAGAGGCTGTTCGCTTTCGACGCGTGGAAAGAGACGCACAAGACGCTTATATTTTTTGCGCACTTCTTAGTCGTGCTTAATTAAGCGCTAGAAAGAGCTGCGCTTGTTTACTGCCTGTTCCCTCAAAAACACAGACAAGAATTATATCTGGTCGAACAACAAGAGAAGAGAAGTTTATTGCCTCCGACGGCGTGACGTAATAGTTACAATTCTCCCCTCCCCAGAAACATAACGTTTGCTACCGGAAGCTCTTTCGCGCGGCGGCGTTTTACGATCGCGCCTGCGACCTAAAACAAAGTGAGCATCTGTTTATATAAAAATGCAAAAAGCTCGCGACACGCAAATAAAAATCCCCTCAACAAACCCTCGGAATGTAAAGCGAGCTTTCCCCATTTTCGCGTTGCATTACGAGGTCAACCGACGTGGCTCTGCTGCTCACGCCTACGGCACATACTGAAAATTATCGCCTTGCAAAAGTAGCAACGCACAATGTCCGCATTAGGTGCGCTCACCTCTCGAACATATATATGCAACTACCACGTGTAAACTTTCGCGCGCAAGGCTCATCCTTTTTGATCTCTCTGCTGGCTATTGTGTTGGATAAAGTTTCGTATGGCAAGTTTTGCGTCGTGATGCAAGCCGAGGAAACAAAGTTACGTTCGCGTTTGGTTTTTTCGTTCCTTACGTCCGAGCTGATCGTATGGGAATTTTCAGTCACAGCCTCGATCTACCGGTGTAAAGTTTTGATAAGCACCAGACAGCATTGTGTCCCATTCGAAAGCTCGCGGGTCCGAAGTCGAGTATTGAAGTCGAGTCATTCTAAACCTGCTATATGCTTTTATTCGATTGGCCGTTCGTTCCTCGAGCAATCGACAAGTCGTCCACCGTACCTCAGGCGCGTTGCATAAATCGTGCGCACGGGCGCTTTGTCGCTCGCCAACGAGACAGCTTGTTGTAAATTCGTTAAACAGGCTAAACGCCAAGCATGCCGGTGCAAACCTTAATGAGTCGCTGCGTCCATCACACTTTACCACTATTCCGGCGAGTGCGTGCGCGGACTGAGACAAAGTGAGATTGATACCACGGGCTCAAACGCGCTATATAACGAATTAATTGCGGCCTTGCTGAACGCCAAATAAAATCGATCCAAGATGCAAATAGACGTCGGCTAAAGATCGTGCGTCGATCCTCGATATAGCTGGCGGTTCGTCAGCAAGGATGCACGAAGTCGTGCTCGTCGATCACAGGCCACGTGCCCGTTTGGCGAAGAGCGCGCTGGTTGTCGAGAGTACGCAAGCTCGACGCGTACGGGACCAGGAGCGAGATCGGCGATGCCATGCTCGCGTTGAGGAATGCGCGCTTCGCCATGATTGCCCAAATAACAGCTACGAACAAAGTCCAAAAAGGCACGTCCGTATACGATGGACGGTCGGTACGCGAAAGGGGCCCAGAAGCGCTCGTTGAGCGCCGGCACGTGCGCGTTCACATATCGGTCGAATAAAAGAAGAGGAAGGGGGGAGGACCCGGCATCAGCAGCCGCCGCCGAGACTGAGAAGGGACCTATATAACTGTATAGCCCGGTGTCTGGGTCAGGGGGCGGTCCGTGCTCTCTCTCTCTGACGCGCGCGCGCGCGCACGACAGGTGCACTTCTTCTTCACAGACCCACACGCACGCACACGCAAGCATGCGACTTGTTTGTTGACGGGAAAAGAAGAAGCTCTCCTCTCCGTTCCAGCATTATCCCGGCGGAACAGTTTTCGAGTGTGAGTTGTGTTGTCGCGAGCGCGAGATATGGACGCGCGACTGCTGCTACTGCTCCTTCTACTCACGACGATTTGTGCGCATTAAATATTGCCGATTTTCGTTTTTTCGTTCTTTGCTTTGTTCCTTTTCTTTCTCTCTCGATTGCGAGTTCACGGATTGACATTGTATTGTGGGTGCTCGAAGAACAAAGGGAGGCCGACAACCACATACTTGGTAGCTGAAAAGCAGGTACGACTTTGATTAATATTTTTAGTGCTGCTGCTTTTCATTGCCATCGACCTATTACCTTTTTCATCGATTGCTTTGACGGTGTTCACTTTTACATGGTCTGAACGCGTGGTTAGCTATATCGCCGGCATGTGGCAAGACTAAGCGCTTTGACCTACCGAGCGATACCACTGTCTTCTTCGTGTGTTTTATCTCCGTTTTTTCGCTCCGTAATAATAAGTCATAATTTAAATACCGTCTGCTAATTAAAATTTACGCGCTCATTTTTCGAGGCTTTTATCAATAAAATACTTTATAAAATGTATATTTAATATGCACCTGCTTAATTTATTAATTATTGATTATTTATAAGCCAATAATTTTCTCCTTATGACGTTATTTTATGACAATATTGGAGCCAAAGCTTTGTTAATATAAATAACGAGCGTTGTAACGAGCTGACCGTACCAATGGAATATCACTCGTAAATGCGTGGGAACGCTTTTTGCTCCAGGTTCATCTCCAAAAAGAGGACGATAAATTATTGCAAGTATGCCGAAGGACTTTGTGCCCGATCGATGCCTAATCTCAGTAGTTAATCAAAGTCTGTGAAAAAGTGGTATCCACGCGTGAACGTGCCGTCTAATTCAGCATAGGCACTTACAGCAGTTTAGCGCAGTTCTCGAATAAATTAGACTCGTGAAATTTCATTCACACGTGGGTTTGCACGTACGACTACGCTAATAACACAAATTATAAGATCTTAAAGACTCGTAATTAATAATCGTTATAATAGAGTCGCGGTCAGGTAGTACGGCAGCGACGCAGAGAACGCGTAGACATGATAATAACTCAATCGCTGGCTAAGAAAAACTGGGCAAAGTTCAACTAGATGAAAATAGCGCGCTCACAAGCGTATATACCGTTTTCGTGCCTCCGTTTTTTCCCCCCTCAAACTCGTGGAATCAATCGCGACTCTGACTGATGCGCCTGCGGCATTGGCGTTCTTACACGTGGTTCGAACGGCTGGTTACGTCTATGTGTGGCACTGTACGGCTGTTACGGCTACGAGTCGCACATGTGATACTTGAAGATGCATTTAAAAGCCGCGACAGGATAGCTTTTATTGGCTTTTCGGAGCGGGATTTCTTGCTTCTGTTTTTTTTCGGTATGGTTTATGACCGGATGTTTGACATCGGATGCGCGATATTTGTCGATATTGTTTGCTGCTTGATGAGAATGATTTTTTTTTTTCGAAAAAATCTGATTCGTCATTAGTTATGATTTCGTTTAAAGTTGTATCGTTCATTTCGAAGCAAAAGTCTATAAATGAAGAGAAATAGAGAGGTGCAAATATTAATGCCGCTATCAAAATAGCTATATTGAATTTTCTAATAATGCAGTTACGCAAGTTTCAATGAAACTTGGTGCGCATGGTGGCATGGTAGCGTTAATGCGATAAAAGCAACCGAAGCTATAGATGCATCAGCATAAATAACCTGTACATATGTATATCCGCTGGTAATGGAATCCAATGAGACAATTTCCGCGTTGTTGAACTTCTGTTTAACAATTTTACCTTCTTTTATTTTGACGCATGATTCCATAATTTGTTTCAAATATATTGTTAGTTGCTTACATTCTAAAATGCCACGAGCTTGAAAATAAATATCATCATCAATTAGTAATAACTTGACAAAAGAAAAAATAGTTTTGACACGAACGAACACTTAGAGTATAATCTACAAAGAACGTCGCACAATTCGCAATTGATTCGTCTACAAGTACGTGTCCTTTCTTTTACCGTCGGCTGGCTGGCGTGAAAACTAAAGAAGTGGGTGAAAGCTTAAACACATGTCGTAAAGTAGTGTCGACGACACGGCTCATTCAAAATCACCACATCAACGGACCGTTATACGTTATTTGGCAGCTTGCTGCACGTCCGTTCCCGATTTCACTCGCGTGGAGCAGCTAAACTTTAGCTTCTCATTGTTCGCGGGCAAATGTGGTTATTTCAGTAAGGTCTTCTCGCGAGGCTCATTTTGGCATCAACGGGGAATGATGACTTATTAGATGTATGTGGAAAGACGTTAAACGAGAGAGATAAAATGAATAAGAGATCTCGCGGGAGTTTGAGGATGAGCGACGCTGAAAAGTAGTTCAAACGCTTAGATCGCTTTAACGTTCAATGCTTTATTATAATGAACATGTAAATGCACATAATTATTTTGAAAGTATGCAGTGTTGACGGTAGCTTGAAACGTAAATACAATTACATGAATTATTCATTAGAAATGTATGGGTCGAATGTCATTAGCATATTATAATATTTTTCGCATCTGATCAAAGTATTTGATACAAAAAAATACAGTCTTAATATTTACAAATGTACCTAGGACAATGATGGGAAAAATAATGGTTTTTGAAAGAATGTAAATTGCACACCATACATCGTTTATCATTGTTTTGATAAATGTTTTGATCAATTGTCTAGATAACAGATAAAGTTCAATGGATTGATTTTGATGCTCTTCGGAAACCCGAAATCAAAAGGAAACAGACTGAATAAACTACCAGCATTGGCCATGGTAAACTGACCGAGCTTTCTGTCCTCGTAAATTATAATCTCGAATTTCCCGAATACCCGTGTGCCCGCGCAAAGTTAACCGGGACAACAAAGCGAAAACCTTGTACCTCGCGCGCGAATCCTCATTGTCGCGTGCATAGACCGAAGCAAGATAAAAAGAAGAAAGAAGAGACTAAGTTGCACGTGACGTCCTGTATGACGATCGATGATCAGACGGCCGGCAGCGATGCGCTGCTTCGCGGAAACTAGGAAAGCTGATGCGCGCACTGATCCACTTTTCGGTCCATGCCAAATTGGACGACGACACGGACGCGCGCTTCCTCTTCGTTTGTTTTCTTTGTCTTTGTTGTCCGTGATTAGCGTGCATGTAATGACGCAATGTCGCCTAATAATGGCCCTGTGCGCGTGTTGGGCAATGGAGACTACCAAATGGCTTATTTCATTTCAGAATCTACGGCTCAGCACACGAGAGGTTCGCATCGTGTACGGCGACGCGGAATGCGGTTAGGCGTCCTTGTGTTAGCGTGTCTCCTCTGCCAAGGGGTGAGTAGTACATCGACGTATTATCAGTGCAAGTTCCAAGAGATTGCTTTCACTTGAGGCGTTACTGTGTGAACGGCCTAATTGCGTCCATTAACTGAAAGTGTAATTGTTCGCCTTGAAATTTGTTATTATCGAGCTTGACAACAAGAGACGCGACTCTTTTTCATCATGGTCTCACTGCGACTGGCAAGTGAGTCTAACAGGCACTTCCGTGAAAGTGCTTTCACTTGGTCATAATACTCGGCTCTTTTAGTTAATTACAGTTATTGCTAGTCTGTCGGACACTGTCTGTGTGCTTATCAAAGCCGTGGTCGTGGATGCCGCTTCGTGTTCTATCGAGCAAAATTGACTTTAACAGTATGTCGTCATGAGTTTTCTCTGCGACTCAACTTACATTTCGAACGAACAAATGTTTTCGCTTACAAAGCTATTTCACATCTTTCGTTCCATTTACGTAAATAATTGCACGACGCAGAGTGGAAGCTGACGTCAGCTTCAATGCCAACGTAAAGGGACGGCGCAATCTCTACGTTTCGTACTTGCAACGGGCAAAACAAGATGTCATCGTATAATCTACATTAAATTTCGTATAATGCACGCGTGCTCGTTATAAGCTCGTTCTAATCACGCAGCCTTGAAAGAGCAAAATCATCAGAATCCCTAAGAATCCAGAGCGTAGGAAATCGAGCGCACGTTTCCTTTGCGATGCACGCGCTTACGGCGGCGGCGCGATGGCATCCATACGCCCTCGGCGGAAGCTTGTTGCATTCCGGTGTCTGCTTTTTTCTTTCGCACGCGCACAGCGAGCGCTTTCGCGGAAAAGGCTTGGTATACAGCAAAAAGGAAAAAGAAAAAAACATACGAATGGAGAACGGACGCGTGAGTGCGTATACGGCGAAACATACGGTTGACGAGAGAGAGAGAGAGAGAGAGAGAGAGAGAGAGAGAGAGAGAGAGAGAGAGAGAGAGAGAGACGATTGCGTCACGTACTGACCCTCGCTCGAGTTAGCAAGGAGATAACGGACTATACCTTGTGTCGTCTTCGCTGACGATGATGCAGAGTCGATCGGCCGAGTTACAAAGAGCTGGTTTTTTTTGACACTTTGCCATTGTCCTTGATTTTTTGCGCGCGAGTGTTGGATCTGGCATTATGTTTCATTGGTTCGAGATTCGATGTGATCGAAGATTAGTTCATTAAAGATTTTACTCGCCTGATCAAGTTTTATCTTCAGTTTCGTGATGCTTTTGGGATTGTACATATACGTGAATGCGATTTATCGTATGATATCCCAATGTCTGACCAAGTCGAACTTTTACCACTGATTTTTATCTTTACTTCAGCGATTATAATCGTTGCCTGTTGTAGTACCGCTACTTCTTTTGTGTATGTGTGCCACTTTTTCCGAATGAAGATTTTCACATGGACTTAGATATAAATCTACTGTTAGTTCGAAAAAAAAATTTTTAATTATTATGCTTTCACATGTTTTGTAGTTGATGAGATTTTGATTGTAACGAATAAAAAATAGCTCACTTTACAAAAATTTCTCATCAGCCAAACTCGAAAATTATCCAAAAGAAAAGTTTTAATCATGAAACAATATCAATCCATCTTTCTGTTCAAAACATATATAATCTCTATTTCTATCTCTCTCTCTCTCTCTCTCTCTCTCTCTCTCTCTCTCTCTCTCTCTCTCTCTCTCTCTGTCTCTTTTCGCTGCCCGCATGAAAGACGTGTGTTCAGCCATTAGCATCGTTGTCACGTATGAAAATTAGTAGCCAGAAACGGAAGGTAAAACAACGTAATAGTCTGTTTACATACGTGATCACAAAGCCAAAAAGTATCATCCTCATTCTGTAGTCCAACAGGACACACATACACACACACGCGCGCGTGAGCTGAGAGGTATATATATATATATACGTTTACACGTGTCTTTTCTGAATGAAACGCTTCGTCGTTGTCGTTCACACGCGATATATAGCAGTGCGTATCGTTCGCGCGGGGGCCGTTAATCTCGAGACAGGCTCGTCACACATTTTACCTCTACTTTTTTCTTTTTTGTCGCTGTCGTTGTTCACGCCAGCATTTCGTTGCGTCGTCGCCCTTAGCTCTGGGTCAGAGCGGCGGTAACGGCATTCATGCCTCGTTTATCTGGGTTAAAATGCCTTGTGTGTACCTGTGCTGCGCCGCGTGTTCATGGATAATTAAGTACGTACAAGCGACCTGTCTAAGCTACGTTTGCGCACGTTTCCTTCATTCTTACGGCTTAGTTGTCGATGACTTGTCGTGTGTCAAATTTTTTTCAATAGTAATTCATGACGTGTGTGCTCGTAATTGGGTTTTCTTTCTTTATGAATTTTAATAATTGCATGATTAATTAAAGTATCGAGATTGATCTTACGTGCGTTCCGTGATAACAGTATAAAATACGTCAATATATTCGTGACGCTGCTATGAATCGTTAACAAATTCAAAGTTACAAATTAAACATTGAAAATGAAAACTTTCACGTTTTTGTCAACTATTCTAACATACACCAAACAGCGAATAAACTTTCGAGAAAAAACAAAGATACGCGAAAAGATTCTCGAAAATTCAAGCGTAGGGCATCACTCATGAATTTGTCTTTTTTTCCCTACCTGTAACGCAACAGGTGACACTGGCGGACGAGGTAGAAGTAGTTGAAGCAGTACCAGGCGAGGAGATTCGCAACGATAGCACGAATCAAGATGCAAATCTTAGTCAAGAGCAGCAGCAGAGCCAACAACAACAGCAAAGCCAACAGCAGCAGCAGCAACAACAACAACAATCTTCGACAGCCGATCAAATAATCGCAGCAGCACTCGATGCATTAACCGGTGACTCTGACACAAGTTCTTTGCAATCGAACAATCCTGGAAGCTCATCGAATGGTGCTGGAACAGTGTCGGTGTCGCAGTACAATCCACCAAGTTTGAGAAGAGGTCCGGTCGTCGCATCCCGTCCTCATCATAACGTTGATTATCACGGACCGCCACCACCTCCACCAGCTTCAGTAAGGTTCCGGATCCAAACGCGATTTTAACTGGATCAATGTGTAGTATGTAATGCGCGGGCGCGGTGAGACGGAAGTTGGGATTGTCTTTGAGTGTTTGATTGATTTGACAGGAAGGAAAGAGTTGTTTGGTTATTTACCTTTCAAGAAGTTATTATTCACGAGGTTCCATTGAGAAACCAATGAGATTTTTACTCTGTAATGCAACAAATACAGTTTTTTGATTAAAAAAAAATAGATCTATTTTCGTTCGAACGATTCAAAAAGTCACTGTAAATCAAACTTCTCGAAGTTAACATCATATATGTATCCTCATAGATATCTGGCCCGAAGCGACCAATCGAAAGTATCGACAAAATCTTCGACACAGCCATAGCAGCGACAACGTCGTTGGGTGACAATTGGCCAGCGCCAGCGAGCGATATGCCAAAGATCGTGTCGCTGGACGTGAAGTGCGAGAAGAACTCGATGAAGGTGTTTTTAAGTTTCGACAAACCATTTTACGGTATAGTCTTCAGTAAAGGCCATTACAGTAACGTCAATTGCGTTTACTTGCCGGCTGGTCTTGGCCGTACATCGGTTAATTTTGAAATTGCTATTCATCACTGTGGCACTGCCGGCAATACGGATAATGGCTTGTATGGATTCGGTGCTGAAGCTGGCTCGGGAACGTACTTTGAGAATATCGTTGTCATACAGTACGATGCTCAGGTGAATGTCGCATTTCGGGCAACATTCTATTGATATCAACATTTAATATTGCATTTCTACGTATCGCTCGCAGGTACAAGAAGTATGGGATCAAGCGCGTAAACTCCGCTGTACCTGGCACGACTTGTATGAAAAATCTGTAACATTCCGGCCCTTCCCTGTGGACATGTTGGACGTCGTGAGGGCTGATTTCGCCGGTGACAATGTCGGCTGCTGGATGCAAATACAAGTTGGCAAAGGTCCATGGGCTTCCGAAGTCTCGGGCCTCGTCAAAATTGGCCAGACGATGACAATGGTGCTTGCCATCAAGGATGACGACGCCAAATTCGATATGCTCGTCAGAAATTGCATGGCTCACGACGGCAAGAGGGCGCCCATACAACTCGGTGAGTCCTTTTCTTTCTTTTATTCTTATTAACGATATTTCGTTGGCTTGTCAAATGTGTCCGAGAGAACTTGAGCATACTTTTTAGAATGAACATATCAGCTAGTGTCTGTGCGAATATTCTTAGAGCTTATAGAGTGAGTAACAAATGAAAACTTGTTGCAGTCGACCAACGCGGTTGCATAACTAGACCAAAACTGATGTCACGCTTCACCAAGATCAAAAACTTCGGTGCAAGTGCCTCGGTGCTGTCGTACGCTCACTTCCAGGCCTTCAAGTTCCCCGACTCGATGGAGGTACATTTCCAGTGCACGATACAGATCTGTCGCTACCAGTGTCCAGATCAGTGTGCTGACTCGGCGCCTTCGCTACTACACGGCGATGGTTTGTTGCTAGAGAATCATAGGGCCTCCATTGGACACGCAGATGTTGGTGCTTATGGTATTTCACCGCCGCCCTTACCCTTGGAGACTTATCTCCACCAGGTAATCCTTGTTGCTTTTCGCGAGATGAGTTACAACATTTGATCGATCGATTCTGATAGTTTATTTGTCGAGGTTATTATTCAATAACTCGCGTTCGCAGTGTTTTATTTTCATGCGTCATCTTTAGGGCTAGACGTCGATGATGAAATAGCTGTACGGCAATGTTCAGTAGCGTAGTTTTGTGTAAAAATTTGATAGACGAGTTATTACGTTACCTCGCGAATTTCCGGATTTCAAAGCTATATATGCAAGAATAAAATTCCAGTAGTAAAATTGAGGATCAGGTCAGACGGTTTACACTCATTTCTATTGCCGCGTGTAAAATGCTTTACGATTGTACACATTCGCGCATCCAAGCTGGTGCAACGATAAAAACATGTGTTTGATTGTTTGGTCAATTTCTAGACGGTGGGTCGACCACGTGACGAGCGTCGTCGAAAGACACGCGAGGTAGCAGCAACGGCAACGACGAATCCCGAGAAGAACGTGGGTGTGAATCGAGTAATACGAGTGGTGTCAACGGGTGATCTGACCTTCTCGATCGACGAGTCGAACAGCACGACGTCGGAAAACTCGTCGACGATGATATTCCCGATACGCGAGGCAAGCAGCAGCGCCAACCTCATCTGCATGACAACGTCTGGATTTACTCTGGCCTTAGCCCTATTACTAGCGGTTCTGTTAACGTCGTGCAGCTTATCGGCATACCTGTGTCTCAGGTTGAGGCCATTCAGGAAGAGGATCCAAGCGGACATGAGCCTACGAGCTTTCACTGTACACACAATGAAGCAACCCAACAAAGCTGGTTGCTTCTACTCATAAGGTTTCGCCGCAGTGTGCGCGTGCGGGCATTTTCTTAATTCTTCTCTTCTTCTTTTCGAAGGGTATAGGTTGATTTATTTGTTTTCCTATGGCATTCCCGTTTGTTGTAACCCATCGTCAATTCTTCCTTATTTTTAATCGTCGAGCTTACTCCTAGGTGTTTAAGGCTATTCGTTTGTTATACTTGTCCTGTACCGCCCTTTAGCTGTAAATGTTTCGCCCTTGGATACAGAGAGAGAGCCTACCTTATTGTTGTTTACTTTCAGTTTGTATGTACAAGAACGACGGAACTTGTTAATCTCCGTTGATCGAGGTGGTCCTAACGTTCCGCTAGTCAAAAATACGACACGACAACCAAGCAATCATCGCGTAAGATTCTACTATTTTTATGTTGATGATGATGATTGGAATTTCATTGAGGATCGTTCATTGACCTCGCCCCAGGACTACCATGGTCAAATATTCATGTTTTATTGTAACTTTCTGTAGTTCATAATTCAAATTCTATGCATGACTCTTACATGCTAGTAAAGCTCATCTTCATAGCTACGTAAAAGATTGCAATTCGAAAACACGCAGTAGACGTTGTGAGAATGTTGATAAAATACTCATAAAAGGGCAAATTGAAAAGGAAAAGCAGAGCATAGATCTTTCACAGTAACATTTATAAAATCCTATTCGACAAAATATACTGCCATTATGTATCGATAGCTTTACGAGAACATAACAAAGAGTTTTCTATTTTTTAATGAGCTTATCATCACCCAGATAAAAGAAATAGGGCATAAGATTTTTTTCCTTGTCATTTGCGCGCAGAGTGTGAGACAACGAAAAATCGACTGATGAATACTTCGAGTGTTTTTAATGTACAATATGTATTATGATAACAATAAGTATTATTTATTTGTCTGTCTAGTGTTTAACTTTACATTTGTATACAACTTTATTTTTTATTGATAATTTATAATAAAACGAAATAACGTTAGTTAAATTTTACATATCTAATTGATATATATATATATATATATATATATACAAACGAGAGTCATTAATGCGTTCACTCAATCAAAAATAATAATCGGGGTAATTAACGTCGAAATGAAAATGACCGAAACAAAGTTTAATGGTAATAACGACTACGATGGCTATATATAGGCCGTAGCATGTGAGTATCGAGTGAGCAAAAAGTGCGAGGGATTATGTTAAAATGGAAATTCAGTTATATCATTATACCGACTTCGTATCATTGTTATACGGTAAGACTACACGGTTGAAAGCACTTCTCACGCCTTATAAATCTCATCATAGGAAGATATCATAATTGCGATTGAAAGCAGTTACACGTGAAAATAATTACACGCCTTTTTTTGTATATTTGGCAACTGTATATGCCTAAGACGAATATTCATGAGCGTACTCAGCCGCAGATACACGCTCGCAAAGCATTTAAAAGCAGCTTGCGGTTTTGCTAAGTGCAAATAGCTGATGCACAACGCATCGCGCAGAGTTCCAACATATATTCAATTTTATCGATCGATGGCCTTATGCTTAATACTTTCATAATGCACATGCGTAATCACATATGTACGACGAGAGAAACGTTTACTGATAGTTTTCTACCCACTGATAAAATTGAACAATGCACTACTATATAATTTATTGAAAAACGCATCTCGTGAGTGTGAGTAATAAGCATTGATCTGAATTTCGAAGCGTCGGCGTGCGGAAAGTCATTAATTAACGGCACTGCGTCACGAAGAGAAGAGTTTTTTTCCTTTGCTTCTACAACGATGTTTTTTTATTGTTGCCGACGCAACGGCATATATTTCGCCTATTCTTAATTCGCACTTTAATTAAAATCATTGTTTTTTTTTTTTTTTAATTGGCTGCGATTTTACGGCGGCATCGTTTGTTGTTGTTGTTGTTGTTGCAGCTTTAACCGAGATATTTGCATGAAAACGCAAAAGGGGAGGAGTGAGGGCCATGGCTATATCTAAGTATCCAGCAGTAAATAAAGGGACTTTATGGAGGTTCTCGAGAAAGCCATTAACGCGTTGCCTCGAGGCTTTAAAGTCTTGCGAGTTCTCCCTTCCTCTCTCTCTCTCTCTCTCTCTCTCTCACGTCGTCTAAGACCGCCTTTGCAAATTCTACGTCTATGCAAGCTTTGGTTGATTGTAAAAAATTCCTCTAGCCCGCCGGTAAAGCCAACTTGCCTCGTTCATTATCCGCTGATAATCTTTGGTGCGCGTTATTGTTCTGCAGCGTGTGGTAAAGTGATTATGACTATTTTCGCTAGTTATCAGTATTTTTCTTATTCGAAAATTATTATACGCTTGACTTTTCGTATATTGTGGGAACTTGCATGCAATAAAATTGCTTCTGAGAAAGTTGTGAAAAGCTCACGCGTAATCTTTTGTATAGCGTAGGTTACCACTTACTAAATGAACGACAAGTGATAATATCTGTCATAAAATTATTTTCTCGACGCGTAGTAATGGCATGCATGTAATTGAAAATTACAAAGAGGTGCATACGTGACATTTTCTCTGAAAAGTTTATTGCTCCGTCGCAAATATTGGTGGACTGAAAAAACGAGAGCGCGGCAATATAAATGGTGTTATAAACTACTTTATATATTTAGCACACGAGCAATTAATAAGAAAATTGGACCACAACAGCGTAAAATGGAATGTTCATTGGCCTCATTGAATTCTGTGCGCGAACATATATAGCAAGAGCTTGCCGCGTTATTTCACACAGAATTTTCGGCAAGTTTAGAGTGTGTTCTCCCTGACCTACCAACATCGCAGGCTTTGACGGAATTAGGAAGTAACGTGCATTTAATGCGGAATTTCAAATGAGCTGTACACGAGCCAACGGATTTTCAATGAATTATTCACACGCGCTACGTAATAAGTGCTATTTCATTTTTTATCCGGCTATTTATATACTAGTTGAATTTTGTGAGGGGGAGAAATTATATTACTTCTTTGTGTTGAAAATAATTTTCATGAAATTAACAGCGATAATAGAAGCTGTATGTATAGGGGAGGGGGGGGGGGGTAATAATATCCCTATCATATTGCCGTTATTAACATCATCGATTATTTATTATCTAATGTTTACATTTAATAGAAGGTAGTAAGTTACGAAATTTGTCTCGATATTTAAAAATGACATTAGTAATAATAATAATAATAATAATAATAATAAAATAATAACAACAACAGCAACAATAATAACAAGAATAATAATAATAATAATTTTCTCACGGAAAATATGAAGGATACAATACTTACGTTTCGAATTAATATGGTATTATTCTATAATTATCAATTGAGTAACCATTAATGTAAAACTTTTATTTTGTAGTACAACATTATTTATTAAAATACATTAAAAAACAAAGTTGTTTTCTTATTACTTTTTTACAGCACCCATCCTTGCACCTCAATTGTTCATTTTAAATTCAATTCATTTTCTTAATTGAATGAGAGGTATACTTAAAGCTATACACTAGAAGTGTACGGATAAAATTCACACTAGTATAAAGAGGAACGTTTTTCAGTTCGATCAAACGCACCAAAAATGAAATATATACTTATTTTAAAGATGCCAGTTGAAAAACCCAAAATTACGAAAGAATTGAACGAACAAACAAATTACGATAAATACACGTGAAATTAAAGAGTCCATCTCGCCACGATGTGAGAAAAAGAAAATAATAAAGATATCGGCAGATAATTATTACTCTACGGTAGTTGAATAAATAGAGTCGTACAAAAAATAGTCAATAATGTCGTAATCTTAAAGTGTTTTGTGATTTAAGTGATAAACCTAGTAACAAAACTTTCTAAAAAATCTTATGACTACTCCAAAGAACAATTGATATTTTTTTTCTTATCTAACAAATAGTGTTTCGTTAACATGTATTTCTGATAAAATAAAAAAACAAATAACAGAATAGTCTATGCTAAAGATATCTCTAAAGTCAATTACCCCGAACAGAAATTGACGCATGGTTTTCAATACAATTTTTTTTGCTCGTGTAATACATCACTGCTCTAATATCAATCTATAATTTCCAATGTACTTGTCAGAAGTATAACGTATTATAAAACTTAGAATTTAATAATACTAGATGCAAAATGATGAACGTACAAAAAAATTATAGGTAGATATGCCTTATACAATGGTATATGGTAATAAAGAAAAGGATAGATAACATTGTTGAATTCGTAAAGTAGAAGCACGACGAGGAAAATTTGAAGCAATAGTCTTGGATATAAGTGAACGCAAATCGATTAAAAACCAAGTATCATTGTTTAACATTCATGCTTCGGCTATACGAATTGAAAGCACCAACAAAGACCTAAACAGAAGAGAGTGAAAATATAATTTTCATGATGTGTAGCAGATGCTTTTCTTATATAAGTCGAGGAAAGTCTCTAGCACGCTCCGCGGAAAAGTTATTCGCACTTATGGTACTTTGTACAGTTTATTGCACACGCGCTGGTCTCCAAGGACTTTTTCGTTCACTTAGACCACAATTCACTCGTGACATTTGAATTTTGATTATAAGGTCGTTGCAAAAAACATTTTCATTGCCGTAAATACAGGAGTCGTTCCACACGAGTCTGGATTGAGTTTCGATGTTTAGTGACTAAAATATATTATACTTACTAATAGTTTTTCAGCACTAATTTATTTATAATTAAGATGATGCGATAGAATTTGTAATTGTTCAATAATCCATATAATATATACTCCAAAAATTAACTTTATATAAAGATAGATAATATATATATTTTTTTAAAAATATATATAAAAGTAAAATATGAAACTTACTGTGATATTATTACGTATATTAATTTTTTTATTTGTTTCTCAGCAATTCATAATGTTTATTTTATGCTAAAGTTACTTTGAAAACTATATTGAAAGCGGTTCAACATGAAATATACAACTAAAATAAATAAATTTAGATTAGCGTGTCTCTAGATTTGCTCTTGATAAAATTTCTCAGTTGCTCGGTCGACCAATCAGTAAACTCATTGAATTGATTTTGTTCGATGTTTACAAGCCAATTTTGATCATCTATTAACGCATACCTGATTAAAGGTTTCTCAACAATTGATAATAATCATGCACGTGTAGGGTACGAAATATATATGTTATAACTTTCTTTACTATATGAAGACTAATCAATCTCGTGCTCGTCTCGTTAACAATCAGATAGTCGCTCTTTATTAGCCATCTGTGCCGAGCAGAAATGTCATAAAAACAGAGATATGCGAAGAGTAATACCATTCCAATCAGATGTAGAATCGTTGGCAAGAATACTCATCTGTAAAATAACGCAAAAGAAAAAGGTTTGATTTCCGCTCGGTCGAAGAAGGCAATAAGCATCCGAGCTCAATTATCCGACGTCCTGTTATCCGAGACTCTCTGCTGTGCACACCTCGCGCGAAAAAGTCCGTAAGCTTGTAGCCATCCCGACTGCTGATGGTGATGGTGCTGTTGGGCTGAATTTCGACGTCCGATCGCCGCTAGACTCGCCGGCATATTTTTACGTGCGTTGCGTGCTAATTCACGTTGGACTTGCAGTCGATGCACCATTGCTCCGGCAATCAATGCTGAGACTATTGCCGATAAGGCTACCACGACGAAGAGAGCGCTAAAGCCACTAAGCGGTAAGCAAATACCGTACACCACTTCTTCGCGTATGCGGCCCTGCGGAAATATGTAAAAATCTTTAAGTGAAATATGCCAAGAGATGGGCCTTTCGTAGCATGGAGATGACATTATTAGCCTGACCTGGAAGACAGTGACAGCTTCGGCATGACTATCAGGACTGAAAGCAAGATCGGCTTCCGAGATGACCTCATAGATGCCGGATACGCCGACGTCGGCGTTACGGACTTTCCGGTCGGACACTACCAATGAACGTTTTCTCCTGTTTGCCGTTGTCGTCGACTTGTTCAATGGCTTTGTCTTGTTGACAGTTGTGTCGTCATTGCTTGGCTTGTCGTTGTCGGCTTCTTCATTCGTCGGTTCTCTCGACTTGCCTTGTCGTAGTTCACTCGTGTCGTCTTGCTCGAGGTTGCGCGGCCCGTGCGGGAAGTGCTCTTGGGGTTGATAGCGTGTTACTCGAGCTGGTTGTACCGACTGTTTTTTTTATATCCGAAAACAATGAAATGTTGGAATTACTTCTTTGCCGTGGAATTGGGAGGTATAACGATAAAACAATGCCAAGTGGATTATTTTTTAGGGAAATGCGTGCAGCGGAATGTTGTTTTATCTCGCTACAATATCTCGATACAATAGCTCCAGTTATTTTGTTCTTTTTTTTCGTTTCGGATATACTTGCAACGAAAAAATTCCGGCAGTCATGTTTACAACATTTTTTCGCAATATTTGAAAAATTTAAAGCAAACGGTTAACAACCGAATCGTGGAATGATACCTATAGCAATCGAATGTTCGATTATTGCAAAAATGCCAACAAACGCGAAAATCGCGAATGGAACGAAAGAATTACATACCAAGAATGGCTGCGACAGTAGCGGATCGTCAGAGGAGTCCAGAGTCGGCTCGAAAGTCGACGTGCTCGGCGACTGCTGCTGCTGCTGCTGCTGTTGCTGCTGAGCTTGAGCTTTGGGCGCGGCAGATTTCTCGAGGCCCAAGAAGTGGCTGGCCAACGACGAGACGATGTCGTCGTCGTATGAGGTTCCGTCGTCGGCGCTCGGTCTCGCACTACTCACCGACATGTCGGGCTCGACGTAAGCGGCTGGCTGCTGCGGCAACTGCACGTTCACGTCGTTGCGTTCCTGCACGTAGTGGCCTAACGCTTCGCCACTGGCAACGCCGACGCCAGGTGTCTGGCAATGGTCCAGGCAACCGTGCCGGCAGATCTCCACCTTGGATTTGAACACGTGCCTGGTCAGATTCAAGTTTGATCGCCGCGCGCGCGTGAAACTGATATCTCGCGCTGAACGGCGAAAGGATCGATATAACGCTTGAACGGCCAACGGCGACGGGGCGAAGTAGCTCAAAGTGAGCTCCGTTGAGGCAGTCGAGTGTAAGTTGGTGGCACGTGTTATTGACAGCGCGACAGAAACCGAGGCTAATTCCAAACTATGCGCACGGCCCAGCCAACGAAGTTTAATAAGATAGGAAGGTTACAGTGAGTGGCGTGTAGAAATGTACCTTGCACTTGATGTGAACGCTAAGCGCATCAGGAAACTTGAAGGCGTGAAAGAAGGCGTACGTGATGACAGTGGCGCGATCGTCGGAGCCCCTCGCCTTGAGGAAGCGACTGATCATCTTGGGCCTGAGCACGCAGCCGAACTCGTCGCTCAGCTGTATGGTATGCCCAGCACCGTCCGAGGCGACGCACGACTTGACCCGCATGTCGAATTCACCTGCAAAGAGAGGAGGAGTCGTTGCAAAGCGCTCGCGGCCGAAAAGTTCGGCAGAGGATGAGCTGAACTCGCCGGAGAAAGTGCCAAGAATACCTTGCACTTTGCTGTGGCGCGGCTCGTTACCTCGGTAATCGTTTATCGCGACGACCAGTGTTAGCGTCGAGCCCAATGGCACGATTCCCGAGACCGGTGGCGCCCATGGTCCTTTGCCGTGTTGTATCTCCATCCAGCAGTCCACGTTGTCCCCTACAATTTACGCTCGTTTAGAGATATGCACGCCGAGATTACCGCGCATCAAGCGAGCGGCTGTTTATCGTTAATAAAGCCCGCGCGGAAGTTGAGTGAATTACCGGCAAAGATTCGCGAGCGAGCGTTCCGAGAAGCCGCGGCCTCGAGCAAAGCATACTTTTCGGCCAATTTCCTCGCTCGCGCAGTTCAAATTATTGATTTCAATAGAGCCAAAATGACCACTCGGCCGTTAACGGCAACAAGACTTTTAAGCCGAGCCTTTTAATCAGGCTCCGCGATCGGCAAACACGTCCGAGCGGTGGCACTATCAGTTTCGCACGATTTATTTTAACGAGCGCCGAGCGATACGAGCAACAACGAAAAAAGCATCTCATTAAAGCGCGCTCGCGCGAAGCATTTCGCAGAGCAGAGACACATACCCCTGAAGTCGAGTTGTATAACGTCGAGGTCAGCAATCACCATGGGCGGCTTAGACGCCGTTTTCTCATAATCGTTAAACCACTCGCAGCGCAGCCTCTTCGCCTCGTCCCATACCTCTAGCAGATCCTTATCGTATTGCACGACAACAGTATTTTCATAAAACTGGCCGTGCATATCTGGCTTCGTGCCACACCTGCGTACACACGCGCGCACACACACAATCTTCAGTATCAATGAAAAACACTGACAACAGCGCTTCTCTTTTATGCGCTCTTAAAAAACTCGCCGGCGGATTCTTTTCTTTCATTACAAGCGAGTTATATTACGCTAGCGACGACGAGCTAGTCTTAATGGAAAGAGCTTACATTTCTTACATACTTTTGCGGAAAAACTTAACTACTTTCATTGCAATCGATAAAAAAAAAGAAGTGTGGGGGAAAGAAGTCGTTAAAATTAAACATTGAAGGTTTTTACGAGTAAAACGCTTTTTATGTTCTCCTATTCTGCTGAATTTATTACCGTCGTCTCTTTTTTTCCTTTTACTTTTTCGCTCCCTGCCACATTGCTGAGATTCGACGTTGAGGTATATCATTCAAGGCGTTGAGCAAACAATGAATATTAAAAATGTCGAGAGAATATAGCTGAGCGAGACCAACCTGGCGTAAGCTATTCTAAAGGAGAAAAAGGTCTGTCCAGTGGACGGTGGCACGTAGACGCAGCGTGGATCGGAGTGCTGGCCCTTCGATGAGACGATACCTTCGAAGGGTTGCGAAAAGGACAGGTGTACGTCCATATGATCTTTGCCACACATCACTTCGAGAGACTGGATGGCCGGCATACCTTCTGGCCTCTCCAGCGGCCAGATATCGCTGCTGCTAACCAAACTTTTCGGCCCAGCCATCTACAAGAAATGAATCATCGATCGGTCAGAGCTTGCGTATAATCGAGCAACACGACGTACGCAGTGCCATAATTGATTAAAAGCTCGTATTTGCGCTATACGCGCGCCGTTAAATCATTGAAAGCTTGCAGAGGCGTATAATCCGCTCTAACGCAAAATTTGCCTCTTCCTATACCTATGGGTTTCCGCGCGTTCCCGAGAGTGCTAAGGCATAATCTTCTGAGTGTCTACAATCACGTTACGCTTCCCTGATTCCTTGTGTCTCACTCTCACTTGGTCTCCCTCTCTCTCTCTCTCTCTCTCTCTCTCTCTCTCTCTCTCTCTCTCTCTCTCTCTCTCTCTCTCGCTCTCTAGAGCAAACAGAAAAAAGGGACAAATCTCCAAAGCCGTTTACGTTTCCCAGGTGCTTTTCTTCCAGATAAATCAGGAGGGTTGCCGGCCCATCGATGTCGTCTTTTTCTCCCCTGCGTAGCCGTGAAAAACCTTCTAGTATCAGCAATTCGCGACTTGTACAGCGATAGTTTTATGGAGTCGTTCTAATCTGTGTTATTTTTGACATCGAATTACTTGTCATTTTCATTAGTATCACAAGTAAAGCATGAAACATTGGAAACGACTTTGGGTGTAGGTCGAGTAAAGTATAAATCATCCAACGTTCCCGCCTCTGTGGGATTGTAGAGAAAGGATGAAAGCTCGTTGAAGGATAATAAAATTGATGAGTGTCCAGCCTCCTCGGTAAGCACATAATCTTATGTCAAGCAAGCGTTTGCAAGACTTAATACAGTCGGTCGTTTTATCAGCCCCCTCGAAAGCTCGATCTGTCTAAAGCTATTATCTGATGTTTAGCGAATCCGCTCGTCCGTATAACAACCCCTTGTTCGGCGCGTAGACGCGATTGGCCGTATACGACGTCGCTATACGCGGGCACGAAACTCGTGCACTAACGGGAGAGATGTCTTTACCGCTGCATTAACGGTCGATGTTTTTCGCGTTTGCCGGCGTAAGAGAGCCGCAACGGAAAACTAGTTACGCCTGTGCGCGCCTATGCGACTTGGCGGTCACTTGGCGTTTCGTTAGAAATAATTACGGGCACGACGAGCTTCCGACCGATATCCTTCTGCCTTTTCTTCGCGGCATTTCTGGGTAATTAAGGCGAGGCGTCGGCGGCTTGGCTCGCCTTTCCAGGGGGATGCTTTTCAAACGATTTGTCCGTGCATTAGGACGCGATATGATGCGCGCGAACGCATCACCCACAAACAGCAGGCAAGCAACCAACGCACATTGTATAACTTCACCAAAGACCGTAGACGGAAACGCCAAATCCATGTGGAAAATGGAATATTAGACCATTATAAACATAACTAATTGGTACAGATGCGCATTCAAGAATATTGGATTTCTCGCTGGTGCAGCCGAGCAAAACAATAAGAATAGCTTATTAACCATAAAGAAAATAGATAACAAGCGTACATGACAATTAAAATGCGCGAACCGGTACACACACCGCAAACGAATACGTGTGTCAGAGACGGCGGAGAGAAAAACTGTAACCAAGCAGTCACATAAACAGTGTGGGGTGGCAAGGGAGAGGAAGGAAAGGCAATTATCTCGAGCGAGGCTACCGAGTCAAATCAGTTTGACGCCACACGCCTAGCTAGCGCGCACAGCTCGCAGCCTCCGTGAATAACATGCATAATTAAACGGCCGAGGAGGAAGCAACTCGCTCGTTCCTACTACACGCCAGCATCTAGCTATTGTTGTCTCGCTGTTTTTTTGTTCTTGTTTTGACGCGAGACTACAATGACATAACTGAGATCGTGGCCATCGATAAAATGTCCTACTTGCTATGCGAAGCGACAGATGGATCACTTTTTGCTTATTAATGATCCGATGGGAATGGAAATGACGTGTCACCAATCTCTTAAGCTTTTCAATGTGTTAGGCGTGACAATAGTCACAGACAGGTTTATCCAATCAAAGTCACAAAGTGATCGATCGCGGATAAAATGATGAATATTCACACCGACATACGCACACGCAGAAGTGTACAATGCACGTTCGTATTTTCAAGAGCACTAATGAGGAAGCGATGTGACACGATTCATTAAAACCTCAATCATCGTGTCAACTAGAATCTCCTGCACGTGCAAAGAAAACTACGGAGCCTCTCTTATAGCGTATAGTGAACTTTTGACGTTCACACGCGACGAGCTTTTCGTTATGTTCGAGTTGAAGTACCGCGTTTTTTGCGCATGAAGACAACAGCCATTATTTTAGCAGCGAGAGAAAACGTGGAAAAAAGGGAGAAGAGCAAGTTTCTTATGACGAATGTTCACGCGCGAGTGCCCTCAGCGTAATATGCAAAGTCGGAGCTGATAGCGTTGTAAACTCCCTTTTTGCCTGTCTCTCTTGCGCAATGCAAAGAACAAATCTTTGTTAAGTCTGTCAAATATCTGTTGGGCTATTTGAATACCCAGTGGAAATGTAATGCCTTTGTTCTCAGGCGAACGCGTTGGCTCATCCGTAATTTCAATTTCCAAAATAATGCTCCAGAAGGAAAATCCACTAAAGGCATTCAGCGGCGCGTGAGCTTGCGAGCAAAATCACTAGATCATTGACTCGATATCTGCAGTTGATAGTGAATGGTCGTAGGCGCCTCTTCGGCGGCGACACGTAGCACAAGTGTTCTCTCTCTCTCTCTCTCTCTCTTTCATTTACTACTGAACGATCTAACGGGGATATCCGCGCCGCTTGCAAGCTGTTGACGACAGAACGAGAGCTAAGTGTCGCGGATGCATGACAATGCAGGATTAAAAGATTATTCGCCGGCACAACAATTGCCACCGGCATCCGACTTTCGACGCTTAATTACATTTAGCCATGGAATCGGATGTTATTCGCAGGATCGTTATTGTTTGCGCTTCGCGGCCAAACTGCGCTATCGTACGTAATGCCTGCTAAAAGGCTGCTTTCTCAAATATTTATACGAGCCGAAGATTTCCTTTTATCGTCGCAAACGATCATTTTCTCACGCGCCACGCGCACTGCACACGCGCTGTTAAAGCAAGAATCACACTCGCGTCAAAGACTGGCAGAGCGAACGAGCAGCGTTATTACTATCGTAAATCGGAAGAAAGTTCCCCATAAAAGCAAATATAGAGCAGGTCTCGCGAAGTATAGCCTTGCGTTAAGCCGTAAAAAATGAAGATATTTTCATTTATTGCTTACCCTTATGTCACCCAACGCAAAAAAAATCAGCCTTTCAATCTCCCGCGCGTACGATTCGCGTGTAACGCGCACTCGCCTGCTCTGGATTTCGCATCACACAAAAGCATTCGACGTAAGCGCGGCATACGAGCTTCTTTGTGTGTGCTTGTGATATCTTGAAGGATGAGAGTAGTGCAGAGAAAGCCAGAAGCGCATAAGGTTTTGACGCGAGGGTTATGAATTGCGCGCACGTTGCAGTTGCAGAGGCGCCTTTTAATGACGACGCGATTGCTTCTGTCGGCGACAGATTGAATGGAATGAACTAAGCAACATTCTGCGCTCAATGTGAGAAAGAGGGTCCCTAATTGTACTGCTAAGTGCGCTTCTCCTAATTATAACACGTCTTTCTCATTCTAAAGAAGTGCGTTAGGTGTGTCAGTTTTTTATTTCTACTTTCGACCTTTTCCGAGAAAAAATATCATTTTGCACTTTCATCGCGAACGAGTTAGATGCATCTCGACAGGAATTTAAATTTATAAAGAGCTTCTGCCTTTAACTGAAAATCGCTCTGGCTATAATTTAAAGAAAAAGAGAAGGTTGATTGCTCACATTGACAGTAATAAGCACATACGTGCCTGGCGATAATAATCATCGTCGAGGTTATCTAGATTTTCCTTCTCTTTGACAACTTCTGTAGTTGCAAGACCGTTATCATGTGCTAGGGATTGCCGTATGCCATGCTCGGCAGCTGTTATTTTTAGGTTAGTTTATATCTTTTATCAGTAGACGCGTTGACAGATACAATTTCGGTGAATCCCCTATCGAATTGCAGTGTGCTTGTAGAAATAATCATGGCGCAGTTAGATAATTATATATTTTATCAACCCATAAATAACAGTTTATTTATTAGCTTTACTTTTTGCACAATATGAAAGTTGTCGAAGATCGGCTTCGACGTTCAAGTGGATTCATTTGAAAAAGGCAAGTATATTTAATTTATTTTATTTATAAGTCTTGATTGCATACGTGTAGATAGATCGTACGCATAGGTGGGCTAGTAGACGATCGCAGAACTCACCATGTAGATCAGCGTGTGCAGCAGTATCCACAGCCCTGGCATCCTGGATTGGCCAGCCTCTCACGCTAAATCACGCTCTTCTGCAAAGATACAAAAAGACACAAACTTATCAGCCACTCCTGCCATCTGCATGCTTTAGCTTATATCAACTATCTCAATTGAGGCATTAATCTTACAAATCGTTCACACGAAGGAAATCGAAACTCGCGCAAATCCCGGTCGAGTTATCAAGTTACAATGGCTTATTCGTCCGCTATGTGTCGATAATGACGATGACGATGATGATGTTGTCATACGGATTCTGTAATTACAGCGTCTGTGCGTGCGTGTGAACCATCAATTACTTATGGACGATCGGATCGCATTCGAGGTTATTTTTTTGTTTGCGCGACGAGGCGAAATAAATCACAATCGACAATTAACATGTGAAAGAAAGGCGTAACATTGCTGCGGGAATTGTTAAGAATTCATTGGTTCTCGCGCGTCTTTTTCTAAAATTGGTTAACGTGCTACGCCGTAGAAAAAGAGGGCAAATTTACAATACCTGTGATTTTATTTTTTCGTTTCATATAGATTTTATTCATAGCAGTTGTATAACGAATATATTGAGCAAGTAATTATAAAAAAACGCACGGCGAATTTAGAACATGAATATGATTAGATTTGTGTCGTAGAGCATTTGGAAAATTACGGAATCTCGTCGATACTCATAAAAAAAACTGTAAATTGTACGTCATTTCCTTTTTTGTATTAATATGTCGCAAATTATCATTAATAATTTCAGTTGACAGTACAACTAGCTGTTATGTCAATCGTGTGTTTATCGTTGGCTTTATTACCAATCTAAAAAAAGATATAAAATAGACAGATATATGTGTGAGAAAAGCCGCAAATATAATGCAAATCCTAGGAATGATCATAGGCTCAATACTTGTGTGCATTGTACTCTCCGTAGCTGGAGCGTATTATCCGTTGCCCGAGATAAAGTGCGAGTTAATGGAACGAGCCCTCGAGAAAAAAAACGACCGTGAGAGAGCTTCCTGCAATACTGGTTCTCTCTCTTCTCGCTTTCGAGTATCATACGCTAAAAATTACTTTGGCCCGAGTGTTTTTCACGAGGATTTTCTCGTACTTATTCTATTGAGAATTTTTTTTGCCGATTGATGGTGATTGTTTCGGACGTTAATTTTATTGAGATGTCCAATGAGTCACTCAAAATGTTCAATGGAACTGATATGCGGTATTTATTTTGTATTGAAAAGAATATTGCGGTGTGATTCGATCAACTCTAAATGGCCATTAGAGATTACTCGTACGCTCATATCTCACGTAAGTAAGAATCGAAAATATTCGAGCTATACCGTTGACACTTTGTCTTTGATGTCCAAAGTTATCATTTATTTTAACTTTATAAACGTGAAGCATTAATAAAAGCGCCGCTTATCGAAAAATGCCAAAAAGGTAATTATGCGCGCATAACTAAAGGAAAAAGCCGCAAACTGCCGCTCCTTGCAAAACTACCTGCTGTATAATTGCACATCATGCCAAAAATATGCTCCGCATCTCCTTTTTCGACGACGACGGCGACCTTGTTGCTTCTTTACCAAAGCATAATAATGCATCTCTGCGGCACTCGATCAAAAGCAACTACAACTACCTCGCCCGAGAAGAACAGAAAAAAAACTACTCTGACGTAACTGCACATTGCGTAAAAATAAAACGTTCTCAAGCAGTATACTTAAGTAAGGGGTCTTAATCTCGGGGTCAAAGGCACTGTCTTCGTCGCCGAGCGCAAATCGATGGAGAGAGGCAGGCAGTGAATTATAAAATCGCACGGCACTTTGCCATTGGCCTTCATTCAGAAGGAAATGAAGGCGTTCAAGGTTTCATAAACGTGTACACGTTACATCCGGTTTCTTTTTCGGTACGTATAGCCGGACGGTATCACATGCGTGCTTGGGATGTATGGTCCGCCGAGCAAATTAACCGAGTCGCGCTTCGAGTACCAACAGGGTCTCCAGGGCACAGCAGCACCACTACGGCCGAACACGACACGACAATTCTCGGTGCGTTACAGTGTGTGAATGTTGCAGCCAGCTCCTCGTAGGCCGGAAATGAGATTACTACACTGCCAAGCCGAGCGTCCGTGCGCGCGTCTTTGAACGCGGGCCACGACGCGGGCGACGACGTCGCCGACGTGCGCTCGCTTGCAGCGACACGAGCGAGCGCGAAGCGCAAGCAAGCTTAATCGAACGGGCATTGTGTGCAACAGAGAGCGTCGAGCTTTTCCCCTGCACGCGCCAGCTTGTCGAATGGACGACCGGTGACCGCTACACGCGAGCTCCGGACTCCAGTGGCATTCTTTCTAACGCGCACAGTGTGCTTTGCGCCCCGCCACTTGCTCTTTCGCCCGTCCCCAAGTCGAGCATACTAATTATACAGCCGAATACGATCGGAGAATGTGCGTTCGACTCGCACCCGTATGGAAATCGTTCCGAAGAATTTCAAAAGAAACGAACGCTCAGGCGCACACATTTGATAGCTGAAATAAAACTAACGGATCTCGCGTTTAAGTGCGCGCGCGCGCCCATTTTGCTTAGGCGCGTCCTAACACAACGCGGAAACCGTGCCAGATTGGATATCTAATAATAACGACGAAAATCTGCGATATATTACCGGAGCTAAGAAACAATTTATGGATAAACGAGACTGTCGAATTGATACACTGCGCGTAGCTAATCCGGCATGACTAATGAGCATTAAAACGTTCGACAATTTATAAAGCTATACGTTATTATTTCAATGATAGAGTGTACGTTGAAAAACAGACGCGTCTGAGCTTGTTCGGTATTACAAATAGAAAATAGGTCAGATGAAATGAATGTACGCGTAAGAGGGCCTCGGAGAGATGATTCGGTGTAAATTAACTGCGATTTATACTCGTCAAAGCTTGTATTCGAAACGTTCGACGATTTGTTGGCAATGAAAATGCGGCGTGCCTTGTAACGTTCTCGCGATGAAAAATCGACCTGCAATTACCCTCGCGCTTGCGAAAACAGGAGGTTTGCTTAATAGAGCGTTGTATCGCTCGCGCGCGTGCCGCTTAATTATCGGTGCGGCGGCGGCGGCGGCGGCAGCAGCGACGGCGTGGCGTCTGGCCGCGGTCTAATCGACGCGGACTGCAGCACACACACACACATACACGCATAACCACATCGACGCGTCTCATTCACTCGCCGCCTCTCGGCTGCACAACCAGATCACTGGACCTGCCTCCTTATTACGTCGGCCGACTGAACTTGTTTTCCTCCTCCGCCAGCATTTTCCAAGATTTTTCGTGACGCCGACTTTCTTTTCTTTTTAGCGCGGATATACTCTCGCTTTCATTTGGCTGAGTTGTATTTCTTTTGCTGTTGCTGAGTTCACTTCGGTTGTCGGCAAGTTTATAAAACTATGCTGCTGGCATTAGAGTCGATATTTCACACGTGAGTAAAGTTTTTAACGACCGTCGTAAAAAAATGACGGGTACAACGTAGGGATTTGAAAAAATAGTTTTTGCAGATAATTTCTTTTTGCAAAGTGGTCGGCGTATATCATCGTTACAAGTACAAGCATCAAAGGGCTGAGAATGGTACTGTGGCGTTTCAGTGATCGCTTTACATCAGGAAACTTTCCAATACTTTCGTGATTTAGACATACTTTCTGTAAAACAATTATTATTAGAAAAATAAATTCCTTGTTTCTCACAGATAAATTTCAAACCAACCATCTTATCGTAACAGGTACCTTCCTTTCGAATGTATATCGATTACGCACACGAAAACTACAGCATTTCAGTTTACGCGCTAATGGATGCTATGATTACGCACATTTGCAAATGTCGAAAAATCACTGAATGCACAGAGGACAATAAAATTGCTGAGCAGCTGCCTGCAGCAACAAAACTCCAGAGCATACGGATTTTACGCCAACGGAAGCACGTCTCTTCTGTAATAACGGTACACGTGAGCACGCGATTACACGTGTGCTAATCGTTTCTCTTTCTCTCGAGTGTTAAATTAATCGTTATGCGCTATTATTTCATTAAAACTTAATAAAACGTACATTTTTCAAGAGAGCGAGGAAGTCAGAAAACAGAAAGAGCTACGTCTAATCCTGCAGTACAATTGTAAGGCTTCACACGCGAGCTACAACTTTTCTCACGGGGTGTCTGTGCGCAGAGGCTTCAATTAAAAAAAGGGAAAGAAAGAAAGGTAAAAAATTTTCTTAATTAAAGGTCTTTTTTTCGACAGCGACCAGCGGTACTACTAGCTTTCGTTTTGCTTTATAAGACAGCTTCAATTGTTGTTTAATTAGTGGATAATCAGCCTATGCAGCACGAGAGATCTCTGCTGCGGCAAGTGTTCAATGGAGCTGGCGGACTGTGCGAAACTACGATTTTTTCTTTTCTGCCCCCTACTAATTGCTGCGATTTTGTATCAAAGTCGGCCGAATTTCGCATGCGTAGCCATTTGTCGATCGGAATACCAGAGAAAAAAGTCTTCGGCTCTCTCTTACAGACAGAGACTTATAGGTAGTCGATGTTACAGCCACGCTTGTCGTAGCATACCGAATTTTATTTGTCTGCGAAAGCCATGAACGCCGCACGCAGACAGACCCACACGCATGCTAATTGCATGCTAATTTATGCCCAAATTAGAGACGATACAGTTAAACAAGCGGGCGGGTCCCATCTTCATCTGTATTTTTTTACGCGTTTCAGCAGCGTCCAAGAAGAAAAGATTTTTATCTAAGCTACGCAAACAGCAGTCGTTGCTGTGCAGCATACGTATGTATCGGATGTCGATGAAGAGAGAGCGCGTGTGTGCGGCGCGCATATACTTTACGGTACCGTTACATAATTTTCGGCCGATGCGTCAGCGACGGGTGGTCCGGACACCTTCTCTCTCTTTCTCTTTCGCCTGCCTGGGATATGGCCCTCGGGAAAATCGCAGACTTCCCCATTTACGTGACGATAATAGCTTGTGAGTGCCCGTGTGACTTCGCATCGCGCAAATTCTTTCTTCTTC